CATCAGGTTCCCCCCCATCAGGTTCCCCATCAGGTTCCCCATCAGGTTCCCCATCAGGTTCCCCATCAGGTTCCCCATCAGGTTCCCCATCAGGTTCCCCCCCATCAGGTTCCCCATCAGGTTCCCCATCAGGTTCCCCATCAGGTTCTCCATCAGGTTCCCATCAGGTTCCCCATCAGGTTCCCTATCAGGTTCCCCATCAGGTTCCCCATCAGGTTCCCCATCAGGTTCCCCCCCATCAGGTTCCCCATCAGGTTCCCCATCAGGTTCCCCCCCATCAGGTTCCCCCCCATCAGGTTTCCCATCAGGTTCCCCATCAGGTTCCCCATCAGGTTCCCCCCCATCAGGTTCCCCCCCATCAGGTTGCCCCCCATCAGGTTCCCCTCAGGTTCCCCATCAGGTTCCCCATCAGGTTCCCCCCCATCAGGTTCCCCATCAGGTTCCCCATCAGGTTCCCCATCAGGTTCTCCATCAGGTTCCCATCAGGTTCCCCATCAGGTTCCCTATCAGGTTCCCCATCAGGTTCCCCATCAGGTTCCCCATCAGGTTCCCCCCCATCAGGTTCCCCATCAGGTTCCCCATCAGGTTCCCCCCCATCAGGTTCCCCCCCATCAGGTTTCCCATCAGGTTCCCCATCAGGTTCCCCATCAGGTTCCCCCCCATCAGGTTCCCCCCCATCAGGTTGCCCCCCATCAGGTTCCCCATCAGGTTTCCCATCAGGTTCCCCATCAGGTTCCCCATCAGGTTCCCCATCAGGTTCCCCATCAGGTCCCCCATCAGGTTCCCCATCAGGTTCCCCATCAGGTTCCCCATCAGGTTCCCCATCAGGTTCCCCATCAGGTTCCCCATCAGGTTCCCCATCAGGTTCCCCATCAGGTTCCCCATCAGGTCCCCCCCATCAGGTTCCCCATCAGGTTCCCCATCAGGTTCTCCATCAGGTTCCCCATCAGGTTCCGCCCCATCAGGTTCCCCATCAGGTTCCCCATCAGGTTCCCCATCAGGTTCTCCATCCGGTTCCCCATCAGGTTCCCCATCAGGTTCCCCATCAGGTTCCCCATCAGGTTCCCCATCAGGTTCCCCATCAGGTTCCCCCCCCATCAGGTTCCCCATCAGGTTCCCCATCAGGTTCCCCATCAGGTTCCCCATCAGGTTCCCCCCCATCAGGTTCCCCCCCATCAGGTTCCCCATCAGGTTCCCCATCAGGTTCCCCATCAGGTTCCCAATCAGGTTCCCCCCCATCAGGTTCCCCATCAGGTTCCCAATCAGGTTCCCCCCCATCAGGTTCCCCATCAGGTTCCCCATCACCCGTCAGGTTCCCCAACAGGTTCCCCATCAGGTTCCCCATCAGGTTCCCCATCAGGTTCCCCATCAGGTTCCCCATCAGGTTCCCCATCAGGTTCCCCATCAGGTTCCCCATCAGGTTCCCCATCAGGTTCCCCCCCATCAGGTTCTTCCCCATCAGGTTCCCCATCAGGTTCCCCATCAGGTTCCCCCCCATCAGGTTCCCCATCAGGTTCCCCATCAGGTTCCCCATCAGGTTCCCCATCAGGTTCCCCATCAGGTTCCCCATCAGGTTCCCCATCAGGTTCCCCATCAGGTTCCCCATCAGGTTCCCCATCAGGTTCCCCATCAGGTTCCCCATCAGGTTCCCCATCAGGTTCCCCATCAGGTTCCCCATCAGGTTCCCCATCAGATTCCCCATCAGGTTCCCCATCAGGTTCCCCCCCATCAGGTTCCCCCCATCAGGTTCCCCATCAGGTTCCCCAGCAGGTTCCCCATCAGGTTCCCCATCAGGTTCCCCATCAGGTTCCCCATCAGGTTCCCATCAGGTTCCCCATCAGCTTCCCCCCCATCAGGTTCCCCCCCATCAGTTTTCCCATCAGGTTCCCCATCAGGTTTCCCCCCATCAGGTTCCCCCCCATCAGGTTCCCCATCAGGTTCCCCATCAGGTTCCCCATCAGGTTCCCCATCAGGTTCCCCATCAGGTTCCCCATCAGGATCCCCATCAGGTTCCCCATCAGGTTCCCCATCAGGTTCCCCCCCATCAGGTTCCCCATCAGGTTCCCCATCAGGTTCCCCATCTGGTTCCTCCCCATCAGGTTCCCTATCAGGTCCCCCATCAGGTTCCCCATCAGGTTCCCCATCAGGTTCCCCATCAGGTTCCCCATCAGGTTCCCCATCAGGTTCCCCATCAGGTTCCGCCCCATCAGGTTCCCCATCAGGTTCCCCATCAGGTTCCCCCCCATCAGGTTCCCCCCCATCAGGTTCCCCATCAGGTTCCCCATCAGGTTCCCCATCAGGTTCCCCATCAGGTTCCCCATCAGGTTCCCCATCAGGTTCCCCATCAGGTTCGCCATCAGGTTCCCCATCAGGTTCCCCCCCATCAGGTTCCCCCCCATCAGGTTCCCCATCAGGTTCCCCATCAGGTTTCCCATCAGGTTCCCCATCAGGTTCCCCATCAGGTTCCCGCCATCAGGTTCCCCATCAGGTTCCCCATCAGGTTCCCCATCAGGTTCCCCATCAGGTTCCCCATCAGGTTCCCCATCAGGTTCCCCATCAGGTTCCCCATCAGGTTCCCCATCAGGTTCCCCATCAGGTTCCCCCCCATCAGGTTCCCCCCCATCAGGTTCCCCATCAGGTTCCCCATCAGGTTTCCCATCAGGTTCCCCATCAGGTTCCCCATCAGGTTCCCCATCAGGTTCCCCATCAGGTTCCCCATCAGGTTCCCCATCAGGTTCCCCATCAGGTTCCCCATCAGGTTCCCCATCAGGTTCTTCCCCATCAGGTTCTTCCCCATCAGGTTCCCCATCAGGTTCCCCATCAGGTTCCCCATCAGGTTCCCCATCAGGTTCCCCATCAGGTTCCCCATCAGGTTCCCCATCAGGTTCCCCATCAGTTCCCCATCAGGTTCCCCATCAGGTTCCCCCATCAGGTTCCCCATCAGGTTCCCCATCAGGTTCCCCATCAGGTTCTTCCCCATCAGGTTCTTCCCCATCAGGTTCCCCATCAGGTTCCCCATCAGGTTCCCCATCAGGTTCCCCATCAGGTTCCCCATCAGGTTCCCCATCAGGTTCCCCATCAGGTTCCCCATCAGGTTCCGCCCCATCAGGTTCCCCATCAGGTTCCCCATCAGGTTCCCCCCCATCAGGTTCCCCCCCATCAGGTTCCCCATCAGGTTCCCCATCAGGTTCCCCATCAGGTTCCCCATCAGGTTCCCCATCAAGTTCCCCATCAGGTTCCCCATCAGGTTCCCCATCAGGTTCCCCATCAGGTTCCCCATCAGGTTCCCCATCAGGTTCCCCATCAGGTTCCCCCCCATCAGGTTCCCCCCATCAGGTTCCCCATCAGGTTTCCCCATCAGGTTTCCCATCAGGTTCCCCATCAGGTTCCCGCCATCAGGTTCCCCATCAGGTTCCCCATCAGGTTCCCCATCAGGTTCCCCATCAGGTTCCCCATCAGGTTCCCCATCAGGTTCCCCATCAGGTTCCCCATCAGGTTCCCCATCAGGTTCCCCATCAGGTTCCCCCCCATCAGGTTCCCCCCCATCAGGTTCCCCATCAGGTTCCCCATCAGGTTTCCCATCAGGTTCCCCATCAGGTTCCCCATCAGGTTCCCCATCAGGTTCCCCATCAGGTTCCCCATCAGGTTCCCCATCAGGTTCCCCATCAGGTTCCCCATCAGGTTCTTCCCCATCAGGTTCTTCCCCATCAGGTTCCCCATCAGGTTCCCCATCAGGTTCCCCATCAGGTTCCCCATCAGGTTCCCCATCAGGTTCCCCATCAGGTTCCCCATCAGGTTCCCCATTAGGTTCCCCATCAGGTTCCCCATCAGGTTCCCCATCAGGTTCCCCCCCATCAGGTTCCCCCCCATCAGGTTCCCCCCCATCAGGTTCCCCATCAGGTTTCCCATCAGGTTTCCCATCAGGTTCCCCATCAGGTTCCCCATCAGGTTCCCCATCAGGTTCCCCATCAGGTTCCCCATCAGGTTCCCCATCAGGTTCCCCATCAGGTTCCCCATCAGGTTCTTCCCCATCAGGTTCTTCCCCATCAGGTTCCCCATCAGGTTCCCCATCAGGTTCCCCATCAGGTTCCCCATCAGGTTCCCCATCAGGTTCCCCATCAGGTTCCCCATCAGGTTCCGCCCCATCAGGTTCCCCATCAGGTTCCCCCCCATCAGGTTCCCCCCCATCAGGTTCCCCATCAGGTTCCCCATCAGGTTCCCCATCAGGTTCCCCATCAAGTTCCCCATCAGGTTCCCCATCAGGTTCCCCATCAGGTTCCCCATCAGGTTCCCCATCAGGTTCCCCATCAGGTTCCCCCCCATCAGGTTCCCCCCCATCAGGTTCCCCATCAGGTTCCCCATCAGGTTTCCCATCAGGTTCCCCATCAGGTTCCCCATCAGGTTCCCGCCATCAGGTTCCCCATCAGGTTCCCCATCAGGTTCCCCATCAGGTTCCCCATCAGGTTCCCCATCAGGTTCCCCATCAGGTTCCCCATCAGGTTCCCCATCAGGTTCTTCCCCATCAGGTTCTTCCCCATCAGGTTCCCCATCAGGTTTCCCATCAGGTTCCCCATCAGGTTCCCCATCAGGTTCCCCATCAGGTTCCCCATCAGGTTCCGCATCAGGTTCCCCATCAGGTTCCCCAACCCATCAGGTTCCCCATCCCATCAGGTTCCCCATCAGGTTCCCCATCAGGTTCCCCATCCCATCAGGTTCCCCATCCCATCAGGTTCCCCATCAGGTTCCCCATCAGGTTCCCCATCAGGTTCCCCATCAGGTTCCCCATCAGGTTCCCCATCAGGTTCCCCATCAGGTTCCCCATGAGGTTCCCCATGAGGTTCCCCACTGCCTCCCTCGCCTAATGCCCGTCGTCACGTAGTAATGACATTTTCTGTCTTGAGAGTGTGTTTCGTTCTTAGATCGTCGTCTCTGCACTTGTGGATCTGCATGGACTTTAACGCTTGCTGCTTGGACGTTACTGGGACCCACTCACTCCTACCATGACCATCTCTTCATTTCCTATTCAGAAACCCCCTTCCACGTGCTCCTTCCGTTTTGCCTACATTCAGAACGCGTGGATGAGGAGAGAGCATCCCAGGACCCTTCCCTCCTACCAGCAATTCAACGCCACGCCAGACCAATGGGAGCGCGCCACGTGGCCTCTCACGCCAGGTGGCGCCATGTCAGCTGATGCGCTGGCGCTGATAGCAGCGGTGGACGTGATTGGCGAGAGGACGCACTGCCACGTGGACGGCATGCTCAGGAACCGAGTGCAGGTGGGTGGGTGCGTGGGTGGGTGGGAGTGGGTCGAAGTGGGTACATGTGGTGTGATATGGGTGGTTGGTTGTGCGCATGGTTGGCACAGGGGATCCGTCTTTCCCCCGTGCCTCTCTATACCCTCCGCCTCTCTTCACTGCACTCCCCTTTCTCCCCTGACCTCACCCCTGCCCCCACTGCCATCACGCTTCTTCCCGCCCCAATTCGCTTCGCCGCACTCCCCCGCCGCTCTCAGCTGCGCATGGCGGGGCTGGCAGCCCTGGACGTGATGCAGCGCGTGCGGCGCTCATGGGAGGCCATGGCCATGGCACGGGCACAACGTGGGGAGCAGCAGCAGGAGGGAGAGGAGGAGGATCGAGACGAATAGCAGGAGGAAGGCGACGAGGAGTTGGGTGTCGGCTACAAGAGCGAGGGTGGGGGCAGGATGGGCAGGGGGGAGCAAGGGAAGCCGCAGGGACCGCGGCTGCAGTCGCTGGTGAGGGAGGAGGGAGGCGAGGGGAGGGAGGGCGCGGTGGAGGGATGGAGGGATGTGTTTGAGGTGGTGGCTCAGTGGCGGCAGATCGCCAACCCCACCGACGCCACCTTCTGGAAGCACTCCCTGCTGTGAGTGCCATGCCCTCTGCCCCATCCACACCCACCCACTGCCCCACCTACCCACTTCCCCACCCTAAACCCTATGCCACGTACGTAACGGCCCAGGCTAGCGTGCAAGGGGTGGGGAGTGGCCCTTCCGCTTGTCCGACACCCCTTCTTCTCGCGTGCTCTCTTCCCCAACCAGGTCCCCGCAGCGGGTGGCAGTGCGGTCCACCATGCCCATCCACGTGTACAATTTCGAGACTGTCAAGTACTACCCCGTGCACCCCAGGTGCGTGGGTGCGTGGGTGCGTGGGTGGATGGGTGCATGGGTGGATGGGTACGTGGGTGGATGGGTGGGTGGTTCCCTTCCCTGCACCGTGCTCGCATCACTTGCTCCACCCGTCCACCGCACCCCTACTGTAAACTGCTCCTGGTATACTGGAATCACTTCTGAGAACTCTCACTCTGAGTCTCGTTTGAGAATCCTCAAAGGGACTCTCTTCTTCTTTTACCCTGTTGATTGCACTCCCGCGCAGGGCAGTGGCCCTCACCAGAGCTACTCTCTTGGAGAACGAGGAGGCATTTGATGCCAATTATACTCGTTTTAGTGTGCCTCGCAGCAGCTATGGCAGCAAGGTTGGGACACTACGAACCCTGCTTCCATTTTTCGTGCAATCTATAGGCTTGCATTTCTGGAGTACTTTTGAGGCGCCTCAAAAGTCGTCTATAGGCTTGCACTTCTGGAGTACCTCTTCCCGCACTGTCTGTCCTCATTTTTGTCAGACTTCCCCTGCCTGCTACAGCTGCACGTTCCTGCTGCACCATGCTTCCTGCCATCTGCCGTCCCCTCCCTATCAGCTCTCTCCGTCTCTCCACATACACCATATCCACTATGATTGAGGGCATGGCTGCACCGCTTGCTGCTATGCCCCCTCGTGCCGCTATCCGTCTCAGCCCACCCCAGACCACCTCCATCTTGTTCATTCCCACCCTACGCCCTCCTCTCCTGTGCGTCTCTCTCCCCGGCCACCACGCCCCTCGTGTGCCTGGCAGATAGAGGCGGCAAGCGACCTGGCAGAGCTGCATGCAGCAGTGGGGCAGGACTTCACTGCGCTCACACTCATCCACAGCGCTCTGCACCCGCGGTGAGCGCCGCCGTGCTTTTGTGGCACCTCAACAATTCGCTCTCCTCTGCACCCATGGCTGAAAGGCAGAGCGGCGTGATGGGCACCTTACCTCCTCACTCACTTGCCACCTTGGCACCATCGTATAAGCACACATGAACCCATGCCCCCATGCCTCAAAGGCTTCGTATCCCGATGCCATGCCAGCCTCCCTTCCCTCTGTCCCCTTGGCCTCTTCTCACCCCCCTACTCCCTGATCGCAGGCAGCGCATTCCAGCAACAGAATTCCAAGTCAAGAGGACGTGAGTGCCCCCGCCTCGTTCTGCCTTCTCCTCCTTCTCTCCTTCTATTCCTCGTTCTTCTTCTATTCCAGCTCGTTGCGTGCGAGTGCGAGTGTTTGATGGGGGTGCTGATTTGAGGTGCCGATGCTGTACCCGACAGTGTGCGGTGCTGTGTGGTTCTGCGTGGTGCTGTGCGTGGCAGCAACCACTCCTATGACTTCTACACTGAGACTGCGATGGATGCAGACAGGTGGAGCAAGTGCGATGCTGAGATGACTGCAGCTTGGGAGGTGAGTGCAGTGCAGTGCAGTGCAGTGCAGTGCAGTGCGGTGCAGTGCAGTGCAGTGCAGTGTGTTTAGGGAGCTGAGGTTCTAGGTTCCTGCAGAAGCATGAATATACCGCTTCTGTTCCCGCAACAGCATGTTTAATTTGTGGTCCACCTGAGAGCTGCAATCCGTGGATCAGCATCTCAATACCTTATCTTGACATTCCCTCTCCAACCCTTTCTCACGTCTCTCTCTCCCTCTCTCTGTCTCCCCCTTTCGTTCCCCTCTCTCTCCCCCCTTCTTTCCGCACTCTCACCCACCTCGCCAATCCATCACCAAGTCACTGTGCACGGCAGTGTTGGATGCACGCACACAAGCCGAGGACCCACAGCTCTACCGCCACCGCATTCAGCACGCCATTCTCCGCCTCGCCTTCTTCTGGTGCGCCACGCAACCACAACCACGCCCACGCCTTTTTTCTTTCTGTTGCACCCTCTCCCCGCAACTCCAGCCTTTTCTCCTTTTTCCTCGACCCTCCCTTGCAATCCATCCCACCGACTCTCGCCATAGCTAGCTGGTCATAATTCTCTGGATCGAATCAAATACTTACTAGTTTCTTCTGGGTTTCTCCGGACTAGACTCGAATGGGAATATCTGGATTTCAATGTAGGCCCGTCTCGGTCCCACGGTTGTCCCCATTAGGTTCCAGGTGATGCCGCTGACTCGTGGATCGGCCATGGGAGGGATGGTGGCGATCCTGGGCCTTAGCATGGCCGCTGACATGCAGACCACCGCTCTCATTCCCCCCAACGTGCATGTGAGTGAAGGGAAGATGGGATGATGGGATGTTGAGACAAGGAATAGGGATGATGAGATGATGATACAAGGGGTTGGGATGCTGGGAATTGACTGCTCTTAGCTTGGCTGCTGCTCCACACCCTCACCATCTGCCTCGGTCTTTGGCACGTGTGCTGCTGACTTGTTCATTCAGGCTTCGCCACGTGCCCTGTGTGTGTATGTATGAGCGTGTGCCTTGTGTGTGCGTTTGTGTGTGTTGTGTATGTTTGTATGTGCATTGCTGCTCCACCTGCCGCCATGCAGGTGGACTGGGAGGCGCTGCTGAGCACAAGGCACGAGGACTTTGCAGCCCAGGTGCACCCGTGGCTGTACGCTGCAGTGCAGGCATCACCGTGGCACCTCCCCCTCGTGCACCAAGTGCTCTCCACACCACGCCTCGTGCTCGCTGCTCTCACTCACGGCTTCACTGCAGAGTGAATGTAGATACGGTAGTAGTACCTAGTAGTAGCAGTACTAGTAGTACAGTAGTAGTACGTAGGTAGTACTGAGAGGCCATTTGGCCATGTCCGCCCACGATTAATGATTCAATTCGGTAGCGCTTAGCATGTTTTGTCGCTGGTGCTTTGATTACCATGTACAATGCGTGCGAAGGTGTAGAAGGCTACGGTATGGCTGCCAAAGTAGCTCTAAGCCTTGTTGCTGCTGTGTCTTGCTAGAGTTTCTAGGTTTAACAATCATTAAATTATGGTATGCTAGGATGAAGTGAACACTAATAAAGGAATATACATTCTTAGTGAAGTTGATTGAGGCACACTATCACGTAGATTGACTCCCCCAAAGACTGCACAGTTCGCGCGTCACTCTCTAGGCGAACTCCGCCCCACCCATCCCCATGCCCCCACTGCTTCCGCGTCCTCTCCGCCTTTCCCGCATAGCCACGTGTGTGGGTGGCCGCTCAGAACTTGCCACGTGGTGGCAGATGTCGCACATGGTTCTGCTGCCACCTGCCGTCTCATCCTTCAGACCCCTCATCCGTCGTTCGTTTTTCTCGCCTCCCGCTGCTGTTCCCTCCGCGCCAATCCGTCCGCCATCCCCGCTTCCCCCGTCAACACAGCCCTCGCCCTCCCCCACTTCCCCCCTGCGTAGTGCCTCTTTTCCCGCTGGCGCAATCAAGCGGGTAGAAGACGTCAGCATTGGGGGTAGGCGCAACGGCGGCAGCGGCTGCTGCGGAAGGAGGGTGTTGAGATGCGCTGCTGGCGAGGGTCGGGGGAAAGGCGGGGGAAGAGGCGGGGCGGAGACGGGGTTTGATGAGTGGATGCGGAGGGTGGCGGACGGGGGTGGCGGGGACGTGGCACTGGCGCCGCTGGCACGCAGAGATGGCGGAACGGCAGGGGAACTCGGCAAGAAGGGCGGTGAGGGGCTAGCGCGGGGAGATGGCGCAAGCGCGGGGAGGGTGGCGCGGGGTGATAGCGCGAGGGCGAGGCCGGGGGAAGGGGGTGGCGACAGCAACAGTAACGCCAGAAGACGCAGTGATAGAGGCGGTACTGGGGGAGATAATGGGGGAGCAAACGACGATGTGCGGGGCGGGGAAGGGGCTATGGGGCAGAGCGAAGGGATGGCGGATTGGATGGGAGCAGAGAGCAGCGGATTCAGTGAGTCTGGTGGAGCAGGCGGGGAAGGCGAGGGCGGGGAGGAGAGTTGGGGCCGAGAGGGAGGGGGAGAAGGGGGAGAAGGTGGGGAGGGCGTGAGGTGGTTCGAGTGGAGGGAGTGTGTGGACGTATTGAGGGCGCAGATGGAGGGCAGGCAGCTGCAGTGGAACGAGAGGCGCAGGCGGTTCGAGGATGCCTGCACTGGGAGTGAAATTGATGGCGCTGCTGCAAGTGGTGGTAGTGGTAGTGGTGGCGGTGGTGGCAACGGCAGTGTGTTCTTCCTGGCGCCGCCGCTGGTCCTCCTACCTCCCACAGCACCGCAATCACCCCAAGAGTGCGTCACACCGTACTGGGTAGGTCAGGTCCCTCCGATGCCAAACGGTTTCTCCAAAGGTTCATTCTCCAGGGGTTGTCTTGCCTTGCAAGGGGTTCTCTGCAATCCCTGACCTCCCGTTCACGCGCCCCACCACGTCTCCCCCTCCCCCTCAACCATCTCTGCAGGTACATCCGCTACCTCCTCTCTCGCCCCACCCTCTCCGCGCCCCCCGCCTCCCCCCCTCCCCCCTCCGCGTCCCCCCGCGCCCCCTCACTGGCGCTGGGGTCGCACATGGTGGCGCTGCTGTGCGCTGACTCTGCTGCCCTCGCCATCTTCCACCAAGGCAGGCTCGCACAACACAAGGTGAGCGCCTGTGCTTCATGCCCTGGGAAATCCTCCATCCGCCTGTGGCTCCCATGCTCCCTGCATGCTCCCCATCACCCTTTACTCGCCCCCCGCTCTTTTCTCTCTCCCCTCTCCCGCCTCTCCACCCCCTTCTCTTGCCCCCCACCCGCCCCCCCCCACCCCTCCCAGGTGATAACAGCATACACAGTGCGGGCGAAGCAGGGGCGGTCGCAGCTGGCGCAGCAGAGGGGCAAGGGCGCAGGGCGCATGAGTGCAGGGGCGGCCATCCGCGCACGGGAGACCCGCCGCCTCTTCTCTGAGGTTGTGCAGGTCAGTCCGTTGCAGCCCAGCGTGCGCTCATGCCCTCATGCGCTCAAACCCTCATGCACCCCTCCTCTTCGGTGTCTGTATGCGTTGCAGCGTTACTTCCATTCCTGCTCTCTCCCCGCTGCCATAGCCTCGCATGCACCTGCACCCATCTCATCTCGGTGCGCGGCCCACCCCTGCCACCTGTTTCATCTCTTCATTTGCATTAACTGCTAGCCGCCTCAAAGCTTGCCCTCCACACCCTCATTGGGTCTTTCTTCATTGGATCTTCCTCCTTGGGTCTTTCTTCATTGGATCTTGCCTCATTGGGTCTTTCTTCATTTGCCTAGTGCTGCCGTGTTTGAACAAGTCCCTGAACTCATTTCTCCATTTGCCATGTGGTGGTCGTGCTGTTGCGGCGGTGGCAGCGGTGTGTGGCATGGGAGGCGGACATCAGACAGTGCGAGAGGCTCTACTTCAGTGGAGACGTGCGTGCCTGGAATGAGGTGCGGTGTGCGTGGAATGAGGTGTGGTGCGCGTGGAATGAGGTGTGGTGCACGTGGGATGAGGTGCGGTGCACGTGGAATGAGGTGCGGTACACGTGGAATGAGGTGCGGTGCGGATGGAATGAGGTGCGGTGCGGATGGAATGAGGTGCGGTGCAGATGGAATGAGGTGCGGTGCGGATGGAATGACAGGCGCTGTTTGCTTGTGAGAGATGAGCGGGCTGTGCAGCGTATGAGCGGGCGGTGCAGCGTATGAACGTGCGGTGCAGCGTATGAACGTGCGGTGCAGCGTATGAGCGTGCGGTGCAGCGTATGAGCGTGCGGTGCAGCGTATGAGCGTGCGGCGCAGCGTATGAGCGTGCGGCGCAGCGTATGAGCGTGCGGCGCAGCGTATGAGCGTGCGGCGCAGCGTATGAGCGTGCGGCGCAGCGTATGAGCGTGCGGCGCAGCGTATGAACGTGCGGCGCAGCGTATGAACGTGCGGTGCAGCGTATGAGCGTGCGGTGCAGCGTATGAGCGTGCGGCGCAGCGTATGAGCGTGCGGCGCAGCGTATGAGCGTGCGGCGCAGCGTATGAGCGTGCGGTGCAGCGTATGAGCGTGCGGTGCAGCGTATGAGCGTGCGGCGCAGCGTATGAGCGTGCGGCGCAGCGTATGAGCGTGCGGCGCAGCGTATGAGGGGGCGGCGCAGCGTATGAGCGGGCGGTGCAGCGTATGAACGGGCGGGCGCCGTTTGCTTGTGAGAGAGGGCGGGCGGGGGTGTATCCAGGTGCTGCGCAGTCGTGGAATGAGCGGCATGCTTGCGTTCCGCCTGTCTGCCTTGCTACATGCACAATACATAACTGTGTTAAAACATGCTGCACTGCTCTTTCCTCCTGTGCTATAGACCATGTCATGTTCCCTCGCACCCCACTCCACCCCACGCGCCGCCACACCCTGCCATCCCCATCACGCCCCACCACTTCCCTCCCTGCCCCACCGTGCCCCATCATGCCGTGCAGGTGTATGCATGCCGTGCACCCGCCATGCCAGTGGAGCGCAAGGACGAGCGGTGGGTGAAGGTGCCCTTCCACGTCGCCCGCCCCCGCCTCTCACAAGTGCTCCAGTGAGTCGCACCCGTGGGATGGGTGGTGGGAGGGTGGTGGGATGGTTGGCTTTTTCCTTTCTCCCTCTTTCCTTTTGCCCTGTGCCATGCCCCATGCTGCAACATAACTCCCCTCTCTCCCTCCTACCCACTCCCACTCCCTCCGTTCACTCCATCGTGCTGCATGCAGTGTGTTCAACCGCCTCAGCCATGGGTGCTACGGAATAGAGTCCAGATGACGTTTAGGGTGGGTGGGTGGCCCAAGCGGCTTGCGTGAATTGGTAGCACTCTGTTGGCACCAAAGTGGTAGCACCAATGATGCTGGGCCCTCCTCGCCTCGGGCAAGTGGGAACATGAACTAAGGGGACGTGCAGGAATGACGGTGACGGACGGTGGTTCATGATGAAATCAAGCAATCACCCTATGCTGGAACCGTTGCAAAAAATACTCGTGCTTACATGAGCCAAAAGGCCTCCATGCAACCGACAACCAGTGATTTCTAGCCCATGTACCTAATCTGCTGCTTGACTACCATCTCAGTATCAGTCATACTCATCTAAGATGGTGGTCTCCCATACAACAGCAAGAGCCCATTCGATGCATCCGGACACCTGCCAAACGGGAGCTCCGGGTCAGATTCATTGAACGGCGGCCCTCCCACAAGCAGCCCCCCGCCAGGGCACTGGTGCGGCTGGGGTGGGTGGTGATAGCACGGCTCCAAGGGGGCTGCCTGGCAGGTCTTGGCAACAAAGAAGGAGGGGCGGGCAAAGAGCGAGGAGAGGAGGTATCCAAAGGTGGAGGCGGGGAAGACAAGGATAGCGTCAGAGGCGAGGGCGACTGTGTAGATGTCTATGATGGCGTGCTGTAGCTCCGCGTCGAGGCCGGTTTGGGATGTCTCTGTGGTGAGACGGTCTAGGGAGAAGGTGCCGCTGCTGATGATGGTGCTGTTGCTGATGCTGCTGCTGCTGGGGGGGATGCTGGTGACGGTGCTTACTGGGGTGATATCCGTGGCAGCATCGCTGCTGCTGTTGCTGTTGCTGCTGCTGTTGGTGGCGATGGCAGTGGTGGTAGTGGTCTCTGTACTGGTGGGGATTGCAGCGCTGGTGCTGCTGTCAGTAGTGACGTTGTTTGGGCTGTCTGTGACAACAATCTTGGTGTACGTGAGAGGGGGGGACGAAGCATTGGGAAAGAGCAGAAGGGAGAGGTTGTACGGGGCAAACTCATTCAGAGCAGCAATGAGCACAACTGTAGAGCTGCCCGATGTACTCACACCCCCTCCACTGTCACTCGTGCTGCCACTCTCTCCGCCAACAGCAGCAGCAGCGGCAGCAGCAGCAGCAGCAGGCGCGCCCCCTACTTCTAAAGCCCGAGCAATTGCAAGAGCAGCAGAAGTCCCTTCCTCAGACGCCACACCCATTCCATACGCCGTCGCTTCCCCCGTCCCATTCACTACCCCTCCACTGCCCACCGCTGCACCACCCTCACCCACTCCCCCCACACCTCCTCCCACTGCCCCCACCCCACCAGGCTCTCCCCTAGCCTCTCCCCCCCCCTCCCCTTTCTCCCTCTCTCGTCGCGCCTGCGCCACTGCATCCCCCTGCATGACTTGCACGATGCACTCTGCGGCCTGCGACATAATCCCCTCGCTGCTCTGCCGCAGCTGCAGCCCCACCCGGGCCGCGGCCGGCGCCGCCCGGCGGTGAATGTTGTCCGTTATGGCCGCCCAGAGGCGGTTGTTGGGGAACATGATGAGCTGGGAGACGGTCTGGAAGATGCGCCCAGAGGGGAAGAGGTCACGTATGTGGCGGCGGAAGGAGGGGCGGTAGAATAAGGCTGGGAGGAAGTATTGATTTGCACGGAGCAGGAGGGAGGGCACGCGTGCGAGCCATTGCTGCTCGGATTCGCAGAAGAAGATGCTCGTGTTGGCCATGTTGTGCTGCAGAATGATGTTGGCTCTGATGGGGGGACGGCGGGGAGGAGGTGGTGGATGTGCGTAAAGATATGGGGGGAGGGGATGGGAGGATGAGTAGGGAATAGAGTGGGGATGGTGGGGATGGTATGAGGACACAGGGACACGAGGCACGAAGAATAGAGAATGGGGGTGGCAGGGGGACACGAGGCACGAAGAATGGAGTCAAGCGGAGGGGAGGGGAGGGGAACGGGAAGTTGAGAGGGGAAGGCGACAGGTTGGGAGTGAAGCAAGCACAGTGAGGAGGGGAGGAGATGGGGTGGTGGCGGGGGGGTGGGGGGGGAGAGGGGAGGGAGGGAGGCAGAGGCACTCGCACACGTTGGGTACAGGCATGGTGTCACTGGTGCCGTTGTCAATGGCCTTGACGCGCTCTTGGAAGTACGGATACGAGAGCTTTATATGCAGCACCTCCGCGTCCCACAGCTCGCCCTTCACGTCTGAGAACACAAACCACGGCGCGCCTTCGAACGGCTGGCACATCAGCTTCCCCGGACCGCGCCCCGTTAGCAGCAGAAACACCCGGTTCGTTAACAGCGCATACACAAACGCGGATACGAGCGAGATGTACTGGTTCCCCTGCCCGTCGCCGGGATTGAAGTGCCATAGCAGGTACTTGCACTCTGTTGCGTTCCCCACGCGCAGCTTCGTCTTTAATGATGTGATGTTTTCCTTCGCGTCGCAGTCGCGCCGGTACTCGTGGTACGCGCGCAGCTTGCGCTTGAGCGTCTCGGACCGCTCCGCCATGCCATGGCTGCCCGCGTAGCACGGGAACTCCGCCTTGCTCCAGCACAGGTGCGGCGGGCGGTGGTAGCGGTGTGTATGGTCAGCGGAGCGCGCGAGCGGCGAGTGTAGCGGGTCCGACGTGTCGCACTCTGGAACGGGAAGGGGGGCGCGCGGGGACGAAAAAAGGGAGGGACAGGGATGGGAAATGGGGAGGGACGGGGAGAGGGGGGGGGGGGAGGGAGGTAGAAGAGGAGGCGCGGGACACGGGGTCAAGTGGGGTAGGTGATATTTGCGAATGCGGGTGCTACTAAGGAGAGGTACGAAGAACGAAAGGGGAAACGAGTGATTCTGGATTGGCTCAGACGGTTCACTGGTAGCCGTTGGATGAGTGCGCAGTCGGTCCGCACCGTGCAGCGTCGGGGCGTCGGTGGACGGCGCGACTGGAAGAATAGGTCCCAGCGCGATCACCGCGACTAGCGACAGCAGCGCCACGCCGTGGCTCCGCGCGCGAAACGCGCCGACGCTTCCGCGGCCTCGCGAACCGGTCATTCAGCGCGCGGGGAGCGGGCTTGGGCAACGCGAGGGATGCGGAGCGGGCGGAGCGGATAGACGAAGGCACCCTGGACGACAGGAGGAGGTGAGGTAGTGTTGAGGTGAGCGTTGATTGCGGGCCGGCGAGGTCGCTTCACACAGCTTGTAGTCTGGAATGCATTTCTGGAGGGGCGATGCGATGCGATGCGATGGTGATGGGCAGTTGTGGCGTTGGCGGGAGGTTGGGGAAGTCGACGAGGTGGCGATGATCGAGGTTACCTGGTTAAAAATGCCGTTACGGGAAGGTTTGGATTGCGACTGTCCTGCACCTTATGTGTACTACATTACTGACATGACAGCACCATTATTCAAGCTGCTAGACAGGCAGGATTCTAGATCTAGACAAGCTCGGCAGTGGACGGGCTGATGTGATGACAATAAAGCTTGTACAACCTAGGACTTGAAGTGGTATGGTGAACCAAAAGATGGGCTGATTCAGATGTGATGATACAAAATGCCCTATCCTCAATGTGCTAATGGTAACTACCTACCTACAACCACCAAGATACTGTAAATACTGCAAGATGCAGTGCTAGTTTGATACACATCCAAAGCTGAATCTACATGCTGTATGCCTGAAAAGGAGGTGCATGCACAGAGAAGCATGACTGCATGACTGAATGGGTGCACGGCTGTATGCGGATGAGGATGCATCATCGCATGTGTGTGTAGGCGAGTGCAGGAAAGAGCAGGGAGAGAGGAAGCTGGAGAAACGGAAGGAGCGAATATGGAGAGGGGGAAAGGGAGGAGAGGGGAGAGGGGAGGAGGGGGATGGAGAGAATGGGAGAGAGAGCGAGAGCAAGCAAGGGAGCAGGTGCTGAGCATGCAAGTGAGCGAGGAGGAGTATGTCACTAATTGCAGGTGATCCCACGGCAATGCACAATCCATCCGATGAAGAAGCACGCGCAGACGATGATGCCTATAAGCAGGGCCACGATGGCACACTGCAGCGGAACAAGACAAACAACACAAAACACATAACACGTAGACACCATGTCAGCAAACGCTAAAAGGATAAAATGCAATGGCCCGAATTCACTGGAACTTCATGTGTCAGTGTGATGTGCGGAGATGAGAACGAGCATGAATCACCACGCCGCCATGATTGAACATGTTGCTACAAGTCACCACGCTGCCTGCCTGAATACGAGACCGCCCAGCGCATGAGTGCATGGGCGTACCTTGTAGAACGTTTGCCTGCGAGAAGAGTCCGACGCATGGGCTCCTGCAGCCACGGAGTTCTGGAGGCAGCGAAGCGAACCAAGGGGCAGGCACGGAGGGGGTGGTGGAAGGAACAGGTGTACTGAGCGCCACAGAAACCGCATGAGCATTGTGAGACGAGCATTCATTGTTGACACGAATTTTCCAGGATAAGTGTTGGGGATTCGGACTGGTTGGGGAAAACAACGGGCGGATGCTTGAGCACACGTGTGCGCAGCACACATACATACATGCACCCACGCATACCTTGTTGCCAGCATCAGATGCCACACGTGCTTGCCCCAAGGTCTCCTCCCCCACGTCTATGTACACTGCTGCATCCTTCGCCCCATCACCCGTCTCCCTCCCCCTGCCCTCCCCTGCAGCTGCCTCTGCGGCCCCCAGTGTGGTTCCAGGGGGGTGCGGTGTGAGCAGCGCCTTGCTCCCCTTGTGCTGCTGCAGTCCGGTCAGCAATGAATGGATCTCTGCCACCATCACCCTCTCCGCCTCCTGCTGCTGCTGCTGCTGCTGCTGCTGGGGCATGCTCGCATGCTGCTGCTGTTGCTGCTGCTGCTGCTGTTGCTGCTGGGCAGTGCAGGGTGTATGGGGCGGTATGATGTGCGGGTCTGGTTGCACTCCCCTCATCGCAGCTGCCAGCACCGAGCATGCTGCCGCCGCCGCTGCAGCCTCTGATTCTGCATCCCCTGCAGCTTCCACACTACTGCCTCCGCTCACCTCCTCTGTGATCTCACACACGCCCCGCTTCTTCCTCTGAGGCGCCTCACTCACACCCCTTCCTCCGCCGCCCTCCTCTCCTCGCATCCTCCTCGACCCCCCACTCCCTGACAGCATCTCCAGAGCCGACAGCCCAAACATCAACCCCGAGTTCCCTCTCCTCGCCCTCGCATCCCCCCCATCCCCGCTCACATCTCCTTCCTCCTCCCTCCCAGCTCTACCCCAGCTGCCCTCGCCCCCCCGCATCCTGCCTCCCAGGGCAGCAGCAGCAGCCAGCGGCCCCTCAGTCCAACGGGAGATTAGATCCACAAACTGCCTCCGCACCTCTCCAGAGTTCTGCTCCCTCCCCTCTCCCTCTTCCACTCCTCGCCTCGCTGCCGCCGCCGCTGCAGCAGCCGCCAGGCCCTCTGTCCCTGTGCCAACAACCGACCACCCAGCAGCAGGGCGCGTGCCCTCCGATTCCCGGGGGGCGGCCGCAGCAACCCCAGGGGTGGACGAGGAGGGGAGGTAGGAGGAGAAGGAGAAGGAGGCGTGACAGGCGTCGGCAGAAAGGAAGGTTTCAGCGGGAGAGACGCGGGAGAGGTCGGGGTTGAGCTTGAGGGAGCGGCCTAGGTGGTGGGACCAGCTGGGGGAGGTGGCAGTGGCGGGGAGCAGGTGCTGGTAGTGGGGGTGCGACGGCCGTGAGAGCAGCTTCGGGTCTTGGTTCTCCATGCCATCACTCCCAACAGCAGCGCCAGCAGCAGCTGCAGTGCCCCCAGGTGTATTAGCAGCACCCACGAAATCGGCGCTTTCACTGCTCCCAAGGGCAGCAGCAGCAGTGAGGGTGGCAAGCGAACCAGGAAGAAGCTCCACAGACCATCCTTTTCTCAACACCTTCCCCCACTCGCTTCCCAGCCGCTTGGGGAAAACATCGGAGCTGGACTTGCAGCTGAGAGAGCGGTTCTGATGGACTTCAGAGGTGTCCCAAGCGGCTGAGCCTGCATCTACCTCTGGTAGGCATTCCAGTGATTTTCTTCCGTCGCTCCCACCTGCTGCTCCCTCGCCTCCCTCCTGCTTCTCGGGCAGCAGCGCCTGCAACGGGTGTGAGCAGAGAACAGGGTCGACGTGATGCCCTTGATGTTGCTGCTGCTTCTGCAGCTGGTGGTAGTGGTGCGGTTGAGAGTGGTTCTGTGCGGGGCAGTAACTCTCGGACCAGCCCTTCCTCCCTTCCGCTGCTGCCTCGCCTGTGCTCCACTGCCCCTCCTGCAGTCCAAGCACGCCTTGTCCACCCTCCATCTGAACAGGCAGCTTATTCACGTACTCCCCACGTTGAGGCTGATTGAAGGAACGACACCGAGGGCCTATTATCAAGCTGCCAGCATTCGCAGCAGCTGCAGGGTCAGCAGCAGCAGCGGCAGCAGCTGCCGCCGCAGCCGCCGCAGCAGCAAGCGATTCGGCAGCAACCCAGGCCTGGCGGGAGGTGTGGGCGTGGGAGAGGGGCGCAGAGGAGGGCATCAGCGCTTGTATCTCTGCACTGCGCGCCCGCCGCTCCTCCGCTGACCAGCTCCCTGCTCCCCCCCCTCTCCCTGCTCCTGCTGCTATCCTTGGCTCCTTCGCTCCCAATCCCCCCCTGAAACTTGGCACTGTTCGTTTCAGCCCAGCCCATGTGCCTGCTTCTGCCTTCCTTGCCATTGCTCCCCCTTCAGCAGCCGCCGCCGCCGCCGCTGCCGCCGCTGCCCCCGCTGCTGCCGACGAAGCAGAGGCCGCTGCTGCAGCAGCTGCTGCTGCTGACGCGCCTGGAGGAGACACACCATCATCTCCACAGACCACGGTTCCCCCCCGCTCCTGCGCCTGCTTCTCCTGCGCCTCTTTCTCCTCCGCCTCCTCCTGACAAATAAGCTCATTGATCATATCCAGCTCATCTTCCAGCTGTCGCAACGACTGCTCCTTCATCTCGCGCATCTCCTGTTCTGCCTGCGCATCCGGCCCGGCAGGCTGCACCAGGTACGCCCTGGGCGCGTCCGCGTACAGCAGCAGCGGCTCCTCCTCTGCTGCAGGCGCGCGCAGGGGCGCTGCAAGCGCTCTCAGGTGAAGCTCTGCTTGTAACGGAGCGTCGGCTTTCGAGTCCTTGCTAGTACCCGTAGTAGCTGCTGCTGCTGCTGCTGCTGCTGCTGCTGATTCTGTTCCGTGTGCTGCTTCCCCTGCTTCTCCCCCTCCGTCCACTGTTCCCCCACGTGCGGATTGCTGCAGCAGCAGGTGGTGGTGGTGGTGGTGCAGGGGGCGGGCGTGGGCGTCGAGCAGGGAGGAGAGCAGCGCATAGCCCTTGCCACGGTCCAGCACTCCAGGGAACGTCCGAGCCACCAGCACTGCTGTCACTCGCGACCACGCTGCTCCTGCTGCTGTTGCGGCTGCTCCCGCTGCTCCTTCCGCGGATGCTGCTGCTGCTGCTGCTGATAATGGTGATGAGGAGACTGGGGAGGATGATTCTGATGGGGGGTCGGCAGTGCGCGCAGCATGCATGAGCGGCGACTCCTCCCTGTGCGGGCTCACAGAGCGAGGAAGAGAGCGCGCGGTGGCGTGCGGGGGAGACGGCTTGTGGAGCGGAGGAGACGGGGAGCGGGCGTCGAGAGACAGTTGTCGCTGGTGGCGGGTGCTGAGGCCGGACGCGCAGAGGCGCATGCAGCCCGGGGGGCCGCGGCGTTGCTGGTGGTGGTGGTGGGAGTGGTGCGAGTGCTGCACGTGCTGGTGCAAGAGTAGCACCATGGTGTTGCCATGTGCCTGGCAGAGCACACACGCAGGACAGGGAGCAGGCGGCGAGGGAGCAGGCGGAGAGGGAGGCGGAGAGAGGACAGGGCAGAGGGGATGAAGAGAGAGGAGAGGGAGTGTGAGGGAACGGGGCGCAGCGGGGTTCGATGGAACGCAGATGGAACGCAAGTCGGTCTGCTACCGCATCACACACATGCGAGGCACGATGCGGACATGCCATCCCCTGCGCCGTTTCACTGTCTCCACCTTGAATCCCGTACCATGCACCATGGCTTCACGCCCATGCCACCTCACCTCATCCCTAACGTCCCATTCTTAACCTGTCATCCCTAACCTAGCCCAGGGCCGCACACACCAGCCGCGCGACCTAAAACAGCAAGCAACATGCGTCGCGTCCCGTCCCATGAAACCAAGAAAGGAGGAGGTGGCGGAGGGGAGAGAGGGGAAGACGGAGGGGAAGGAGAGAGAAGGCACATACACATATGTGCACCTCGTACCGCCACATATCGAGGAACTCACTATGGAGTACGGGTTGGCGTGCGGTGGCGCGTGAAGGAGCGCGTCGTGCGCGACGGGGAGGTAACGGTCGTCGCCCACGTGGGTGGCGACGAAGCGACCGTCGACAGCCACACCGAGCACCAACACCAGCGCCTCTTCCTTCCTACTACTGCCGACCTCGTCTCGCTTCCCATTCGCCCCTCGCCGTCCCTCGCGCCGTGCGTCGCGCCCCTCGTCGTCGGCAGTTCTGGTTGCCGCCCCTTTCAGTCGACCCCTGTCCTTGGACCACCCTTTCATGGCGCCGCTCCCTTCTCTCCCGCTCTCGCACTCCGGTGAGCTATCGTTCTATCGCGCTATTGCTCGTCAATTCCTGGTCTCTACCAGGTCGTTTCGCGAATAGGTTGTTGCTCTATCTCTATAAGCACCGGTAAAATAGCACGCGTCGCTTTACCGATAATCCTTAGGGTGGACAAAATCTGCTTTCCTACGGGGGGAAAGCCGACAGGGAATCATGAATTCCACTGGCAGGCTGCGATTTTGACTGAATCCCTGACGAATTTTAGTCCTTCGAGCTAGTACTACATCCAGGCACTCTATTCCACTGGACCTTAGAAGCTAGGTGAAAAGCTATCGTCAGGCAGAACAGCCGCGAGATTTTTATCGGACCAACTACAACCGGTGGAATGGACGTGAAGAGAGATTTTTATCGGACCTAGACGTGAAGGGAAAGGAGGGGCTGGGTTGAAGTCACGCGCCAGCGCTTTACCTCCGACGAGCTTGTCTGCCTCCCCGCGACAGTGAGCAAACCGCGGTGAAGGGAAAACGAGGGAGAGGCGGAAACGATAAACGGGCGGAGACGGCTGTGCTGCGCCTGAAAGGGGAAGCTCTGGGGCGGGGAGAAAGGGTCGTGGGGAGAAAGGGAGGGGGGGGGAGAGTGAGGGGGGTGTGGTGGATGGAGGCGGAGGGAGGGGGAGGTGGAAGAGTGTGTCTGTGGAAGGGAGAATGCTGTAGTACAGTGCCGTGGGGCGGAGAGCGCCGAGCCAAGATTCACGAATGGGTAGGCGTCCCATGTGTGGTTGGCGTTTGGAGAAGGGATGGAGAAAATCAAAGACGAATTCAAAGATGCCCGCTGACTGCGCTGCTGAGTACGCTTGACTCGCTGACTCACATTGTTTCGATCCGTGCACTGGACAACATCCTGTCTATCGGTGGAGAGAGTGTTTGCACCTCGGGCAGAGTTGAACTCCCTTGGTCGGTGATTGACCCCACCCCAATATGATTTTGAACTGTATTTTTAATGCCCACGGTCAGATGTCGAACAGCCGTCGATGGCCGTCCGATGACTCTCAAAGTTTTTTGGATACCGACGCTGGCCGACAATTCCCATCTTTGATTACTCTCCCCCAGAAAAAAAAAACTTGCAGAGTCGACAAATTTGCAGCAAAGCTGAACGAAAGCGGTTGTGAACCGTGTTGGTCGCGACCAGGCCTGTCGAAGTTCCTGGGGCTCGTACTTGCGCTCCCCAGCTCCTCCCAATCTGACCCTTGGTTGGGGGTAGGTGAGCGTTTTGGCGCCCTTAAGGGTCACGGGCGCACCCCAAAGTCAGAACTTGAAATCAGGGCATGTTTGAAGTTTGCACTTACACTTCATTTTACTATGATAAGTGCTGTTATGTACTTAAATTAGAAGTCAGAGACACCTAACACTACACATGTCTTAAATAGTCATAAAACCTACCTAGCCTGCAAAGTTCTCATTCTCTACACTAACTACAGATATGGCATGCAGAGCTCAGCTACTCTACTCTAACCCGACATCCAATGCGAGCCTAGTTGGCAGGCTTCCTCCCCTTCCTCCCCTTATCCTCAAACAAGGCATAGGCCGCTGCCCAGACCACCGGGTAGTCTAGCATCTTCACCGTCATCAGCTCCCCCAGCCTAACATCAGTAAGAGCAACACGATCCCACGACTTAATAATGTTTTGGCGGGAGAAGCCCCTCTCACACTCAACAGTGCTGAGGGGCAACACAGAGACCGCACGCCAGAGAGAGACTATGGTGGGATAGTCATCCTTCCAGTCTGCAGTGCGCAGCATGTTGGTGAGAGCCTGATGGAAGCTATGCTTCTTAAACTTCTTCTCCATGGTGGCTGTGAAGAGGCGCATCTGCGGCTCTATGTCAGCAAGAGCGACTCCTGCCAAGGACATATACAAAGTTAGATTACGTCATTGTGTGAGCATAATACGTACAAAGTTAGAACATACGTGGGTTCCTTTCATACTAATCTAGGCTTACCAGGTAGCTGGTTCTTGAACATGTCCAGGAGCTCGGTGAGATGGTGCTGCGTCCATGTGTCCTGCTCTCCTGCACGGAAGGGATACTTATCAGGAGTGAAAAACCCAACACCATCGAAATGGCGCAGGTCCGCCATCCTCTTCCCCAGCGCCTTAATCAGGCGCTGAGCGAAACGCCGCGCCAGGTCCACGCAGGCCTCCAAGTCACATCCCCCCCCCCCCGGGTTTTCAGGGTCGATGATGTCCTCGTGGAGCTCGATCTCGGCTTTTGCAGGTTTCAGGCGGTACGCTTCGTGCGCGCTTTCGCGAATCTGGTGGCGGACTTGCGAAGCTAAGGTGAACCTGACGGTAGCGGGCTGCTGAAGAGGTGTAGTCTGTGACGATGATGCTTGCTGGGCGAGGCGCGGGTCCAACACTGAGATTGCTACGTCTAGCATGTCTTCAGCATCCGAGCTCGGTCTCGGTCGTAGTATGAGAATGACTAACGTTCGACATGGGCAAAACTGGAGGAGGGGTTTCACCCTCGCTAGGATCCATTGTGGGAGAATGTGGCTGACGAAGCGAACGGGTTAGCTACCCATACTATAAACATCGCGTGCGTGAGCTAGGCGACGCGAGGTTTACTCGGCAGAGTGGTTGGGTGGAGGAGAAGTGCCATAGCATGGCACGTACGAGAGGGGAGGGGAGAGCTGAGGGCTTGGGTGGATGATACCGTGGAGGTGGTGGGACGGTGCGGAAGAGAAAACATGGGTGGGATGTGGTGGTGGATGGATTGCATGGTGGTGGAGAGGAATCGTGGCTCGCACGAACGAAGGTGGTGAGGGAGGGAGCTGCTGCGCTGGAGTGCTTCAGTTCCTTTGACGTGCTGTGGTTTAGTGTCTTTGATGTCTCTGTGGCCAAACAACTTAGCCAGATTTACCCAAGATAATCCCATGTGTCACAGCTGTACACCGCGGCCAGCTCGTATTGGATGCTAAGGGAATGTGCGGGTGCTCCTAGGCTGACTGAGAGACACGCTACACACACGGGATTGGCTACAAAACGCTAAGGGACAAAACCCCCTTGGCGCGCTCTAGTGCAGGCTAAGGAGAAAGAGGGGGGGAAGGGGGGGGGGGGGGGGGGTCCTACGATCTGAAACCAAAACTTAGATAAAGGGGAAGGCCTGGTTTCGTCCCTTAACGCATCCGGGCAAGGGTCGAATGAAGCACTTAGTGGCACGGGTGGGGTGCGAAACAAAAACTTGACGCATTGGAGCTGGAGCGAAACTAGCCCTTAATGTTCAGGGCATTAAGGGCATATGCCCGTCAATCGACAGGCCTGGTCGCGACCAGGCTGACCATGTGACCGCGATACAAAAAAACCCACGGACTTGGCCACCAGAATGGGGCAGCTTGGAAGGAAAATACGCATGAAGATTTGAGTGGACTTTGGTCCAACAGCTCAGCAACATGAGCAATTCGTCAACAAGCGTCACCTGAATGGAAGTCCAAAGATACACTAATCAGTAATGAGAAGAGCAACGTTTTAACTAAAACATTGTTTTAACTCTGCATTTACATCAAAGCAGAATTTGTACGGGGGGCTACCCACGCACTTCAGGGTGGCATTTCTAAGCATTCATAACATTTAACTGCAACCATGCCGTATAACATAAATTTAATCGTAAGTACGGTATATCGTATTATATTATCAACATATATACGGTACGATCAATCTCTTGGATACATCTTTGTGGGTGTTGGGTGCAATAAGGGAGGTAGTGGACTGAGGACGGGGAATGCATGATTCTCACTGGCGCACAGCACGTCAAATTGAGTTATAGCCGGTTCACGTGAGGGGGGGGGGGGGGGGGGGGGGGGGATTTGTCCACGTGCATGCACCACGAACCTGACATGCATTTACGACAATCGAAGCAGAAGGTGAATTCGACAATATATAGCCAGTTCATTAGCCAGTTCATTATAGAACGTTTAGGGAGAATGAGTCATGTATACTTCTTCCTACACTGTGTTGTCTGGTACTATACTATATTTAGATTAAAGTTGAGTCGTCTGGTTACCATCACAGTACCCTCTTTGACGCACGAGTGCAAGCCAACGATTCGGCACTCACACCCTCCGACCGTTCAACAGCTCACGTCCATCTTGTCCCGCCGTCATTGGACGATTTCACGAACCAGTTTCGGCGACCCGTTTCACATACTCCACCGTGGCGCCGCGGCTTTCCTTGCATTGCGTTTGACAAGGCAAGTGGAGAATTTCAAGGCGCCTCCAGCGCACGAGCGGGCAAAACAGCGCGCCCATTGAGATGAAAGAAAATATTGGCTGGTTGATGGGCCACAAATTGGAAAATTGGTTTGGAATCACTGTTGTATAGCCTGCCCTCCGACAAGGCGGCGCGGATTGCGGTGCGACGTACGGCACTTTGCCCCGTAAACGAAGCGCGAGCGGCCCATTCTCAACCAAGCCATCCCGCACATGCTCAGCGAACATCGCAACATCCGTGCGGCGCGACGGCATGATATGACACGCACACGCTTTCCCGATTTCCTCAAATTCAAATTCTGCCCCACCTTGTTCCTCCTCACACATAGCGTAGCAGTACTAATTACTTCCAAGTACCCTTCATCACTCTTACGGTGGGGCTGTCCCGCTAACTTGTGTCGGTGGCTGCTCCTCGTTGCCATCGCGTCACTGGAGTGTGATACCCATCGATCGGTGCCTAAAGAGCTTCAAGAAGTTCTCCACATCAACTATTTGCCTTAGTCGTGTGTGGAGTTGGCGCTTTAACCTTCAGGGTTTCCCGCCTTAAAATATTGGTAACAGCGGGGAAGCTGCGACTACAGTGTTCCTTGAGTCCGTCGCCAAGAATTGCTCGAAGCTCGTCGTCAAGTTGTCTCGAATTGGCTACCTCCGCTTCGCATCCAGCCATGACGCGGCTCAAGTCAAGTCGAGCCTCACTGCAACCACTTTTTCTCGTGCTCGCTCTCTTATCCGCTTTCTGCGCGCCCTTGTTGGCGCATGCCGAATGCCCTGAGGGAGCCGTCTCTCTCTGCAAAGCCGCCGACGATCCCGCTCTATGTCAACACGCAATCTGCTCTCGTACAAGCGATGCCGCAACGTACGCCGTGCGAGGCCGTTCTCTTTCGGAGGGATCGTCGCGAACCAGCGACTTGCTGACGTCGCTGGCGGTGGAGGCTGCGGAGGCGGAAGTGCGGGGTCTGCGCGGGCAAGTAGCGGCGCTGGAGGCGGACACGGACAGCGGAAAACCGGAGCGTTTGGTGGCGCGTGATTGCATCGACCAGGTGAGCCATACATCCTCCCACGATGCAACAGCGTCTAAAGTCTCCCAAGATGCTTTGTTGCTTTCATGAAAAAACTTGTTTTCTTACTCACGCTGGTCGCGTTGTTTCTCCGTGCTGCAGCTGGACATGGCTTCCAACTACCTAGTTAAGGCGTACGAGTCTCTCCGCTCCAACGACGAGCCCGAAGGCCAAGCGCACTGGGTCTCGGCCGCGCTCGCGCTCACCTCGCAGTGCACCGCCGCGCTCACTGCAGCTTCGGCTCCCGTCACCCCCTCCGTCAAGCTCGCTTTTTCCGGTGTTACTGCCTCAAGCGCCTCTTTCAATGGCGACGACAGCGCGGGACTCACCGCCGCGACAGGCGCTGCTACCGGCGCTAGCTCCATGGCGACTGTGTCTCGATCCATGAGCACGGGTCTGGGAAAAGAGTGCAAGGATTACATCGCGAACGCGCTATCCGTCGTCGCGTCCCTTCGAGGCGTGGAGGATGACGAGGACGATGATGGCGAGGAGCCCCTGGAGCTAGCGGCGGAAAGTGCGGGAAGGAAGGCGCTGGAGCGAGAGCAAGGAAGCACCGAGCGTATTCCTGAGATGGAGACTATCAGCGAGGATATGGCGGCTGTGATTGCGGAGTTCGGTGGAAGCGCGGAGGAGGTCGACAACGTGCGCCGCGGCGGGAGGAAGTTGATTGGCGGGAAGATTAATCGGAGGGCGGAGAGGTTGCTGCGAGGCATGGGAGTTTCGAGTGCGACAGCCGGCACGTCCGCGAGCGACACGAAGGGTCGCCCAGATTGGGTGGACGACAACGAGGAGAGGCAGCTGCGAGAGCTGCAGCACTTTATGCAACACCACTATCGCATCCTTCGCGAGTTGTTTCCAAGCAACTTTTCGCAGCACTGGGAGGCAAACCGCGGGCGCACGCTCGTCGTGACAACGCCTCCCGCACTGAACGCTGCAATCAGCCAACTCGAAGTTACTCCTTCGCCAGCTCCTCTCGCCAATACCGCCGCCGTTACTGTTCCTGGGCCGGTACCCAAAGCCACACCAAAGACCGTGCCCAAGGTTGCTCCCTCGACCGTTCCCAAGACGGCTCCAAAGATCGCTCCTAAAACCGTTCCAAAGGCCGCTCCAAAGGCCGCTCCAAAGGCCGCTCCTAAGACCGTTCCTGCTACCGCCCCTAAGACTCTTCCCAAGACCGCTCCTAAGGCCACTCCTAAGACCGTTCCTGCTACCGCTCCAAAGACCCTTCCTAAGACCGCTCCTAGGACTCTTCCCAAAACTTCCCCTAAAACTGCTCCAAAGACTGTTCCTAAGGTCGCTCCGAAGACCCTTCCCAAGCCAACCCCTGCGACCCTCCCCAAGACCGCCCCTAAGACCGTACCAAAGGTCCCTCCTAAGACCGGCCCTAAACCCCCCACGACCGCGTCGCCCAAGGTCGCGCCTAAGACGGCACCGAAGACGGCACCGAAAGCAGCACCGGGCATAAAGGCGCCGGTTGCGGGGCCCGGCGTGGCGGTGGAATCCGTCCCTTCTCCTCCCCAGAACGTGTTCGCGGCGGCGGCGGCGATAAAGCTCCCGACTCTGAAGCCGGACTACATCGTGTCGAAGGACGGACAAAGCGGCCACTACGACACGGTGCAGGTGAGGCTCTTACACATGTGGGGCTGCAAGGGCCCGTTCACTCTTCTTAAGGGACAATAGGAGCGCCCTCATTTAGAAAATTTCAAGCCGCGTTCTGGGTCTGGTGACTTGCCGTTTCCGTGCTCATGCGTGCACCTTTCCTGCCTCTCCCGCCTCTGCTGCTTCCGCTTCTCCCGCGCGCAGAAAGTGATGGACATGCTCGGCATGACGATGCTGGAGAACCGGCGCAAGGTGATATTTATCACCAAGGGCATGTACAAGGAGAAGGTCACCCTACGCAAGGACAGGATCATCTTTCTGGGTGAAGGGCCCAAGCTGACCAAGATCGCGTTCGACGATAGCCCCGCCAAGGGCTCCACCGTCTTTGACTCCGCCTCAGTCGGTACGTTTCACGCGCTGTCGATAATTCCTCCGCCTCGATAGCATCGCGCCGAGTTTACGTTTTCCGCCTTCTGTTGGCTAATTCTCGTGTAACGACCGTCGCTGTAACACGGATGTCGCATGGGTTGGTGCTTTTCGCAGCCATCAACGCGAACGAGTTCACGGCGATGGGCATCACGTTCATGAACACGGCGGGGCCGCGGGCGGGGCAGGCCATCGCGCTGCGCTGCGAGGGCGACAAGAGCGCCTTCTACGACTGCCTCTTCCTGGGCAACCAGGACACGCTCGCGCCCAACGTGGGTCGGCAATTCTTTAAGAACGTGGGCGTGCTGGGGTCAATCGACTTTGTCTTCGGCGTCGCGTCCGCGGTGTTCGAAGACTGCACGTTTGTCATGCGCAAACCGCTGCCCGGTTACGAAGGCTGTGTGTCGGCGCAGGGGCGCGACAAGAAGAAGGACCCGTCGGCGTTTGTGTTTTTGAGAGGGCGTGTGCTTGGCGAGAGCGCCGGGACGTACGGGTACCTGGGACGGCCGTGGTGGGCGTTCTCGAGGTCCATCTACATCAGCGTGTACCTCGGACCGGTGAGACTCTCATCTCCCTTAACTCTGTACATCACTCACCTTCATCAGCCTCTACTCCCGCTGTATGTCCTGTGGGCCCGATTTGTCTGGGTTTTTTCTCATTCGGATGCCCTTTCCTGCTCTCCTCATTTCAGGTGATTGGCCCCCGTGGGTGGTTGGAGTGGGACTATGGCGGTGGCAAGAAGACCACCTGGGGAGGCAATCCCTATTTGGCAGAGTATGGCTCGTTTGGCCCGGGTAGCAAGGGAGTTAGAGTGGCGTGGGCCAAGCCCGGCAAGATTCCATACAAACAGACATGGAGGTACTACCCCTCAAGGCTGCTGGATCTTAACAGCTGGGTCGGTGAGACCATGATTCCATACCCTGCGACGCGCTAGGCCATGCACCTCCTCCTGGCGTCCTTACCTCTCTGTACCCTATTGCTGAACCAATAATGAGGGGATCTACCTGGTCCGCCAGAGCAGGATAGTTGGAGGCCCTGATGACATTCTGCTCTCTAATAAAGGCGTATGCATTAGATGCTGTTTCCATGTTAGAAATCTAGGAAGCCTGAATTGTGCTCTTATCCTTAGAGCTAAATTCATGGAAATCAATACCTAACTATAGCAATGGTGTTGTCAGAACATCTCATCTGGGAAAATAAAAGCATTTACGGTAATCTGGGAATGTGAGAACTCTATAAGGAAATAATGACATTCAGGGAAACTCTTTAGGCTTTGATAAGTTGACGTATTCTGCCGTTGTAGCTTTTGCATTGTCGTCTCTACCTCAAGCCACATCCATGGAAATATTCAGTCATCACTAAAATGAATGCTATTAATCATTTTCCCAATTTACGTTGACAGGTCATTCCTTTTGCTATCCTTTGTAAGCTGAAATCCCAGGGTAAATTAACATTTAGCTGAAGTACACATTCATCCAGCACATGACAGTGACCTCCACGAGCCGCGCGCGGGAAATGTCAAGGCTGACAAGCTCCTTGAGCCGTTGCAAGCCCAGTTTCAGACACCCACGTGGCAGCTTCGTGCAGAGTCGCAAAACTGGTCGCGAAGGTCTCTGGGGCTTGATGATCCAATCCGAACCCGCTTCCGTCGGAATCGACATCCTTCTGCGACCGTTCCACTGTTCCGTCATTCCCTAAGCACGTGCAAAGGCGGTGTGATGGTCAGATTCTCGGACCGCGTAACCACCACAAGGCAGCTCCGTTCGCACCCCATCCCAGCTTCGACATCTGAAAGGTCCAAAAAAGAAATCCTGGCCGCTGGTTTTCTAAAATCCAAACTCTTGGGCCCGGTCGTTTCCATCGAGCCGTCCACTCGTAGCGAGGACGAGCGAAGCCGTTCACTCACGAGTCAGAACCTGCTTCACACGTCGCGTCCACTCCACACCTTACTAGCACCGCCCCAAACCTCCAGTGACTGCCCGTCTCACGACGACGACCGCAGGCGGGACCATTTCCCCCATGCGACCCTGGATTGTGGGATGGTGTGGAGCGTGCTTCTTGGGTTCTTCACCCTCCCTTGATAGTGAATGCACAAACGATTGTTCCAGCTTGATTGAGGGTCCTAGCTTGATTGCAAGTATCTCTACGTTGAATCTCGCTCTCCTGCCTCCTGCGCCGCTCTTCATGTTTCAAATGGCTGCGATAGCTACGTGATGATGTTAATCGTTACGGTCGCTTTACTCTAGGAAGAATCAACCTGAATAAACCTGTAGTTTTTATTGTGTCTACTTCTACAGTTTAGAAGCGATGGCGTTGCGAACTAGTAACAACGCGTTCGCAGAGATGGATTTCCCAAATCCCAAGCTTCAGATTCGCACTAAGCCACGTTCTAAAAGCCCCGAAAAACCTCGCCAGCAATCCCCTTCTCGTGCACCTACTCGTGGCAACCCCAGTCCGCAAAGAGGCCAACCAAGCCCGGGTCGCCGCAGTTCCGCCAATGGCCGGGACTCTGGCGCAGCTCCCGCTCGCAGGGACTCGTACGGCACCTCCGCATCGGCGCGCGAGCCCGAAGCAGCTCGGCACGCGATGGGGCACAGCAACAGCCTTGGGGGACTGAGCAACCTTGGCGGCCTGGCGTCCGACCGTGTGGGCGGGGGCCGCCGTGCGTCTGACCTTCCGCCTCCGCCTGTGGAAGAAGTGTCGCTTCAGGCGCCATTCCCCAGCAGCTGGCTCGCAAGTGGGCTCTCGTCGGACGATCTCCGCGAATGTGCATATGAATTGCTTGTTAATGTCGTCGGCCCAAAGCCCGCACCGGTCAACCGCAACGCGGCGGCGGCGCGGAAGCAGCAGAATAAAGGAATTATCTCTGACGAGATGAAGGCGGTCTTGCGACTCAAAGCGGGGAGCGAGCCCGGGAAAGACGGCGCCGCGGCGCTGACACCGTTGGATGTGGTGCGGCGGCAGCTGGATATATCGGAGGCGTGCGATGAACGCACGAGGGCTGCACTGATACGCGCTCATGCGGTGAGTTATACGAAATGCTAGTGAGGCCGAGATTTAAAGCTATAACGGACTGCTAGTGAGAGAAGAGGAGGAAGTCGCAAGAATCTCTTCACGTGGATTGCTCGTGACTGCCTCAAGAGAGAAATGTCGGATTCGTCTGACACACGTACTAATGTCTCATTGGTCGCATAAGCAAGTTACCCATTGGTCTTTTCCTCCACGTTGTGCATTCTCCTCGTCCTCGTTGTTACCTCGCCACTCTAACCACTTTTTGCCTGCCTTACTTTTCTATCCCCTACGTCCTTCCGTCATGCCTGCTCCCGACTCTCCTCCCGTCCCGTTCGAAACCATCCTGCGTTCGTCGCGGTCATCGTTATCAGTCTGCAAAGAAGCCGGAGAGTCTGGTGGTGCCTCTGGAGTTGCTGTGCCAGCTAAACTTCGCCGACTTTCCCTCGCAACGCGACTACTCCCGCTGGAAGCGCCGCCAGCTCATGCTCCTCGACCAAGCCACAGCGCGCCATCCGGGCCGCGCGGCCCCCGCCTCTTCCGCCACGCCTCCCCCGAAAGGCTACAACCGCGACAAGGCCGACAGCGCCATGCGACAAGTGAAGCAGCTTATAGCGGAGCTGACGACGGGGCAACGGGACATGCAGGAGACGGCGGCGCGGCAGGCGCTGCGCAACGCCGTGACGACGGTGGTGGACATGCCGCTTGCAAGCGGCGGAAAGGGCGGGGGGCTCCCCGCGGAGGGGCGGTGGGCGGATGGGTGGCCGCTGAACGTGCGGCTGTACGCGACGCTGCTAGGGTCCGTGTTTACGGGGCTGCAGGCGGCGACGCTGGTGGAGGAGTTGGAAGAGGTGCTGGAGATTCTGGGGAAGGTGTGGCCCGTGCTCGGCATCACGCCGCTCGTGCACCGCTGCGTGTTCGCGTGGCTGTTCCTGAAGCACTACGTGTCGTCCGGGCAGAAGGAGCCCGCGCTGCTCGTCGCCGCGGACTTTCAGGTGCGTGGGGCCACAGTTGGAAAGACCGAAACAACGCTTTTGGGTGCGCAGGGTAGTTACTGAATGCGTGGCGGTGCGCGTGTAACGAGTATGGGGCTGGTTTCACGCGAGAGGAGGTGGGAGTGTGAAATATGGGTGCGGCCTGAGGGGTGGAGGAGAGCTAGGTTGGGAGTACTCGTGGAGGGATGCTGAGGTCGATGCATGCAATAGAACGCGTCATAATGGCGATGAACGGAAGGAAAGATTAATGACTATTGCAAATTAACCCGGAAAGAACGTCGCGACTTGGAACACTCCGAGGATACAGTAACAAGAACTAACGGAATGGTGGAGTGATCCAGACTACGACTAAGGAGTACTACACCAAGTGCGACGCCGGAAGCAATATACCGCAACCCTCCTGATGGCATTCCCTCCCCATCCCATCCCCCCTACCTCCGCGCACCCTCCCCCAGCTGCGCGCGGTAGAGACGGAGGTGAAGAACGAGCTGGGCAAGGGCACGGAGCAGCAGCAGCAGGAGCAGGTGCTGGTGCTGCTAACGCTGCTGCCGCACATGGTCAAGTACGGCGAGCCGCGTCTCCTCTCGTATCACGACGAGTTCCCCGACGGCGGGGCCGCGTTCGAGTCCACGGCGGGGCTCATGCTGCGCGCCGATGAGCTGCTGCAGAGCGACGAGGTGGTGGCGGCGGCGCAGCGGGCGGCGAGCGCGGGGGTGAAGCTGCCCGGGAGCGGGAGCGCCAAGGCGGGCAGCAGCGTGGGGCCCAAGAGGCGCGCGGACCAGTTTGTGCGGTCGTCCGTCAAGAAGGCGTTCTCCGCTGTGAGTTGCGCCCTGGCTTGGCTGCTGCTGCTCTGCGGCTTGGTGCCTCTCCCTTCCCACCCTTTTTGCTTGTATGGTTCAATGCCTGCAGAGTAGCATTCTCTGACGAGCAAAGAGAACACCCTACATTCTACATTCCCCCTCTTCCTCCTCATCACCAATCCCTCCCTCCACCCGTCTGTCCACCCCGCGACCCCCGCTTCGCTCAGGTGCGCGAGGCGGCGGCGCTGAGGCAGGTGACGCTGAAGCAGGCGCACGGGGGGGTGCCGCCGCTGCTGGTGGCGCTGGCGGCGGAGAGCAGCATGCTGGCCGTGGACTCGGTGGGGCGCTACGCCGCCGCGCTCAGACCCTGGAACTCCAACGCGGGCGGGCTCACCGTCGCCATAGTGCACTCTTGTTATAAGAACGAGCTGAAGCTGTTTATAGCGGATCGCACTGTGCTGTCTGTGGAGATGACTCAGGTGAGGACGCCAGGGAAGAAAATGCACCCCCTCACTCCCCCGCTCCCATTCTCTCCTCCTGTGTACCCATCCCCTTTCCCCCCACTTCCGTACTCGAACCCACACGCCTTAGCATCCCTACCCTAGGTCACTGGTTCCTCGTGCCAAATCTGCTTCCCCTACTCCTTCCCGCCCCCACCCCGCCCCTACTCCCCGCCCACCCCCTCCCTCCCCTCCCCCTCCCCAGGTGCTGCTGCAGGCGGAGAAGCTGGAGAAGCAGCTGATAGAGATGGCGGTGGAGGAGGGCGCGGACGCGGAGGACGGGGGCGCGGAGGTGATACAGGAGATGCCGCCGTACGAGACGCAGCGCACCATCGAGGTCATGCTGCAGCAGTGGCAGGACAACCGCATTGCCAAGTGCGCCGAGTGGGTCGACCGTGCCATCCAGCTCGAGGTTAGCAAAGCACGCCGTTGCACGGGGGATTGCGGCTTTGTGTGATTCGATGTGGTGCCAGCGGTTTGGTGTGGTTGCTCCGGAAGGAGTGGGGTGGTGATGGGGAGGGGCTTGGGGTGGTGAGTGGTGAAAGGAGTAAAATTCGGCTTGGTATGGCTAGCTTTTATTCAAGGGCTTTAGAGGGGCGGTTATGCCATCCAGGCGGAGGCTGCTATAGGAGTTATCCGCTGCAGCAAGATGATGATGCGTGGACCCACTATGTTGAGTCAAAGGCAAGGGAAAACTACTACTGCACAAGCACGTGATGCTTCATGCCTCTTGTTGGACGGAAGATCCATGCATCCCTCATTCTCCCTTTTCCCCCTCCCTGCCCCCCCCATCCCTTTCCCCCACCACTGTCCTCCCCCCCTCGGCTTCATGTCCCCCCTGTTGGTGAGAGCAGAAGTGGGAGCCCAAGGCGATGAAGGCGTTCTGTGCGTCGAGTGTGATGGACGTGCTGGGTCTGCTGGACGAGACGCAGGAGGCCTTCTTCGCCCTGCCGCTGCCTCCGCGCGCGGACATGCTCGTCAGCGTGGTGCGCGCCATGGAGGCCGCGCTGCTCAAGTACTGCAAGGCTGTCACCGCTCATGTTGGTGCGTGGCTGTTGAGGAGAGGGGGTACAGGGGGGACGGAGGAGACGGGGGTGGTGTGTGAAGCACACGAGCGTGGAGGGAAGGATACCAAGACCGTGGGCTCTTAGTAAATTGAAAAGAAAGGAAGAATTCAGAATAGAAACATTTATTTCTGCTGGGTTGTGCTGATCATGGGAACCTATGTCACTTGAGTTGCAGGAGCCAGGCCTAGTGGCAGCATCTCTCGTCACCCATGCAGGGAACCCGTGTGTAGCTTGACTCTCACTACGAATCTCCTTTTCTCTCCCGTGTGTACCGTGCGCGGTGTACCACTTTCCTCCTCCCACCTCCCTTCTGCCAGGCGACAAGTCCCAGTTCCTGCCTCCGTTCCCTCCCCTCACGCGCTACAAGGAGGGCGGAGCACAGGAGAAGGGCGCGGCAATCCTCGCAGCAGCCGCAGCAGCAACAGCCGCAGCCAACGGCACCAACGGCAGCATCGGCAGCAACGGCAGCAGCAAGGGCGGCGGGGGCAAGGAGAGCAAGAGCGACCGGTATGCGGTGCCACGGCTGCTGGTGCGCATCAACACGCTGTTCCACATCCACAACGAGGTGGACGCACTGGCTGCTCGCATCCGCAGCGCGTGGGAGAGAGCCTTGGCGCCCTCTGCCTCCTCGCCCTCCACTGCCGCTCCTGCGCAGAAGTCCTTCTGGCCCCTGCCCTCTTTCAAGAAGGTCAGTCTGCAGATAGATATGGGGAAGGGTGAGGCTGGACTAGTTCCATGCTGGCATGCGCTGGGTACCCTGTTAGTAACTTCGCCTATCCATGCCAATGCCTCCAGTCACTTGTCAAATTCCCTCACTCCGCCTATAACCCTTTCGAAACTCATGGCTCCCCTCACCACATCCCTGCCTTGTCTCCCCTCCCCCTTTCATCCGTAGGTGGAGACGAACGTGCCTCTGGTGCCGCCGCTGCCCTCGGAGCTGATCTGCATGTTTGACGACGTGCGGCACGAGTCCGAAACCGCCATGGCGCACCTGTGCCAGTTTGTGGCGTACCGCGTGGTGTGCCACGAGCTCAAGGACGTGGCCGTCGATGCTCTCTACGCGGGCGGGCCGGCGACGCGCATGCGCATTGCGGCGGTGCTGGAGCGCCTGCACCCGCACCTGGTGGTGATTGCGGATATTATCAATGACGGGCTGAGGGACCGCGTGGTGCTGGAGGTGCTGCGTGCGCTCGTGCACTGCTACCTGCGCGCCCTGCTCGCCGGCGGGCCGGCTAGAAGCTTCACGGTACGGTTCGGATGGGGTGCAGGGGATGGAGTAGGGAAAGGGTGAGGGGGGGAGCGGGGGAGGGGGAAAAGGAGGCTGAGGAATATGGGAGGGGAGGTTGGGGGACAGTGTTCGCTGCAATCCTCTCTGGTCATAGCAAGATTCGCCCGCAGCTCACATTTCGCTTCCCACTGGATTTCCTCCTCTGCTCTCGTGCCTCGCAATCACAGCTCGGCCCTTCCATGAGCTGCCCTACTCACTCCCATCCCCATGAATCCCCATGTGGCCAACCCAACCCCCCTTTCCTGGTCCTCCTCACCCAGGTGCCGGAGGTGCCAGCTCTGAAGGAGGACCTGAGCTTCCTCTCTGAACTCTTCATAGATGGAGGTGATGGGCTCCCTGCTGACAAGGTTCAGGCCACTCTCGCCCCCGCTGCTTCCATCGTCACTCTCATGAGCCGCGACACCGACGACATTATCAGGAAGTTTGATGCGGCTTATAAGGAGTTTTCGCGGACGGTGCCGGGAGGTGGTGCAGGAGGGAAGGATGCGAAGGGGGGCCTGGTGCTGCCGCCGGTGCCGGAGGAGTGGTGTCCATCGGACGCTAATACGCTGTTGCGAGTGCTGTGTTATAGAGGGGACAGGCGCTCGTCGAAGCATTTGAAGAAGGTGTTTGACTTGCCCAAGGAGCTCAAGAAGTGAGTGCTGTGAAAGAGAAGTTTGGGTGAGGGTCAGAAGGGAGAGTGTGAGGAGGTTGTCTGGGTGTTCCGACCCTTGGTGTATTCTCCTTACGGTCTTCTGAACTCATGCATTGTTGCCTTTCCAATCCAATCCCCTTGTCATCCAGGCCATGGTACTGAAAGCATGACAGCGGAGTCATGGATACAAGCACATCACCAACATGCGAATAACGACTGGCTGCAGGAGGAAGCCAGCGGAACTTGTCAAGTTATCTATGTCTCATTGCGCAATGCTTCTTTCGTTTCCTACATAATCTTATTACATCCGCACATAACTGACATGCATGTTTGCTTTTCACCTCCATGCTAAGTTACTTTAGGTTTGACATGGTAGGCTGGGGTGTGCAGGAGCAGCTTGAATGCTGCACATGATGCATGGATTGGAATGACAACGTCAGTCGTGTGCCTTGGTCATATCAGAACCTTGTTTGCACATACCTGACATGCTTAGCTTGGCGCTATGTCCTCGATATAACGAATAGAAGTGCCTATCCTTTTCAAACGTTTGCATGAGTTGTTATTAATCATCTGCCTTCCAATTGATTTTGCATGGAACCTTTTTTCAAGGATATTTTTTTATTTCGAGAGCAGAGATATGCGAGTTTTTTGTGTACTTGTGCACCTCTCTACTCTACTTCCGAAGCATCTCTGTAATAGGTGGTTTGTCAACTGTGCACCGACAATAAACCAATCGCACTTCGTTTGCACTTCGCCACCTCGCAGCTTCGTCGCACGTCGCATTGCGGAGCGGTTTGCGTGGTACAAACCGAGGCAGCTCGTGTGACGTGTCCAGCCCGAGTCGCAAGGCGCCACAACAGCCAATCGCATCGTTTCCTCCCCTCGCTCCCCACTTATGATCCTGTACAGTTCTGCTGTACAGTACAGAACTAATTGGCCCCCCATTCCCGCATGTGTGTCCGTCCCCTCCCCAACCGAAGCCCCTCGCACCCCCCTCCCCTCTCCCATCCACCCCTCTCTGTTTGTCCTCCCTGCTGGCTCACCTGACCGCCAAACGACCGACCGACCAAATCTCCACAAGGGGCTTGTGCTGTGCGGCATTCCACCTGTTTCTCCCCTCCACAAAGGGGCGCATTCCGAAAGGCGCCCACCCAACGACTGCGGAGGGATCTTGGCCTCTACGAGTCTGCGTGCTCTTCGTTGACAGTTGGCCGAGCTGGCGTGCCGCCGCACTGCAACCTTCTCTCTGCTGCGAACACCGCGTTGCGATTGCCCTGCAAGCGAAGCTCCTTTTCCTAGCTCTAGTGGTGGTGTCATCTACTCCAACACGCAACCGTACCGTACCGTACCCTCCTTGTCGTCGCTCCTTCCTCCTTTCCCCTCTCCTCGACTTCTCCCCTCGGCGCAACGCCGTCGGTGCATCTACTTGACCATCCGTACGTTCTCCTCCACTCTCTCCGCTCGCCGCTGCCTGCTCTGCTCTGGTTCCCTGCCCATCGCGTCTCGCGACTCCCACCCATCCCCGTTCCATTGCACCACCTTATCATTCGACTAGCACCGGCGCGCCTTGGGTACCTCCTCCTGTATCTGCTCTGCTCTGGTAGCGCTCGCCCTGCCCGCCACCTGGGACCATTTCGATCCACTGCTGCTTCCCCCACCTCACTACTGTATTTCCGTCCGCATTCTAACCCTGGGCCTCACGTCGTAACGGTTTCCGTCACGCCCTTGCCCGTTTTAGAGTAGCGCCCACGTTTATGAACCTATCCAGTGACCATCTCTAGGCACTTGTCGCGTCAACATCATCCTCTCACAGCTCTGATAGTGGGAGGCCAGATCGAGCAGCCCACGAAGTTGGTTAGCCACACTTTGACAGAATCTGGTGCGTCTGTCGGTTTAGTGTGTTACTGTGTAAAATAGGAGGGTGATGTGCGGAGGGATGTGCCAAGGGTAAAACCAGCGCCTTTTCTCTCTCTAGTCCGACTTCCGCGTACCCAGCGATTGGTTGCTGGAAGACCGATCGACGTCACGCGCTCACCGATTTTCGCGATCCCGGGCGATGCTGCGACGCAAGTGTTCGCAGCGGAGTGTGCGGGGGTAGCGAGCAGGCGGTTAGCAAGTCTGCGCCGCTCGGCCATGCACGTGCGCATCACGGGTGCGCGCTCAGCGCGTGAAGCGACGGGTGTGCAAGTTCTGTGCGCGCAGAGGGGAGGAGCCATGCGCAAGCGGAGGCGAGGCAGCAGCCACGGCGAGGTACGCGGGAAGAGGGGCCGGTAGGGGCGGGTAGTAAGGGACGTGGGGGGCGGAGGTGGGGGGCGGAGGTGAGAGCGGAATGGGCGGTTGCAAGGCAGTGGGGCGCGCGGGTAGTGCTTGCGGATCCATAATATGGCCGCCACGAGGGCACGCTCGGTACTTTCGCATTTTCGTGCGGAATTCAAGTGTCCGTTATGTTTCCCTCACACATCAGTCCTTCCATCTCTCACTCACGCCAACTCTCTCACGTCCTTCCCTCCCTGCTCCCCTTCTCTCTCCCCTTTCTCGCTCTCCGCCCTCCTCTCCCTTGTTCCACGCGCAGCTGTTGTGTCTGCTGCTCCTCGCGCTGCTGTGTCTCCTACCTCCCACGCTCACCCTCGCTCTTGCAAGCAGCTTTTCTAGCATCCCGGCAACAGCAGCAGCGGCGGCAGACACAGCAGAAGCAGCACCAGCGGACAGGGCAGCAGATACAGCAGCAGCAGCATCAGTCGAAGGAGCATCTAGTAGTCACGCCTTCGTTCCTCTTGTTCCTCTCCATAGAAGCACGTTCCATCACAGTAACACAGCATCAGCACAAGCGGTAACAAGTTTAGAACCGGCCTCCCATATGCGGTTATCCTCGTCAGTGGTAAGCCGGCCGTCGCACAGCAGCATGAGTGGCACGACTCGCCCCAGACTCAGTTCCAGATTGCCCTCTCTCTCGCCGCTCTCTGTTATGAAGCCCGCAGACGTTGGCCCGGATGCAGGAGCAGGGGCAGGGGGAAGCGCGGGAGCAGGGATAGGGGAAAGCGCAGGAGCAGGGGCAGGAATGGTGGCGAGGACACAAGGGGCGATGGCAGGGAGAGAGGGCGGCATAGCAGGGGGGACGATTGTCGGGGCTGGAAGCTGGGTATCCGTGTCATTAGGGGCAGCACACGAGCGCAGTGGAGATGCTGTGGTCCCTGCTTCCATTAGGCTTGGCAACATGGGGGCTGGGGATCAATCATTGCGTGCCACGTCAGCATCGTACAACAGTCCTCTCATGCCAAGCATAAGCATGGGGAACAGCAGCAGTTTTGCGCAGAGGCACCAGCAGCAGTTACGGCAGCAGCTGCTGCTGAGACAGCAGCGGTGGCGGCAGCGGCTGCATCGACTGCAGAGGCAGCGACAGATACAGCGGCGGCAGCAACGGCAGCAGCGCCTGCGGGCGCAGCAGCAGCGGCAGCAGCAGCTGCGAAGCTTCCTCATGCCATCAATCAGACCGTCCCAGCCTCAGCTGCTGCAAGCGCCTGATGCCCCTGGCAGCAGTACCAGCGTGCACAAGGGGGCGCAGGCGGGTACAGCGCTGCCCCTCCTGCCACACACCAGCACCTCCGGCCCCCAGCAGATGGGGAATCAGATGCAGCCGCTGCAGCCATTGCCGCGGCAAGTGCCAGCTGTAGTGCTGCCGGTGCAGCAGCAGCAGCCCATACCGCCGCAGGCAGGGCAGCAGCCGATGCAGGTGCAGATCCCAACAAACCAGCCAGCTCCTGTGAACGAACCCTCCCTGGCAGAGCTCCCAAGCCACCACATGAAGCCGCGCAACGCGCCGCTGGAACCCCTCTCGCAGCCGGGGCAGCCGGGGCAGCGCATGAGAGACAGGGAGGTGGACTGCCAGTACCGAACGGAGGGGAAGGGGCAGAACCTGCACCGCTGTGCCATGGGGTATGCGGGGTGGGCGAACGTGACAGGCGGGAAGGGCAAGTTGGTGTATTGGGTGTCATCTGCCATGGATCACCCCACGCAGCCCTTGCCTGGGTCGCTGCGCTGGGCGCTGCTCAAGCACCGAGGAGGAGCCACCATTCGGTTCTCCCGCAGCATGGTCGTGAATCTCACCGACCGGCTTTTCGTGCGCTCTGATACCACTATTGATGGGCGTGGGGCGACGGTGAAGATTAATGGCCCCATGGCGGTGTATCGGTCGAGGAATGTGATTATTCACAACTTGGCGATAGGGAACGCCAAGGGGAATACGGACGCGCTGCATATTCGGAACAGCTCGCGCGTGTGGGTGGACCATTGTAGAGTGACCAATGCGTATCGCGGTACGATTGACGTCGTGAAGGGGTCGACGAACGTGACTATATCGAATTGCTTCATTCGCAACTTGTAAGTAGGTATGGTGCATCTGTGATTGGCACTTTATGGTTGTCGCCTTCAGCGACTGCCTCCGCAACATCGAATTGAATTTCACCATCCTTGCTCTTGCCTTCTCCTTCCGTTGCTCTTTCTTCTCGCTCCATAATGCCTCACACCTCATCATGACATTTCCTATGCCTGTCTTCGATCTTCGCCCTCCTGCTCCCTCTCGCCTCTCCAGTGGCTTCACCATGCTGCTGGGCGCAGCAGACAACGACACCTTCGATACGCAGATGAGAGTAACAGTCTACCGCAATTGGTTCTTCGGGTCAGGCCAGAGGCAGCCGCACGGGCGCTGGGGCAAGATACACGTGGCCAACAACCTCTACACCAACTGGACCTACTATTGCCTCGGGGGCCGTGTGCACGCCAACATCCGGTCAGACCGAAACATTTTCATCGCGGGCAAAGGCCGCAAGGAGGTGACGCCGTGGTTTGGGCCGCAGAGCCCGTCGGTTCCTGGGTTTGACAACACGCCCACCATCCGTTCGTTCAACGACTCGTTGCGCAATGGAGCCACCTTCCATGTCTTCCCGGGGACCCCGCCCAAGCCGACCTTTGTGCCGCCGTACAAGCTGCCGCTGCACTCAGCAGATGACATTCTGGGGACGTTTGTGGCAAGGAATGCCGGGCCTCGTGTGGGCACCGCGCCTCTCCTGCCCTGCACCACCACCACCTGCTGGAGCTGCTGCTGACACACACACAGACCGCCTCTGGCTACAGCATATACTTGCAGAGCTTAGACATTTTAGGTACCTTCACATCCTGCTCCACAGAACATCCTCTCATAAGTATACGTCCGGGGTTTGTTCTAGTTTAGTAGGTGAGTTTTTCGAAGCACATGGTTGTTGAGTAACTTCTGTGCACATTGCGTGCATGGACGTTTTACGAAAGATGCTATAGAGAGGATGCAACATTACTTACCTCCGCTGTACCGATCACGTGTCAAAATCCTTTGTATGGAGGTTGTAGTACATATTTATGAAACCAAATTTAGTATTGCTTGTTGATTCAAACAGCATACGGTAACACTACCTGCAAGTGGGAGCAGATTCGTGGGCAATTTATGTGGAAGTGTTTTGAACTTTTCCGCATGGATGGTGCTCGCTACAATTCTCGAGGGCCATGGGCTTTGGAGACTGAATGGTAAAAATCCGTTCAGCAATCAGGGTAACTCCCCTTTGCGCCGTTGGATCGATTTGATCCTGAGGTGTACGATAGATGCACAGAATTCCCGCCATCACTTCATTCGGGCGCCTCTCAGACGAAGACTCCAGACCCGCCAAAGCTTGGCAGGTTTTCGTGCAAGCCTAGGGATGAGCCTACGCTGGGGAATGCCCCTCAACTTGGATCCTCGATAAGAGCCATTCAGCTGCGAGCGACACTGTTCCTGCGCGTTGACGAAACCCAGTTTCCTGTCACCAATGCATTCGCTGATTCGCAAGAACCTTAGCTGCCTTTCTCCCCCAAGCGGAGGATGATTTTACAGATGCTCCGTACCTTCTCTCTACCGCCGTTTGTGTCAGGGCGAGCCCAAAATCTCGATTTCCCTCCCAACTCATCACCCTCCATCCGCCTCCTTAGCACAAGAGCGGCTCATTTTGGTAGCACGCTTCGGGAACCGAGCCGCGCATATTTGATTAGCGGCTGTTGTTGGCCGCGTCACGAGATTTTCAAATTGGTGTTTCATTCTGTCCAATCAAACTGCCTACCTGTCTTCAACTGAAGCCACAAGAATATGCTCCCATCGCTTAGGTCGATTCCACATTAGGCGGCCCAATCAGAAGCTGGAGTTCATGATGTCGGCGGATTGTTCCGATTCTCCACATTCCAGAGTGGCGCGTTTGAGACCACCGTCAGAGCCAGCAAGGCCAATTCTCATCCATAGACTTATTTCATCACATTTCGCGCCGCGACGTTGGGATTCCAACGGCCCGCATTCAGGCAGAGCACCCTTTTCTGCAGATTTACTCATATTCCCTGCTGTTTTCCTCGAAATTTAGTTCGTTTCCTCAGCCTTCTTGGCATTTTTTGGCACACGAGCTTAGCTTTCGTCCACGCTACCAGTTTGGAACGATCGTCATCGCTTCACGTCGCTACGACTCAGCCTGTTCCGGATCGCCTGGTTGGATCGCCGAGCTCCATGACATTTCGACCTTAGATACACGTCTCCACTTCGTCTTCAACGTCAGGTACACAACCAGCCGTCTTTCTTTTTCGTTCTTGCTTAATTTTCTTGCATTCTTTGCTTATTTCCGTATACTAACTTTTGTGTGTTTTATATTTGCAGGTTTGCATGGAGACTCCTGGACGTACTTCAGAAAGCATTGGAGGAGCGATGACTCAACCTTTCAAGCTTCATGGCGGATCAGCTCCACGACTTGGTCATGGTTAAGGTTGAATGTATCAACCCCACCATCCACACTCCACAGAACCACCCCCCCCCCCTGGTCCAGGTGTGGTACAGGTGTGGTACAGGTAAGGTGCAGGTCCCCTTAAGGTGTGTTTTTTTTGTTGGTACGTGCTTTGTGGTTCTGTGGTATGCACCAGCACACGTTTCTTCCGTTTTTGCAAGTTTGTTTTTCATACTTTTGTAATTCCGTTTACTCACTGAAGTTTGTTTTATTTTTGCAGGTTTGCATGGAGGCTATTGGGCGTACTTCAGAAGGCATTCGAGGAGCAAGCAAACGCCTTAATCAACATTTCAAGCAAAGGACAGCTCCACGACTTGGCCATGGTTAAGGTTGAATGTATCAACCCCACCATGCACACTCCACAGAACCACCCCCCCCTGGTCCAGGTGTGGTACAGGTTAGGTACAGGTAAGGTACAGGTCCCCCTAAGGTGTGTTTCTGGTTGGTAAGTGCTTTGTGGTTCTGTGGTATGCACCAGCACACGTTTCGTCCGTTTTTGCAAGTTTTTTTCAAGTTTTTCTTAATTCCGTTTACTAACTGAAGTTTGTTTTATACTTGCAGGTTTGCATGGAGGATATTGGGCGTACTTAAGAAGGCATTCGAGGAACAACTGCCTTGATCAACCTTTCAAGCAAAGGACAGCTCCACGACTTGGCCATGGTTAAGGTTGAATGTATCAACCCCACCATGCACCCTCCACAGAACCAACCCCCCCTGGTCCAGGTGTGGTACAGGTAAGGTACAGGTAAGGTACAGGTCCCCCTAAGGTGTGTTTTTGGTTGGTACGTGCTTTGTGGTTCTGTGGTATGCACCAGCACACGTTTCGTCCGTTTTTGCAAGTTTTTTTCATGTTTTTCTTAATTCCGTTTACTAACTTCAGTTTTTTCTATACACTTGCAGGTATATATGGAGGCTCCTGGGCTTACTTCAGAAGGAATTCGAGGATCAACCGCCTGTCTCAACCTTTCAAGCTTCATGGTCAAGGTGGAATGTATCAACCCCACAGAGCCACTCCCCCTTGGTCCAGGTTCGGTACAGGTGAGGTAGGTGTGGTAAAGGTCCCTTTAAGGTATTTTTGGTTGGCAATCGGCTCTGTGGTGGTGTGGTAAGTATACTTTGAGTTCCGTTTTGCATCTTTTGTTAATTCAGTTTACTAACATTCGCTTGTTTATACTTGCAGGTGTTATTCTAAGCTCTAAGGCGGGGTGAACGTACCTGCCGACACCACGGGCAGGCGCCTCCTGTCTCTCCACCAGCAGTAAGTCCTTGTCTCTCTGGACTCTACCCCTCACTCTTGCTTTCTGCTGGTTGGTGATTCTGAAGTTACTTGGTTTACTAACTTGGTTTTATTCTTACTTTATGTGGCAGGTTGCTCAACCAAGGGACCTTCAGCATGTCCGACATCCATGGGAGCACCATGGTCTGCTGAGGCGCCTCATGGCTCAAGCATGGCGAAGATAAGTTGCCTACCCCTTGTCTTCACCGCTTGCTTAGTTTGCTGCACATTCCCGTTTCTTCCACACTTGCTGATTCCTTCGCTTTATTTATGTTGCGGCTTCAAGATGATCCCGTTTACTGACTTTGTTTATTTATCTCGTGGCAGGTTCTCTCAAGGGCTCTCTGCACACCCATGAAGCTCCAAGTACTTGTGCACTGCTCAACACCTCCAACTCTATATCTACAGATAAGTCTCTGCCCTTGCTTTGAGCCGAGTCAGTTTCGCTAAATATTTTTAAAGGATTTGTGTTCATCATTTTTCTTTGACTCGTGCTCCATGCTTGCTGCTTTTGAAGGGCCTGAACTAACGTTTTTTCTTTCGTAACATGCAGTTGCCTTCATGGGCAGCAATCATGGCATTGAAGGTTGAAGGCAGTGCAAGTCCTTGGCGCACTGCTCAACACCATGCCCATGAAGCCCCAAGTCCTTGAGTACTGCTCAACACCTCCAACTTCCCACTACAGATAAGTCTCAGCCCTTGGCGCCTAGTCAGTTTCGCTGAAACATTTTTTTTTTAATTTGTTTACATTTTGCTTTTATGCATACCTTCTTGCTGCTTTTCAAGAGCCTGGACTAATTTTCTCTTTCTTACCATGCAGGTGCCTTCATGGGCAGCAATCATGGCATTGAAGGTTGAAGGCAGTGCATGAGAGAGGGCGAACCCATGAGCATTGGCTAAGCACTCGAATCCGGGCCAAACCGGACTGGTTCTGTCCCCCTCCGCCCCCGCCAAGTGCCAACACTGTCTGGCCAGCAGTTGTTGTCATTTGGTGGAGGTGGGGGTGGGTAGAGCTAGTCCCTAGTAGGGCTCCCGCACGTCTTGGGCGAAGCAATGCTTGTGGCTCAGCCTTGCTCTCTGCCTGTTGCGCTGCCAGTCCAAGCCGGGGTGGGCATGGATGGCATGCTGCCACTAGAAAGGATACTAGTAGTAGTACCTTGAGCTGGGATGCAACAGCTTGTATGTCTAGGCAGAGAATTAATGTATATTTAGTGCACCTTTAGGATCATGAGCTTGCTATTTATACACTTCTTAGTGTGATGATTTACACTTCTTAAAGAAAACGCAGGTGTCCTGGTAGGCAAGTATAGCTGAAAGTAAACAAAGAAATCCCACACGTGAACACATCTCAAATAATACACAGGGCACCTTAACGTGAAGTATCTGAATCTAAAGATACTAGCCGTGAATTCTCACACCAGCATAGCTTACATTCCCCTATAATGCGTACGTTCAGCTGGAGGCTGGCTGCATATTCACGCCGACAAGCCACTTGAAGAGGCACTCGCGCGGGTTTTGGGCCTTTCCGCCTCGTAGCACGGCCATTCGCCGCGACATGCGCCTCTCCCTAGCGGGATCCGCCACTGCTTCGCCTCACACCCCTAGCGGGATCCGCCATTCTCGCCACGGCCGTGTTATAGAATTCCCTCGCACCCTCCCCTGATTCCTTCCCGGCCGCACCTCATTTTCGTCCTTCCCCTTGTGGCGACCCTGGCCCCGGATTGTTTCCGCGTCCGCTCACTCTCTAGCTCTCGATCTCCCTCGTAATCTCCCGTCCGTTCCTCATGCCCACGTGGAAGTTTCTCCCTCGCGCGGTTTACCGATGCAGTGTGCGGGCTGCGAGGGGCAGCGGTAGCGGCGCAGGCGGCAGCGGCGATGCTGCGGCTCGCGGGCTTCGGCCCGCGGATTCGTGTCAGCGATCGGGTCGCGATGCCTTTCAGGAATCGCTGGACACGTGGCGCCACGCCAGTGGCCAGTCGTGCTCGCGAGTCGCCGGATCGGTGTTGGACGCGGCTATGGTCGCAGAAGTCCCGGAAAACACGCCGTGGGTTGCGGCGAGATCATCGGAAGCAGGAATGTCGGTTGAAAAATCTACGGAGTTGCGAGGATCGAGAGCATCCCTGCTCTTTCACGGCGCGTCTGACGTGGCGAGATCTCTGCCGCACGTTGGGTGCGGTGCAGACGCGTGGGCGACAAGCAGCTGTCGAGAAGCAATGGCGGCGCCGCCTTTGCTGGTCAGCCGCTCCCCTTGGTCCCTTTATCCTGTTAGCATCGCATCACTGTCTACTCGCGGTCCCATACTATCTTTACTTGAGCCCCCCAAAAGAGCAGTTTCTGTCCTACAATCTCCTGTCGTCTCGCGCTTGTCCCTCCTGTCCATTGCTCCTCGCGCATTCTCCTCTGCACCCTCGTGCCCTCTCGTGCGCCCTCGCCCACTGCATCGTCGCAATAGAGCATTTGCAGAAGCATCTCATCGCCCTCTCGTCTCAAGGGCTCCCCTCACGGCTCCTCTAGTCCCCTCGCGGCTCATCTACGCCTTTTTTAGGCGCCTAAGACATCTTCCCTCCTTTGTTTGTTAACCTGCCTACCAGTCTTAACCCCCCTTCCGCCACGATCCCGCTATCCCCTGTGCCCCTCTCCGCCCCCCTTCCCCGCTCCCTCCCCCCAGCACCTCACATCACCACTAGGCCCTTCACCTCCGCCACCCTACGCCCCGCTTCCCGCTTCTTTTGTCCTTCGACCCGCACTGTCCTCGCTAAGCACTGCTCCAGTAACGGCCATAACTACGGCCACACGCCCGTACGCACCACACCTGGCTGTGCCTTTCACGAGTAGCGCGGATGGCAGGCCAGGGGGAAGCGCCGGGGCAGGCGGGGGCAGTGTAGCGGCAGCAGCGGCAGCAGGTGGCGCGGAAGGAAAGGCGGCTCTCGCTGTGCCTGGGCTGGGGGAAGCGAAGGAGGGTGCTGCGATCGTAGCCAAGAAAGGGGAAGCAGGGGGGGCAGCGGCAGGCCCAGGGAAGGGTGGGGCGGGGGAGGCGGTAGCAGGAGGAGGGCAGGGCGGGGAGGAGGCGTCGGACATGGCGATTCTGAGCACGCTGGCGCAGTACCTCTGGCCCAAGGACAACCCCGACTACCGCCGCCGTGTTGCCGCTGCCCTCACCCTGCTCGTCTCTGCAAAGGTTAGGCTGATGGGGGTGTTGCAGCGGCTGCTCGTCGGGGTTCGGGGGACAGGGTTCAGGGTTTAGTTATTGACATGGTTTAGTGTGGGCACTGGGCGGGTGATTGGTGGCATGAGGAGGGAAGGGAGGGAAGAATGTCGTGAGAGTTCAGGTGCCTCGTGCTCATCTGTCCCCCTCTCCCTTCCACTCCCTGCTGCACCGCACTGCACTGCACTGCACCTCCACCTCAACTTCCCCCGTGCCCTGCTGCCCTTCTCCCCTCCTCCCCGTGTGTCCAACTCCATCCCTCTCCCCTGCGCCTCTGCCCCTCCAGCTGTTGAACATCCAGGTGCCGTTCCTCTTCAAGCATGCCATAGACAGCCTGTCAGCAGCAGCGGGGGCCACGGGCGCCACAGCGGCGGCAGCAGCAGCCACGGCAGCGTCGGACCCGCTCTTCTTCGCGCTCTTCACCACGCCCTCCGCCATGCTGCTGGGATATGGCCTTGCGCGTGCTGGCGCCTCTGCGTGCAATGGTGGGGCTTGTGGTGGGCTCGTGGTGGGCTGGCGGTGGGGCTGGTGATGGGGTTAATTACTGGGTTGGTTGAAAGCGACAGGGAGCACTGAATTCGTCCCAACTTCCCCTGTGTGCCGTCGTCTTCTCGTCCCTTCTCTCCCCCGTGTGTGCGTGCATGGCAGAGCTGCGCAATGCGGTGTTTGCGAACGTGGCGCAGGGCACCATCCGCAAAGTGGCGAGGCAGGTGTTCCTGCACCTGCACGACATGGACCTCTCCTTCCACCTCAGGTACGCCTCACATGCACTCATGCCCCTCACGCACGCCCCTCACGCACGCCCCTCACGCACGCCCCTCACGCACGCCCCTCACGCACGCCCCTCACGCACGCCCCTCTAAATCTGAGTCGCTTTTGAGAATTCTCAAAATGCACTGCACGATATGGGCCTCTCCTTCCACCTCAGGTGCCTCTCGCTCACTCACGCCCCACACGCACACCCCTCTCAGTACCCCTCTCATATGACCCTCACACTCGCCCCACCTCGTGCTAGGCATGCCTCCTCCTCCCTTGTTCCTGTACTCGCCTCCACCGCATCCACTCTCCTCTGCCTTGCTCTACCCTGCCTCACAACCCTACTCCAACCCTACCCCACTCCACTTGCCCCTTTCCTTCCCCCTCCCCCTCCCCTTCCCCCTCCCCCTCCCCTTCCCCCCCTCTCCCCCTCCCCCTCACCCTCCCTCTCCCCCTCCCCCTCCCTCTCCCTCTCCCTCTCCTGCCTCCTTCGTCCAGCCGTCAGACGGGGGCGTTGAACCGAACGATAGACCGGGGCACGAGAGCCATCAACTTCATCCTCTCCTCCATGCTCTTCAACGTCTTCCCCACGCTGCTCGAGGTCCGCTTCCCTCCCCTCCCCTCATGCTCCTCTCTGCCCCAGCGCTGCCCCGCCACGCGTCCTGCGCTTGTCTTGCCATATGAAATGAGAGCATCTCTCATGTTCCTTCGCTCATAGAAGAAATTCCCCCCCCCCCCCCGCTCTGTCCTTCCGTTTTCATTCTCTACGCTACATTATCTTCATTCCCGCGCTCACCGCTCGTGGTCACTCATATGTGATTGTGTTGTGCTCTCTCGGTCATGACATGTTATCCTCATGAAAAAAAATCACCAACCGCCATTTTCAACTCTCACTCCTCTTCCCCTTCCCCCGCTCTTCTCCCATGCCCACCCTGTCCCATGCATCACGGTCTCCCATCCCATGCCCCCCTTGCCTGCTCAGATCGGGCTGGTATCCAGCATCCTGGCATACAAGTTTGGTCCCTCCTTCGCTGTTGTCACAGCAGCAACAGTCACAGCGTACACTGTGTTCACCCTTGGAATCACGCAGGTGCACCTCTCAACCCACCTCACACTCAATAACCCCTCTCCTCATCCATCCTCTCCATCTCTACTTGTGGCTTTCCTCCCCTCCTCCCTCCTTTCTCATATTGTAATGTCGCTGTCAATTGCCCTCCGGAGGAACCACAGGTCGTCCGTCCCTCCCTCCCTCGCCCTCCTCTTCCCATCCTACTTCTTCTCCTACTGCATGCATGCATCCGTGGGTTCAAGTACCCACACCTCTTCTCTGCAATTTCCCCCCCCCGTGAATGCTCAAGTTTCCCTCTTCACTTCTCCCTTTCCCTCCCCTCTCCCCTTTCCTCCCCTCTCCCTTCCTCTCCCTTCTCCCCTCCCCTCCCCTCCCCTCCCCTTCCCTCCCCTCCCCTCCCCTCCCCTCCCCTCCCCTCCCCTCCCCTCCCCTCCCCTCCCCTCCCCTCCCCTCCCCTCCCCTCCCCTCCCCACACCCGTCCCCTGCCTTCGCTGGTCCCCCCGGGAGCGTGAATGCTTGGCAGTGGCGCACCAAGTTCCGGCAGCAGATGAACAAGGCGGACAACGACAGCAGCTCGCGCGCCATCGACTCCCTCATCAACTACGAGGTGCCCGCATGGGGGGAGGATGGGGGGAGGATGGGGGGAGGATGGGGGGATGATGGGGGGAGGATGGGGGGAGGATGGGGTAAGGACGGTGGAGGGACATTCCACCCCTGCCACTCCGCCACCCACTGTATAACTAGACCATTCCATGTCCACCCCTGCCACTCCGCCCCTTCCCTCTGTGCCCGCACACTTGTATAATTGTGGGTGCATGGGTGCATGGATGCATGGGTGCATGGGTGCATGGGTGCATGGGTGCGTGGGTGCATGCGTGCATGGGTGCATGGGTGCATGGGTGCATGGGTGCATACGTGCATGGGTGCATGGGTGCATGGGTGCATGGGTGCATGCGTGCATGGGTGCATGCGTGCATGCGTGCATGGGTGCATGGGTGCGTGTGTGCATGCATGCATGGGTGCATGGGTGCATGCGTGCATGGGTGCATGCGTGCATGGGTGCATGGGTGCGTGGGTGCGTGTGTGCATGCGTGCATGGGTGCATGGGTGCATGCGTGCATGGGTGCATGCGTGCATGGGTGCATGGGTGCGTGGGTGCATGCGTGCATGGGTGCATGGGTGCATGGGTGCATGGGTGCATGGGTGCATGGGTGCATGGGTGAGAGCAGACAGTGAAGTATTTCAATAACGAGGAGCACGAGGCCGCCATGTACGACACCTTCCTCAAACGTCAGTCCCGCCCGCTGCCTGCTGCCCCCTGCCCCCTGCCTCCAACCCCCTGCCTCCGTTGCATTCCCTCTTTCCATTTCGGTTCCTCTTTCGATTTTTGCACCTCCAATGACCTGTCCCTCCTTCTGCTCCTTTCTCTTCCCTCGCCGCCCCTTCATTCGGCTTTTCCTCGTGCCCTTGATTGCTCCCTTCCGCCGTGTGTCACCTCAACTTCTCCGTCCCTCATCCCCGTGCCTGCCGTGCCGCGCCGCCATGTGTGCTGCAGGGTACGAGGTAGCAGCGCGCAAGACGCAGAGCAGCCTATCGCTGCTCAACTTCGGGCAGAACGCCATCTTCAGCGCTGCGCTCGCATACACCATGGTCATGTGCGGCCAGGGGATTGCTGCCGGCCACATGACCATCGGCGACCTCGTGAGCCCGGGGGGGGAGAGAATGACGGCGAGGGGAGGCGTGTGGGGGGTTTTCGGGGGAGGTGGTGGTGGGTGGCACTGAGAGGTGGATTTTGGCGTTTTTGTGTTTGGGTTAAGGGGAGAAAGGGAATGAGTGGGGGGGAAGGAGGGGATTTGGAGAAGCAGGGAGATGGGATCTGGGTAGGGTTTGTCATTCTTGTAGGTGACATCCATCCATCCAACATCCACCTCTCCACTCTATACACCCCCCCGAACCCACACCCCCCATTTAATCCGCCAACCATTCCTCCCCGTTGCCCCCTTCTCATCTCCCACCGCCTCTTCTTCCCTCGCCGTGTCTCCCACACGTCCCTCATCTCTTCCCTTCAACCATGGTGTGTGCGTGCGTGCAGGTGATGGTGAACGGGCTGCTGTTCCAGCTGTCGCTGCCGCTCAACTTCCTGGGCAGTGTGTACCGGGAGACGCGCCAGAGCCTCATAGACATGCACCACATGTTCTCGCTGCTGCAGGTGGGACCCAGGTGGGGGAGGGAGGTGGGGGTGGACGTGGGGAACGGGAAGGGGATGGAGGACGTGGGTGCGGAAAGGGGTGGGGGAAGCGATGGGGGGAGGGTTGGGGGAGGGATGGGGGGTGCTGCTGCCTGCTGGCTGCTGTATGGGGTGCGGGTCGTGCGTGTTGAGCTGAATTGCACGCGGTGAAGGTTTCGTGCAGCCTCTTTTGGGCGGCGCTCTACGCCCCTTTTATCTCCCCTCATATGCGCCCCTCTCCTCTCCTGTCTCTTCCCTCCTCTGTGCTCTCTCCTTTCTCCTTTCCCGTTTCTCCTCTCTCCTTTCCCCTCTCCCCCTCTTCCCTCTCCCCTCTCCCCTCTCTCCTCTCCCCTCTCCTCTCTCCTCTCTCCCCTCTCCCCTCTCCCCTCTCCCCTCTCCCCTCTCCCCTCTCTCCTTTCCCCCGCCCCACCCGTGCTGCAAGCAGTTGAAGCCATCAGTGTCGGACATACCGGATGCGCGCCCTCTGGAGCTCAAGGACAGCAGCATCTCTCTCGAGGGCGTTACCTTTGGGTGGGCTGCCCCCGCACCTCTTCCTGTTTGTTGGAGCCTTGTGATGTGATGTCGCATGGCATGGCATGGCATGGCATGGCATGGCATTGCATGGCATGGCATGGCATGGTGCCAACATGGCCCATGGATTTGACTGGCTGGTGGGGCTGTGAGGGTGGCACGTTGTTGATGCGAGTGGATTGAAGCTCCTGGTGCCTTTAAGAGCTGTTGATCATTCATTATGCTGTGGCACCATTCCTCATGTGCACACACGCTTGCGCACACACGCATGCTTGCACACGAACCTGCAAACATGCATGTATCATGTATGCACACAACTGAACATTCTTTCACTGATTGATCACCACCCCATGGCACCCATGCACCAGCTACCATGACGAGAAGCCAATTCTGAATGGCGTGTCACTGCACGTGCCTGGAGGGAAGAGCCTCGCCATCGTTGGTCCCAGTGGCAGCGGTGAGCTCATGCACCCATGCACCCATGCACACGTGCACACGTGCACACGTGCACCCATGCACACATGCACACATGCACCCATGCACCCATGCACCCATGCACCCATGCACCCATGCACCCATGCACCCATGCACACATGCACACATGCACCCATGCACCCATGCACCCATGCACCCATGCACCCATGCACACATGCACACATGCACCCATGCACCCATGCACACATGCACACATGCACACATGCACACATGCACCCATGCACCCATGCACCCATGCACACATGCACACATGCACCCATGCACCCATGCCCACATGCACACATGCGCACATGCACACATACTCACATGCTCGTACCGTATCCACACGGCGTGACAACAATCATGTGCCATAGCATGCACATCACGCTGCCCTGGGAGCGTGCATGTGCTGTCTGCGTCATGTGCTCAAACTGGCTCGTCCCCTCTGCAAACCTGCATGTATGCACCCCGTGCCCGCATGCCTTGCGTCCCCAGGCAAGTCAACGGTGCTGCGACTGCTCTACCGCTTCTTCGATGTCGACTCTGGAAGTGTAAGCCTCCGCCCTCTTCAATCTTGCCCCTCCCAACTCTCCCTTCTGCTGTTTTCTCCATCTCCGCTGCCTCACTCGCTCACAAGCATTCTCCCCATGCTCACTCACTCCCACCATGCATGGTTACCGTTCTTCCCCCCCACCGGCCTCTCGCTATGCGCCATCAGATAAAGGTGGATGGGCAGGACATCCGTCAAGCGACCATCGGCAGCCTGCGCAAGTCCATAGGGGTCGTGCCTCAAGACACCGTCAGTGCCCCTCCCACCCACCACCCACTCTACCTCCGCATTATTGCACCAACGCCTTCCCCCAGATTTTCCTCCCACTGGCCCTCCCCCATTCTACCCCATCTCGTCATTCCCCACCTCTTTTTTCCCCCCATGTCCTGCTTTCTTCTCGCCTTCTTTCTTCCTTCTTTTTCCCTTCTTTTCCTCTCTCCCCGCTCACCCCTCCTCTCTCCGCTCGCTCGTCCCTCCATCGCGCCTGCAGGTCCTGTTCAACGACAGCATCATGTACAACATCCGTTACGGCCGCCCATCAGCCACCGACGAGGAGGTCCGTTCTCACCCACCATACCTGGGATGTGGGGATGGGTGGAAGAGGGGGGGGGGGGGGGAATAGATGGGGGGGAGAGTGAATGGAGAGGAACGATATAGAGGGAGAGGAAGGAGAGGTTCTTGTGTCCTGTTATCTGTCAAGTGATCGTGCACTTCACGAATCGTTCATTTGTTCACATTCCTTTCCCTCGGTTTCACCTTCTGTCCCGTCCCGACCCATCCTGTTCCCCACCCCCCCTGAGCCACAGGTGTACGAGGCGGCGCGGCAGGCGGCCATTCACGAGCAGATCCTGGAGTTCCCCAAGGGCTATGATACCATGGTGGGGGAGCGCGGGCTCAAGGTGCGTGAGAACCATGAGGATAGTTTCTTTGTGCTGAACGCATTCACCCAGCTGTCCACCTTCCCCAAGGGCTACGACACCATGGTGGGGGAGTGTGGGCTCAAGGTGCGTGCACGGCCCATGTGGGCCCATCTGAACCATGAAGGTCGTTTAGTTGTCCTGCGCACATCTACCTATTGAGTTGATGGAAGTACGGTATCCGCATCCATGCTGTCCACCTTCCCCAAGGGCTATGACACCATGGTGGGGGAGCGAGGCCTCAAGGTGCGTGCACGGCCCATGGGGGGGATACTCCATGAAGGACACCGGGAGAGGGGCAGCTTGGCGTGGGTGGTGCTGCTGGGGAGGGGGAGGGCAAGGGGGAGGGGGAGAGGGGGTGGTTGGGTGGGTAAGACCGTTTCTTCAGTGGCAATGCTGCCGTTCATTTGCCTTGAGCCTGCATCCTTCTTTTCCTCCTGGTCTTTTCCCTCCACTTCGATTTCCCCTCTCCCTGCATCCCATTCCGTTTCTCCTCTCCCATCTTCTCTCCCATGCGTGCGTTGCCATCTCTACCCATTGCTCCGTGTCTCTCCCGGCCATCCCTTCCCATTCCTCTCCGTTGCCTGTGTGCTGTCTGTCGCCCAGATAAGTGGAGGGGAGAAGCAGCGAGTGGCACTCGCAAGAACGTTCCTCAAGGGAGCTCCCATCCTGTATGCACTGCATCCCCCGTCGCCCATCTCTTATCCCCCGTCGCCCGTCTCCCGTCGCCCGTCTCCCGTCTCCCGTCTCCCGTCTCCCATTGCTGCTCCCATGGAATGTGCTTATTGCCATTTCTGCACACGCTATTTCCTTTGCTACTCGTAATTTTACTACCCTTTGCAAAACGCTGTGTCTGCGGACCCTGGTCCCCTCCATGTCCTTTCGCCTCCTACCCTCTACCGTACATTACTCACCATCACACCTCTTCAAACATCCCCACCTCTTCAAACTCCCGCCTTTCCTCTTTCTCCTCTTCCTTCCCCCCTTCCCCCCTCTCCCACTCTCCCTCTCTCCCCCCTCTTCCCCCCTCCCGCCCTCCCTCCCTCCCCGCTCTCCCCCTCCCAGGCTGTGTGACGAAGCCACGAGTGCGCTGGACAGTGTGACGGAGGGCGCCATTCTCACGGCCCTGCAGAGCCTCGCTCGCAACCGCACCTCCATCTTTGTCGCTCACCGCCTCACCACCGCCATGCAGTGCGATGAGGTGCGGTGCTGTGCGATGCAGGTGTGATGATCTATGAGGCTCTTGGCACAGGCAGTTGTGTGGTGGGAAGGGAGTACCTGAGATGAAGGTTGAAGGTTGTGGTTGTGGGTGCGGATAATCCAGAGCAAGCCTGCCTGTGATGCGCTTATTGTCTCTCTGGTGCTTGTTGATTCTTATCTGCGTGCATATCTTGGTTTCTCCCTTCACCTCGTCGTTCTCCCGCCCTCCCCAACACCCCATGCCGCGCGTATCATGTCATTTTTGAGAATTCTCAACTTTTGAGAATTCTCAAAAGTGATTTCAATATGCCCGCCCTCCCCAACACCCCATGCCGCGCGTATCATGTCATCACAGATCGTGGTGTTGGACGAGGGGCGCATCATAGAGCGTGGCAACCACGCATCGCTGCTGGCACTCAACGGCACCTACGCTGACATGTGGCGCCAGCAGAACCACCCGCACGGGGAGGAGGACGCAGGCGAGGGGGAGGAGGGAGGCGAGGGGGAGATCCGTGGAGTTAGCGCGAGTGAGCATGGTGGGGATCGGTTGGCAGTGGTGCTGGGAGGGGATGATGATGGGGTGGCGCATGGTAAGGCGGACAAGGCAGGCAACGCCGCTGCTGGTGTGGATGGCAACGGTCGGCCGATAGTGCACGGCGCTGCTGCGAGGGCATCGTAGGGGGTTCTAGGGGCCGACCATTGAAGGATTGTGCTGGCAGCGCACAGGGAGGGAGTGGGTGGTAGCGAGTTGAGGTGTGTGCTGTACCAGTGGGTAGGTGAGTCTGTGCTTGCAGTAGAGCAGTGTGGTGTACCAGCATCAGCAGCGGGGATGGTTCACGTGGCACTTGGTCCTTCTCTGTTGGTATATTGCCAAGCTGCTATCCAGCATCTCCTGCCCAGTCTGGGCATTTGTTCAGCGAAGCTGATTCACCTAGGTGGACATGCTCTGTGAGGGCCGACTACTACCCTTCAAATCCTTCTGAAGTGATAGTGGTGTGCTGCTGTTGCTGTTAAAGGACGAAATAGTCTCACTTCCATAATGCCCTGCTCCATCATGTCCTCTCCATAATTCCGTATTTCTTCGAATAAAAGGCATAGTCAGGTCAGGACCCTTGTTTTCCGTAGCTCAAGGTAACAAATCATAAACAGGATTTCATAATAGGGCAGTGCAGTGACAGTCGCCAACGGTTTGTGTATTAGAAGGTGCACAGGTTACAGTTTCCACACAAGAGTACCCTCTGCACTTGGTACTGCTGGTGCTACTCTTGTTTTCTGGGGATAATGAAGAGAGCAGTGGCCTCGGAGAATATCTCTCCATCAGGGGCACTGCGCAACGATCCCTTCAGATACACCTGAGGAGAGGGGAGCATTGAAGGGAGAGAACAGGACGGGTGAGCAGACCCAGAGGGGAAACAGGGTGGAGGAAAGGGACAGAATGGCACACTAGCTGGTGGTCTATCTACTGGCCAGGGACCATAAGCAATGAGGAGAAGCTATGGTGCGCGTGTGCGGGGGTGAGTTACCTTTCGGCCTTCTCTTCTCTCAAGGGAGGCTTGTAGGCACGCCACCATGTCAGCTGGGAGGGGCTGCATGTCGATTAGGGACACGACAAGGGACACACAGCGAGGATTGGGATGGGACGGTGAGTACGAAGGGTGACTGGGAGGGAGAAAGGGAGGAATAGGAAATGCCGCTTTGCTGCCAGTATTTTTTTTTTTATGTTCCGAGGCTTGAGTAATGGGGGTAGCAGAGGCTAATGAATAACGCTACTGACAATGATGCAGTGAGAGAATATCGCACTGGAGAATTCATAAAGGGCTGGCATGGTATGGCACGGTTGAGTGGTAAGACATGACTGACATGCCAAGGCGTGGGGTTGGTCACCTTGCGATAATTGATGTTGATGTTGGCGGTGAACCCAGGGCCCAGGTTCAGTGTGGCTGTAATGTGCAAGTGACAGGGAGAGAACGGGAATGTGAGAATTCAACAAGCATGGTTGCGGTTACGAACATGCATGCTAACGCGTATGCAAATGGTGCATGTAGCCAACTGTGCATCTTCAAAGTGAATGAAAGCCGCGCCTGCATCTCAGTGGCACCTGCCCTCTCGCCTGACATCCTCGCCTGTGTCCCGTCTCGTCTCCCCCACGCACTCACCGAACAAGAGCCCGAATGTCTCATCAAACGCGAAGGCTGTGGCGCCCCCGTGGACTATCTCCGGATGCCCCACCATCAGCCTGGGTACCATGGCACGGGGACGGAGGCAGGCGAGCAAGGGGTGCGGGTGAGGGGGCAGAACTACAAGTGACTGGAGCAACAACATGTGAGGACAAAAGAGAGCGGACATGGTTGAAAGGAGGGGAATGGGAGGGGGGAAGAGGTTTGAACAGGAGTGAATGCGAAGGCCGGATATGTGCAGCTGACCTGCAGAAGCTCCAGGCGCTGTAGAGGGCGCTCTGTGATGGCATGAGGTAGAAGCGCACCGGCTGCACTGCTTGACTCGCTTCCAATGCCTCGCGCTGCCACCACACCACACCCACAGCCAACACAGCCATCACAGCCAGGATACGCATCAGTGGCGTCAACCATCACCACCTTCATCACCACCATCACCAGGGCAGCCAATGGTGCCATGTGGTGCCGTACCTTGTGCACCATACCGTCCGAGCCATAACACTCAACATTACGACATGGGTGACATGGCACGGATGGCTGCACATGGCACCATTGGAGAAGAAATGCCTCCAAGACGTGGGCGTAGGTTGTGCCAGCAACCCACATGGACGACAGTGCGGAGCATAAGCAACGAGCCACGAACCACACGGTCGGCAGCGAGCATAAGCAGCAGGCGGCACGCCATGGTCATGCCCGCACCATAGTGATGTGCGTCCACTTCCATGCCTCCCCGAAGTCCGTCCGTTCGCACAGCCACTGCTTCACGTCCCGCGTAAATTCCACGCCTTCTCGCCGCCTCACCTCCGCTTCCCACCGCTCCTCGCCGTCTGCGCCACGTGAAGGAATCAAGGAGAACATACGGATAGCGAGTAGCCAGAATGGTGGTGTCTGACTAGTCTGGTAGAGAGTTTCGGTAGCATTTGTAAAAAATGGCGAAGTCAAAAGTCGCGTGGGTTTCAACAACACTAGAACCACTGGCTCCGCCAGGAGAAGACGAGAGAGAAGGGAATACGGTAAGAGGGGTGAGATTCGACCGAGCCAGGAGCAATAGTGTGGGATAAGACGGCATCTAGTACAGGTCGTAGCCGGCACCTGAGAGCCGCTCGCTGCTCCACGCCTTGGCGAAGCTATGCGTGCCTTCTCGAGGAGCCATCGCCACGTGGCGGGCTTCGCCTTCCGCCATCGTCGCAACGGGGCCCTGTCGCTCGTAATAGTCGCCTGACACCTCCGCCATCTAGCTGGTACGCCGCCTCGCGAGATTAGTAAACCACCTGTCGCTGACCAGACGTCGCTGCTCGAAACTCTATTGCAGACTGCGTTGAAAAGACGGACGGCGAGGGTTCAATTACTAGTAAGTCTGGTGAAACTACTAAGAGCAACGATTGAGGCTTGAGCGAATGAGACAGGCCAATGAGCTTGGCTGCCTTATGCAGCACCGCCGAACTCAAGGAATAGTTTGACGATAAATCTGAGCCTTGCTGGTGGTGACGTAAGAATGGTGGGAGGGAGTAGTTGAGAAATGAAGGGACAACCAGCTTCCTCTTTCCTAGATGTGAATGCCTGCCAGCCACAAACACGTACGAGTGCTGCAACGCGATGCGAGATGTGGGGCAGTGCGATCATATCGCTTGCGCGAAATTCTCCACAGATGGTTACAGCGGCCTCCCTTCCTGTGATTGGATGATGGGTCCTATGCGTGAAGTTTCGCAGATTCTCGCCGAAGCTTCACAGGAGTCGGTGCTGACGACAGCCACGCCAGAAGGTCGTTCATGACAGGTGGAAGGTGATTCACCCTGCGTCGATCGCGCGCGAGTTTTTGCCATAGATTCTGCGACGCTTTTTGCCAACCAAAGTAACGCATGTGACGTGTGTGGTGCACCAGTTGCGGTCAGCGTGGGCCACCAAACCGTCCACGCGTCGTGTCCGCGCGTTGCAAGGTTTTGAGAAAGTGGGGGACACTTCATAAGAAATCACATATTATAAAATAAAGAACACTAGGTACTTCATGAGAATTTGAATAGGGCAAATGCTGTGAAGGGGTAAATTGGGGTGGTGGGGAGGTGGGGATGGCAAAGATAGCCATCCATGAATCTCAGACACTACCTGTCTGATTGAAGCATATCAGGCACCACTTAATCTGCTAGTCTCAGGCATTACATCTCAGTCTAGCTTCTTTGCTAATATGCATAGCACTACTTTTCCTCCTATGAAGTGTCTCCACCAGGTGCTGCTCCTCGCTCTAATGGCTGATAGTGGACTGAGGTTGTCGACACATGCAGCCTGGATAGGGATTGGCAAAGAAGTAATCCTCCAGCTTGGGGTTATCCCCCACCCTCCTTGCTCTAGGCATCCCCAATCGATATGGCCCGTGCGCTTTGCGGATAGCCTTTTTTGTCTCATTCCATGTGGTATTCCCCGTTTGATAGGCATCTAGAGCATGGATGATTGCACGTCTGCACATAATCACGAGTGTAGATACAACCACATGACATAGATGGAGAATAATGAGTCAGCCTGACCTGGTCGGCCTTGCAGGAGAAACAAGAAAGTGACACCAAACCCACAAGTGCTGAATGGCTCCACAAACCAATAACTCACTTATCAGGGTCGATGGTAGGCGCATGCGCATGAAACCGCCGGTGCCCCTGCACCATTCTGGCCATGTTGCCATCATACGTGAACACAAACGCATCGCTCTGTACCGAGACCTCGTGGTCCACAGCTGCCAGGCGGTTCTGAAAGGGCAATAGTGAGGCGAGCTGCGCTGGCGGCAGGATGGTGGAGTGGGTGAAGGTGTTGGGGAATATAGCCTCCAGATCCTGGGGGGGGGGGGGGGGGGCGGGGCATACATGGCGGGGGAGGATAGCAGGGGCAAGAGGAATGAATGTGAACAACTGCATGAGCACGCTGAACTTGGGAGAAGGGTCACTGGGAGGCGGTAAACAGAAAGTAACACTCAAAGCAGGGAAGCATATGAGCTCAAAATCTCCCGGAGAAACGACATGCAAGGTGAGAAGAGGGAGGGAGGAGGGTTTCTCACCTGCAGGCCCTTGGAGCCGTAGATGGGCCCAGCGGCCACATACAGCACCGTGTCATTGCCAAACCCCAGCGCCCTCAGCATGAGCGCCGTCTCACGTGGTGTGAGCGGGCACAGCCCGTCACGGCGCCTGGTGTCCCCATTGATGTCCTTCTCCTTCCACCGCGCCACCGCCATGCGCATCGCCCTCAGCTCCTCGCTCTCCTGCACGCTCAGCCCGTGCTCACACCCCGTGAACGCCAACATGTCCTTCTCGTACCTGGTCAAGGGGGAGAGGGGGGAGAGGGGGAGGTGACAGGTGGAGAGGGGATGGAGGGTAGAGGGCTGAGGAGAGATGTATGGGAGGGTTGATGCACCTACACACTGCACACGCATGGCAACCAGAATGATGCAGTGCATGTACCACATGATGCCGGAATAGCGCAAAATACACCACGTGCATCACCGATCGAAGGCCACATCGCTGTCCCCACCTCAAGTGCAGTGCAATGAAGCGCGGGCCTCGCTCCCTGAGGCGCTGCACCACCTCCCTGGCCACGGCCTGAATGGACTCCGTGTGAGCCAGTGCCTGCTGGTTGGCGCGGCACCGCAGGCGCTGCAGCGACGCTGGCAGGCGGTTGTTGGCGAGGCGTGAATCGGAGAGAGGGAAGGAGAGCACCTGGTGCTTCTTCAGCAGCGGCAGCAGCTGATCCTTGTAGTAGGACGCCTGGGGGATGCGCAGTGGGGGAGGAGGAAAGAGGTGGATGGGGGAGGGGTGGTGTGGGGGGACAGGAGGTTGTCTGTAATTGCTGCTGGTGTGGTAGTCATGGAGAGGTGAGCTGAGTGCAGGATGGGAGATAACGATGAGAGAGTGTGGCAAGCATGAAGAGGTAGGTATGGCGTGGTTTGGTGCGGTGAACTCACGTTAGACCAGGAAATGGGTTGAATCTCTGGCGCCTGCACGGACTGCAGGTGGACAGGCAGCGACTGCACTATGCGGATATCAGGCTGCAGCACCTTAATGAATTGCTCTATATCGAAGATGTCCGAAAATTCGCTGGATGGTGCGGGGTAGAGGGAGTGGGGCATGAGGACAGAGTTGTTGGTATTTCGCAGATTAGAGAAGAGCTGTTTGCCCAGGCTGGGTCATGTGCAGGCGAAAGGAATGGCATGGGACATGGTCATAGGGCATGGGACATGGCCATAGGGCATGGGCCAAAGGCATGGGGCACGAGGCATGGCAGGGCATGGCAGGGCGCACCTGGGGTCGGCCCAGAAGGAGGAGTGGTCGAGGCGAGGCAGCAGCAGCGTGGCATTCATGAGGCGAGCCACGGCCACCATGTCGCATATCTGCAGGGGCATGCATGATGAGGGGACGGGAGAAGAGACGAGTCGAGACGAGGAGAGAGGAGGAACGAGATACGAGAGGTGCATGGGAGCAGTGGAGAGGAGAGGGGTTAGAGGAAGGGGAGGGACAGGTGGGTTCAAACACGCATGGCTCACGCGGGTGGTAGTAGCTAAATGACTGGGATGTGATGGAAAGGAGGAGTGCGTGCAAGAATAACCCGCACATGAGAGGTCCCAAGAGGACAAGAGAAGCAACAAGATGTCGCACGCTTGAAACGGGACAGCGCACAGGTCTACGATAGCGTACTGTGCGCGTGCGGTGCGCGGGTGAGAAGAGACAGGGCGCGGCTTACCGCTGCGCGCATCTGGTTGAGTCCGCCGTTGGCCGTCACGACCAGGTAGCCGTTGGTGCGCGACGCCGGGACTGCCACACAAGGAAACGGTGCGAGGAAAACGAGATGAAGGGGGGTTCGGGAACGATAAGAACGGAAGCATGGATCGCTGAGCTCAGTACCTTCCACCCATGCCACCAGCAACTCCCCATACGCTCCTTGCCTCACTGTGTCTCTCCCTCTCTCGCGCGCTCCTCTCTCGCTTGCAGAATTGCAAGCGTGCGCGCGAGGCTACCTTTATGCGTCTTAGACCGCTCGATGCACTGCTTCAGCTGCGCCGGTTGTGCCGCCGTGCCCGCGCTGCCGCGCACCGTCTCCATCCACTGCCACCCCGTGTCGCTGCGCCCCGCGCGCACCACCGCGTCGTCGCTGCCCGATTCCTCCGCCGCGTCTCCACTCGCCACCACCACCGCAGCCGTCGCAACCGTCGTTGCGGCACCCTGCGCTACACCTCCCCCCTCACCTCCTGGGGCCCCTTGCAACTCCCCTCTGCCTCCTCCTTCCCTCCTCCTCCTCCTCCTCCTCCTCCTCCTCCTCCTTCCCCTCCTCCTCCTCCTCCTCCTCCTTCCCCTCCTCCTCCTCCTTCCCCTCCTCTCCCTCCTCCTGATGCGCCTACTCCCTTATCCTCCCATTCAGCTTTGCTGTCATGTGCCTCCTCCGCTCGCCCCACCGCTTCGGCCTGCCCTGCCGTCCCTGGCTCCACTGTTTCGGGGTCACCCGATACAGTCACAAGTACGCTGTTCTCGTTGATACTAGGGAGCACAGCGAGGGCCGTCACAGCGGCCGTTGCAGAGTCAGTCCCAGGCTGTGTCGCAAGAGTCGCAGTCGTCGCAGAGAGGCGGGGGGAGGAGGGAAGGAAGCGAATGGACCCGAGCGTGAAGGGGCGCTGTTGCCACTGCTCCTGCAACACCCCTGTCGTCGTCGTCGTCGTCGTCGTGACATTCAACAACACGCTGCAGAGCAGCAGTGCCACCACTCCCACCAAAAAGCTTCTCCTAATGCTCCTCCTCGCGACGCTAGCTGCCAGCGCCATCGCCTTCCCCGCACCTCCCGCTTTCAGTGCCCCCGCAACTACCTCCACGTCACTGAGTGATACGTTATCGCCCACGTATCCAGTCGCTGCCGCCGCCACCACCCATCGCGCCACCGCTGACAAAGCGGAGCCGCCCCGCACTCCTTTCCCCGCATGATGCCGCTTTTCCCGCCACGACTTCAGCGGGGAGCACGGCGCGGATGCGGGGCCCGGGGCGGTGAAAGCGGGGGATCGGGAGCGTGCGGTAAGGGCAGAGGAGTGCGCGCATCCCGAGGGAGCGGGGGAGTAGGGGGGAGCGTGATTAAAGCAGCTCGAAGTTCCGGTTTGGTTGCACGCGGTCGTCGCAGACGGAGGCCATGACGTCGCACAGGAGGGCCGGGGGGAAGGGAGCGGCGCGTCGGGTCGTTGCGATTCGAGAGTGAAGGGGGTTGCTGGTGGGTCGAAGTGATGGGTGGAATCGTGATGACGGGACTGGATTGGGGAATCGAGCGCTGAGAAGTCGTTCGCAGACGCGTTTGGTGTGATGCATGGTGGCGACGTCGGCGATGCATGCGGCGACGATTGCGACGACGCGTGCGACGAAGATTGTGAAGCGTTAGGTGAGAGAGATTGGGAGGAAGGGATGTAAAGGAGCGGCGAGTCGAGCCAACACGTGGATCCCATCGCCGGCTGCATCGCTGACCTCCCAGCAATCGACGACGTCAGATGAGAATTTCCAAAGATCGACCTCATCTCTTTCTGCTGCGACGGACAAGGCTCGTTATAGACATTAACAGGCTCGTCAGCAAGCTGCTGGCGAACCATGTCTGGGAGAAGCTTGGCGGTCGGCGCAATATCTTCAACAAGAGGGCGGGAGAAAGTCCAATGGTGAGACGCGCCGTCAGCGGCGGAGCCTGACGCGCTGTGCGCGGGATCACGTGGGGACGTAGCCATGGCTGCCGTTGCAGCTACTGCGAAGGACCGCCGGCCCGAGCGATGCCCCGAATTTGTGTCGCCTTGGATCCTACCTTTGCCGACAGGATAGCCATGGTCGATGAGAAGCTCATTTGCGCTGACACGGAGGGTCTGCACACATGGCGTTACGCGTGGAACCGTTCAGATTAAGGTCTCCCCATGTTTCCCCCGATTCTGCCCCCTCCTACGCTTGCCCCTCTTGCCACTGCTCTTGGCCCCCCTGCTCTAGCTTTTAATGGCAATGGATTGCGCTGCTGCTGCTTGAAGACAGTGACGTGCCACGTTATGTTATCTGGTCTACTGATGACTAGCCACTGTCGAACTACTATGTGATTAGATGTTTAAGGGTTGGGGAGACGTCTGTGGTAGAGAAGCTGGGTGAGTAAGTCCTGCCTGAAAACGGCAGCCTAACTCGGGGAAAGAAACTGCGATGGCGGATTTCTGGACGTGACAGACAATGAATGAGACGAACATGAGAGGCAGCGACAGAGCGAAGTCACGACGGGATAGCGATTGTGCGGGTGGTGTTGGCATAGACGTTCCTCCTGGACACGCCAGGTTTGAGCAGCATATGCTCCAGTCGACTGAAGAGTTTGAAATTGGAGTCTAGGAATTGGGTTGGGATTGAGGTGACGAGCAGGTCCAAATCGCGCCTGGCTTGTGTTTGGTCTTGGTCTTGTTGCGCGTGCCGGAATGCGGGTGTTGGCCGACTCGGCTACGCGTTGACACTTGTTCTAATGACATCACCCCAGTCGAGCCGGGTACTCCAGTCACCCATCCATCAAAAACTGCGAACTGAAACGTACGTACTGCACCATTGGGAGCCACCACGCCAATGACCTTTGACGTACGGCATTCTATCGAATGTCATGTGTTCCGCAAAGCCACGTGGATTTTTCACTGGTGGAACGATTCGAGCTAGCAAACCGACTCGACTCGGCTCCCCGTGTCAACTGTGGAGACCAGTCACTCACTAGCAACAGTAGGTGTATTTAGGTCACTGGTGAAAATACCTGGTTTCCACATGTGCAGTTTAGGGGTGGGAGGAATGAGGAAGGGGTGGACGGGGGGGGGGGGGGGGCGAGGGGGGGGGGGTGGAGGAGCGTAGTCAGAGGCAGCTGGGGATGGGGTTTGGTTTCAAATAATTAAATAAATTGTCGCAATACATACGAAGGTGGGTTGCGCTCACATCGCATCGGTCACATCCATCTTTACCCTCTATAACTGAGGGTGACACCAATGTGCGGAGGAATTGGTCTTTTGAGGCTCGTGCGCGCACACCCGGGCCGAAATCGAACCACAGGGGGAGGTGATGTGAGATGGTTGGGTGGTTTGGTTTGACGACTAGGCACGTGACCTGACCAGGTTTTTGGGCAGAGCGGACAACCGTCCAATGAGGCTCGGAGTTCTTCACATCAGTCGGACCGCTACGTTGACTGGCCGTGATTTCTGTGACCGTGAAATGGCATCGCGCGGATGAAGCGCCGCGCACCTCGCGAATCGTGAGATCGTGAAGCTTTACACCGTCGAGGATTCGCTGCGTGTGTCCACAACAAGAAACGCAGCGCATGATCCGCTGGAAACAAGCAGAGGATTCACCATGGTACGCCTCGATTACGGAACTTCCCTCATGGCGATACAGTGCAACCAGTATATCCTAATATATCATACGCTTTTAGCAGCTTTGTCAGAACATGGCGGGGTGTACACAGGATGCTGTACACTTTTGTCGCTCGGCACAGCTGGCAGTGAGCCCTGATCTCTTGGGATTCTTGCTCACTCGACCACTCTTACGACGCCAGGTGTTCCTTGAAAATGCAGCTGCCCCGCTTGTGTGAACCGACATCGCAACAACACCTGCGACGCGGTCGTAAACATGACACCCCCTAAGCCAATTGGAAAACAAAATATTTTAAAAAAAGTGTTGAGCACCAACAAAAATATTGGGAATGAAGAACATAGGTGTGAATAGAATCTACAGTGTGGTGTTTGGCCCGGGATCACCCTCCCTTTTCCCGTCTTCAACTCAGTGGAAATTGGTGGTTGTGGGATTTTCGCACAAGCTTTCCCAGCCTTCCTGCCAGCGCTACCCAGAACAAATCCCTTTGTCTGCCAACACCACCAATCCCCATCCGCCCAGGTCTTCCCCTCCACCCGTACATTCTCTCTTTCTTGTTGCCAATAACACCGCCCCAGACCCACGTACTTAGTCAGTTCCATGGGCCAACAACTTCTCGCCCTTTTCTTTAGGTAGAGCCCAAAGGGATCTTGTCTGCGCCATGGCTCCTGTGCCACGTGGCAGACGTTGCCACGTGGATGGCTGCTACTCACCAGCTTGTCTCGTAAAGGTCGCACTAGCAAGCATACTCTTGCTATCTTCGCCGTCCCTACTACTTGTGGTCTTCGCTCAAACTCCCGCTTATTCGACTCTCGGCATTCCCGTTGGTCTAGTCGCAGGAGGCGCGTACGAGCCTGTTTTGGGCGCGACGACCAACCAGGTCTGGCAGCTGAACCTCCTAACGCATCGCGAGGTGGGAGCGTCGTCAAATCCGGATAACAACACTGCGGCGCTACTGGACAGCTGCGCTGTCGGCAGAAACGGATTCGCGTACACGTCGTCTGCCGATAGCTACATTAACGTGGTCCGGTACGCCACTGCCGGCCCGGTACCTCTGCCGGCCATCGACGTCTCTCTTCCCGCCATCACCCGAGTCGTTCTTGGAGGCGCGTCGGACAACCTGCTTATCGCCGCAGATGGCTCTGCAGCCGCAAGCGGCGCCTTGGGGCTCGATGTATCGGGACTGGAGGCCGCTATCACCGCCGCATCTGGCGGTGCTGCTGGGAACGCGAACCGGGTCACTCTTCCCGAAACGGTTCTAGTAGGAAACGGCCACCAGTGCTTGTCCGTCTCGTTCTGCCGGAAGCCGCTCGGCTCGCCGGAGGACTTTGCCGTGCTGACGTGTCACAGGACGGCCGACGATGCGGACTTTATTGTTGTGGTTCCGATCGATCCCGCCACGGGGGCCTTCCAGACGGCGGCGATTAAATACTTCAGCGTTCCGTTTGCCGCCAAGCAAGCGGTTTGCTCACCTCAGGGTACGTTCATCGCCGTGCTGCGCTTCGATTTGAACGCGCTTTACACCTACGCCCTGCCACTCGCCGGATCGCTCACGCCGCTCACCATCACTTCTTTAACTACCGGCACTCCTGGGTCGCTCGTTGTCAACCCTGCGCATAAGAATATTCTAGTTAGCAGCTCCGCTAGCTATGCCGGCGGCGGATTCGCAGCCAATCAGGTGCGCCTAGGGACCGTGGATTCCGTGCCGTTCGCAGAAACCGCGGGCTGCGCGTCGGCCGGCGCAGATCTGGGGCCGTTTCAGTTTCTGACGTCAGGAACGGACGGGGGTGAGCTGGCGTTCTACCCCAGCAATCCGCCCGTGGCGTTCCTCGCGCTGCCGGAAGGGCTGACGGTGATGCGGCTGAGTCCTGACGGATCCACGGAAGCCGATACGGCCATGACGCTCAACCTTGGCGGGGCTGCTGCGGAAGCCGCTGGATGGAGTTATTTCGCCTCCGCCATTTGCGCGCAGAAGTATGTACCGCCTCCCTCGCCGCCCTCTCCGCCTCCGCCTTCGCCGCCCTCTCCGCCGCCGTCCCCGCCTCCCCCGCCTAAGCCCCCCTCTCCGCCCAAACCTCCTTCACCCCCCAGACCTCCATCTCCTCCGCCTAAGCCTCCTTCCCCTCCTCCTCCGAAACCCCCCTCTCCTCCTCCGAAACCCCCTTCTCCGTCCCCTCCTTCTCCTCCTCCATCTCCGCCCTCTCCCCCATCCCCTCCCTCGCCTTCTCCTCCCCCTTCCCCTCCCCCTTCTCCGCCCTCCTCTCCACCGCCCCCCCCACGTCCCAACTCAGAGGAGACGGGGACCACGCAGGGCAAGGGCGATCCAAGCCGCGTGCCCAAGCCTTCTCCTAAGCCGGCCCCAGTGCCCAAGCCCAAGCAGGGAGGTGGTGGAGTGTTTGGGATGTTCAAGTCGTGGTTCGGAGGGAAGAAGTAATGGTTTAGGGCGGCGTGGGCCCTCTGCTGCACAGCAGGGTAGGAGGTGGTGCTGCTGCTGCTGCTGCTGGCAGCAAAAACGTATAGCACCGGCCGAGTAATAGCTGTTTGCGCATACTGCGCTTCAGCTGGAAGCAATCTGACTGTCTGCTGTGCTGTGCAGAGGGATACCTTGTGTTATGGTGTGCTTGCTTGAGGGCAGTTGTTTCAGCTAGTGATTGCTTTTAAAGGATACAAACACGTTATTATATTCACTCTGTTATGGTGTTATCAGGTTGTGCCTCTGGCTAGTGACGTATTTATTTTCAAAACCCGTCTCTGGATGGGAAAAGTAGAGCATGGGAGACTTGCTGTGTGTTATGTCAGGGTATAAATGTTGCTTGATCTACGACAAACACAGTAACATTGAAAGTCTTGTACCATCCGCACAGCAACGGGTAAACCATTGGTGATAAGGTTCATCACAAGCAGTCGTATGAGAGTAAAGGCCTCTTACCGGTACAAGACGAGGTATAATGTGGGCCTAGCACGGGCCTACCACGTACGCAGACGACACTGACTATGGCTGCTGCTATCTACGCAGCTGCAGCTGCTGCTGCTGCTGCTGCTGCTGCTGCTGCTGCTGCTTGAGGCGACTGGGCTGGGGCTGTCTGGTGGTAAACCATCGCATCAAGCATACTAGGACCACCTAACTGAAGGGCTGAATTAGACAAGACAAATAGGCATGGGGCATGGCTTGGCATGCCAAGCATCGGTTGGGGGGTGCAAGCCACAGCTTGAGTTTGCCACCAGTGCTAGCGACGGCCCTCTGCATGTCATCGCACTCTCCTCAAAAGCACCACCTCCCCTGAACCTTCACGGGAAGGCTCGGCCGGACCGACGCAGGCACGGGATCACCAGACCTGGTTGCAGAGGGGGCGGAAGCCCATGGACTCGCCGTGCTTCCAGTCGTTGAGCACATGCAGGCCGCCAATAGCCCCCAGCACAATGGCGCTGCTGCCGATGACTGAAGCAAGTGCAAAGATGATGATGGAGGCCTTGCCGGAGCGGATGACAATGGAGCGCACTATGGAGAGGCCTGAGACGGCGGCGACCATGGCGAGCAGGCAGAAGTAGGAGGCGACCTTGAGGGGGATGCGGCCCAGCAGGTAAAACTCCACCACGGAGAGCGATGAGGAGAACACCACTATGAACGTGGACGTTGCTGATGTCACCTGGTGCGAGCGAAGGGGATGGGTGAAGGGGCAGAAGGAGGAGGGGAGGGGGGGTTAGAGATCAGGAGGGTGGATTTGGGCAGTTATGGTAAGAAGAAGTGCAAGCACAGGATCCGTCTCTCTATTACCATCCATGACGGAAGTGAAACACGAACAGGCACAACATATCCCACCACGCTAGCTCTCCTCCCCCACTCCCTCTCCCTCTGCTCCCCGCCCACTCACCTGTGGTGGAATGTTGAGTTCGAGCAGCACGGGTCCCATGACCATGCCGCCTCCGATGCCCAGCAGCCCGCCCATGCACCCCGCCAGCAGCGACGCCAGCGGGTACGTCAGCTCACGCGCAAAGTCATAACGAGGCTGCATGCTGCGCGGAGTGCCTGGGGGAACTGGGGACCCCGGCACAGACAGAGCAGCCGCTGCACCCGCAGCAGCTGAAGCGCCGGTGGTGGTGGCGGCGTGGTTGGGGATGCGGGCAGCATGGGCGGCGGTGGGGGTGGAGGGCGCGGAGAGGCGCAGGTAGGCGCGGGAGGTGTCCACGGGCTCCCACCACAGCTTGCGCCCTCGAGCCCTCCACCCTGTCAGCAGCGTCGCAAACAGCGCCACCGGCACCTGGCGTTGGAGATGGGTTAAGGGGAGGGGGGAGGTAACGAGGTGTGAGAGGGAGGGGATGTTGGCGAGGTGAGAGCAAGCGTGCATGGCAGTGAAAGGGTTGGCGGGTCGTGCACTGCTGCTGGCAAGGCAGCTCTGCCCAAACTGCACCCAGTCTGGTGGCAAGGCCGACTCATAGAAACAGCAATCCCGATGACACCGATCAAGGAGCGAAGGCTGGAAAGGGCCACAGCAGAGGGTGTGAAAAGAGGTAGGGTGTGGGTGCAGTGCAAGTGGGGCTGACCTGGGTAGCAGTGAGGAGCCAGTACTGCATGCTGCAGTCAGGCGTGGAGGACTTGACGACCTGCACGACGAGGAAGAAGGCCCACACCACCACCATCTCCACCACTGCCACTGTGTCCGGGCCTCCCATCAGCCACCGCCGCCGCCCTCCTGCTGCTGCTGGCGGGACCTGCGCTTGGCACTGCAGGAGAGACATGGGGGGAGCGATGCTGTAAGTCTGTGTATATCGTAGGGAGAAGGCACGAGAAGCAAGGTGACCGCGAGGGAGGGTGAACGGGAAGGGGGTGAATAGGAGCGGAGGGAACGAGAGCACAGGGAGAGGAGGGGGAGGGATTGCAAGAGGAAGCGAGGGGAGAGAGTGTGGCGTGGGATCGTACTTGTGAGCGGGGCGTGGCAGCTTGCCTCTCGCCATCTTCGTTCACCCTCAATCGGCCCAGCAGTGGCTTCCGTAACTCATCATCCCCACCACCACTACCAGCAACACCCGAAGCAGCAGCAGCAGCAGCAGCAGCAGCACCACCATCACTAATGCCATCCCCACCGGCCCCAGCACAGCCCGCCCCTCCCCGCCCATCCTCCACCGCATCTGCCGCAGCATCCGCGCCTCCTCCTCCTGGCACATCTCCCTCTCGCCCCTCCCCACAGCTATCTCCCGCGTGCGACCCCTCTCGCCCCTTTTCCCCCACCGCATGCACCCCCCGCCCCTCCTCCTCCTCCACGGGTGCAGGCAGGCTGGTGGGGTCAACCAAGTCATGCACGGTCAACGCTGTCTCCGAGTCCAGGCTCGTGTACGAGTGCAGGGACGCGTGCGACAGCAGCGCGGACGGCGGAGGGGCGGCAGCGAAGGAGCGGGTAGCAAAGGCAGAGTCGAGCGACATGGTGGGCTTGAGGGAGGCAGACTCGTGGTGGTGGTGGTGGTGGTGCGAGTGTGGGGGCTTGTAGAGAGTTGATGAGTGCGAGTGGCCGTTGGGGAGAGGCGAGAAGGGCGATGCGTCGCCTCTGCTGTGCCTGTTGCTTCTGTACTGCTGCTCCGCCCTGCCACCCCCCCCTGCTGCTGCTGCTGCTGCTGTGTGAGGGCCGCGGTAGCCTGAAGGGAGTAAGGCAAGGTTTGGAGAGGAAGGGAAGGGGGGGAGTGGGATGCATGCGGGAGAAAGGAGGCCTCGTGGAGGTGAGGAGGTGAAAACAAATGGTGGGTTGTGCAAATGAGAGAGTGCGAGGAGTGGGGCGTGCGGGGAGTGGGGCGTGCGGGGAGTGGGACGTGCGGGGAGTGGGACGTGCGGGGAGTGGGACGTGCGGGGAGTGGGGCGTGCGGGGAGTGGGACGTGCGGGGAGTGGGCGTGCGGGGAGTGGGGCGTGCAGGGCGTACCAGGTGTGGTTGGGCGGCGGGAGGTATGAGATGACACGGATGATGTTCGGGAGAGCGCCTGTTGGCAGGGCAGGGCGGGGCAGGGGCGGGGAGGGTAAGGGAGTGAGGAGGGGGGAATAGGAAGACGCAGAGAGTAGGTGGCGTTTAGAAAGCAACGAGGGAAGCTAGTGCGCCGTGCTGTGACTTCCTGCTGAACCCCCATTCTTTCTTTCCTCTCCCTTTTGACTAGTTTTGGGACGTCTTAAGACTTCTGAGACGTCTCACGAGAAATTCCTCTCCCTTTCGTCTGTCCCCCCAGTTTCCCTTACTACTTCTCCCTTCCCGCATTTACCCGTGTGTAAGCGCATGTTTGGCAGGCAGGGAGGGAAGGGACGGGAAGGAGCCCAGGTATGGCTGCGAGGCGTACCGGATTGACGCGCGACTCCTTCCTCCACGTGGCAATGCCCTTGCCCAGGGTCTTGTACGTCATGACTGGCATGCGGCGGTGGGGGGGATGGGCGGGGGGCGGGGGCGTTATTGTTAACCAAGGGAGGAGTGATGAGAGGGAGAGAAAGGTGCTGGTGGAAAGAGTGTTAATACAAGGGATCTGAATAGAGTGCGGTGCTGGTGCTAACACTAGAACCCCCAGCTGCGAGAGCAGGAGGAGCATTGTGCAATAGGAGAAGGGAAGAGCGAGCGAGTGGGAAGGGCACGCGGCAGGGATCAATGGCTTCGTGGGAGGGTTGAAAGAGGGCGTGCAGAAAGGCGTAGGGGAGGCGTGAGGGCAGGGCAGGCGTACAGGAGAGGAGGACGCAGAGCATGACGGTGATGAGCCATGGCGGGAAGACGACGTTACACATCACGCCGATGCTGATGCCCAGCAGCAGCATCGGCTGCATCAGCCGCGCGATCGCTGCTCGCCGCACGCACGCACGCGCAGCACGACAGGGAAAGGGAGGGGGGGGCGGTGGGAGTGGGGGGGAGGGAGCGCGAGGAAGGAAGAGGGAATGGTGAGGGGGCTGGACAATTTCGGAATGTGAAGCTGAGGAGAGAGGGGACAGGGCGAGTGTGCAGAGCGCCATTGGTGACGAGGTGTGGATGGCGCAGGGATTCGGGTATTGACGAGGCGGAACGAGCGGAAAAGAGCGCTCCTTGGCATGCGGGAAGAACGCTGGGCATGGTGTAGTGGGGCAGTAATGGCGGGAATGCAGGCGGGAATGGCGGCTTACAGAAGTCGATGAGAGAGCGGTGGTTGTTGGTGGGGTGCCGCAGACCCGCATTGAAACACGCACTCGCTATGGCGCCGCCCATAATCATCGCTGTACACGTGGCAGGACGTGGCAAACGAGGGACCGATGAGCAAGGGGGATGGAGGAAGGGAGGCAGAGCGAGACGAGGGGGGAAGGGGAGGGAGGAAGCACATGAGGTGGGGGAAGAATGTGACAGGTGGATCGTAAGCGATCCCTGTATATGACCAGGGAGCACCCTCCTCAACATCCCACCGCTCCCAGCTTCCCTTCCTTCCTGTTACTCTTTCCCCTCCCCCTTTTTCCCCCTTCCCCCTCCCCCGATCACCCCGCCGTTCCCACACTGTCCAACTTTTCCTTGCTCCCCTTCCTCTTTCCGGCCGTCTCCCCCATCCGACCCCCTCCCCCCCCCCCCCCCGCGCGCGCGTACATTTCGAGAGCGCGGTGGACGTTTTGGCGTCGTAGCCCAGCAGAAGGTTGAAGAGCGGCACGAACAGCCCGCCGCCGCCCACGCCGCCCGCGTTCGCCAGCGCCGCGCCCACCACGCTCAGCACCGACGCCGCCGCCACCTTGGCGTTCGGCTCGAAGGGCTAAGGGGGGACGCGGAGCAGGGCGGGGGGAGGAGGGGGGCGGAAGGCGGATGCAGTGGGACTGGGAAGATGAGAAGCGTGATCGAGGTATGGAGAGGACGAGTGGGGTGAGGTGGACGGGAGGAGCGGCGAAGGAGTGAGGAACGATGATAGTTGCGTGAGGGGTGGAGGGGACAAACTGGCCTGATTCGCTGGAGGGTGGAATGGCAATGCACGTTTGCAGGAGACGAAAGATCAAAAGCGCACCCAGACGTCCGACGGTCCCACCAATGCAGATCCGTTCGGACACGTGGCACTCGCAGAGCCCGCATCTCGTTTAGCACAACGCAATCTTACCGGCCACTTCTTGCCGTCGGGCAGGATGAGGTACTGTCGCACGGCGACCAGGGCGTCGCGCACCCATCGCTCGCTCGACGACATCTCTGGCACTATCGGCACCATCGGCACCATAGGCACGCTCTTCCCCGCCACTGCTGCTGCATCTCCCGCCTCCCCTCCCTCATTCCCCGCAGCGCGGACCACTTCGCCAGCCTTCGCGTTGGCTATATGCGGAGGCAGTACCCACGGCGCCGCACTGGTCTGCGGCGGCAACTGCGGAATCGGAACTTGAGAAGGATTCTCGGCAGTACGAGAGCCGTCTGACTGAATCGCAACCGCCCCTTCTTTTGCGGCGGGATTGGTCGCTGGAACGGCGGCTACCGGTGCGGCTGTGGGTGTAGCACGACCTGCAATGGCGGCGCTGATGGGGGGAACGGAAGACGGGGAAGCATCTAAAACCTGTATTTGGTCTGCTTCTAGAGGAAGGTGCCTAGATGCTTCGGTGGCGGTCGACGAAGGGTGGCGGGCGACAGGGGCTCCACGGGCAAGCGGGGGGAGATCAGGGAAAGCGTTGGAAGAGGATATGAGCGCATGGTGCAGGAGGAGCGAGAGGAGGAGGATGTAGAGTGGAGGGGGAAAGAGGGCGAAGCGCGGGCCATTTGGTTGGGATTGCGACGCAGATGGATGGTGGCGATTCATCTGATGTGGTGACAGGTTCAAGATGTGCTTGATCTGCTGCCTGAGCGACGCGCGCCGCGTGGAGTTTCTTTCTTTGAGGCAAGTTGGCATCATGAGGCCTCGTGGCGATACGAATACATTGCTAGAGGGCGCCGTCATAGGATCGGCGCGTAACGCCGTGGCCAAGTGACTGTAAGTAAAGATGCCGAGCTCGATGCTGAAAGTAACAGGAGTTGCCACAACACACGGAAGTACGGTAGGAGCTAAGCAGACCAGAGTGTGAATGTTAGAATGAATGACAAGGTCCAAAAAAGCCTCGTCCAAACATGAGAATGTGCCACATGAGTTGGAACGAGATGAGAGTTGTCCAGGCGAGGTGGGCACTGGGCTGTACGATGACGAATTGATGGGGGGTGGTTTGAGGCAAGGTGCATTTTTGGGCGAAAAACGGGTTCGGACGAAGACTTGACAGTTACCGTGGCTCCATACCGGACCTCCCTGGCCAACCACTAAGCCGAAGCTCCACCGTCCGGTTCGGATGTCATCAACGGCACGCCGCTGCCTTCCGCCAACAGAAGCCCCTTGAGAGTTTGAAATCTCTCAAAATGGAGAATGGCGCAGTTCCGGAGGGGTGACGGCTGTACTGTACGTACATCATCAGAATTTGCGAGCTGGCACAGAATTTGCCCCATCCCCATGATATTTACGTGGCGGAAGTTGGTGGTTGTGGTACGCCCAGGTGGTTTGGCTCGAAACGCGATCTTGCAGCTGAGAGTCGTTGGAGAACCAAGCCCCACGCGTTTGCAATTGGTCCTTGAGAGCTCGGCACGGCACAGCACAGGCCACCAGCGATCACAACGAATACATTTTCGCTTTCGTCCCAACGCAACCTCCTGATTGGCCAGAATTGTTTGGAAGAGATTCCGAATTGGTGTGTGTGAGCCGTCGTCGTAACGTGATTCGAGTGTCAAGCTTCGAGATCCGCTTCAATTCCAAGTCATGCCTCGCAATGCAACTTCCACGTCAGGTCCTCCTCAGCAGGGCTCAGTATTCCTAAAAAGCTTGTCCTTGGTCCAAGTTTAGGAAAGCATTTCATGTTTTTTTATCGGTATAACATGCACTATACCTTATTGCCCCTTGTAAAATTGCCTCAATTCTGGCTAACTTGTATGTAGGTCTACTGATTTCTTAAACTATATTTTATTCACTAGTATTTCCAAAACTTGACGAAATTCAAGACACGACATCGTTATTCCAACACATGTGGATATGGGTGCACACAATTGAAACCATAATCGATTAGTTCAAGCATGAGTATACATTTCCGCGGTGTGAGACTGGCATGCGCGACGTAGGTGTGTGCAGGAGAGGCGGTTGGAGGGCAGGCGAGGCGGAGGTTCCGGCCTGAGTAGCGTTGCAAATAACTCATTACTTCTCAGCCCTACGCTACGTATGCGTCGAGAAAAGCGCATGCGGTGGGGAGAGGAGCAGGGAGGAGGAAGACGGTGGATGATTGCAGCAGGTGCTGGGGGATGTGGTGCTCGTGCCGTTGCTCACTCCTTCCCCGTCATCATCATGCCACTCTCTGCCGATGTCTTTCGCTCCTCCAATTCTACCTCCGCTTTGATCCCTATCTCCCCCACCGTTCTCCTTGTCCTCAAAACAATCCCCCACTGCGGCACTTCCATTGCATTCCCCCATCCCAGCTGAAGCAGCATTGCTATCCCCCTGCCGTTGCACCCCACACACTTTGGCACCCAACCACTCCGCTGCTACCTCCACGTCCCTGCTCCGTTACGGGCAGCCAGATTTTTTCGCTGAACGAAGCCTCCCTGGCAGTGTGGAGGGCGTGCGGCACGGAGCAGGGCGGCTGGTGAGGGCAGGTAGAGGCGAGCAGGCAGGGGTGTGAGCAGCTAGACGCACCATCCGGTGCAACCCTCCACACTCCTCCGTGAAATGCTCCCCCATATTCTCGCTTGCCTGCGGCTGCTGCTGCGGCGGCGGTGGCAGCTCGTGTCTTTGGGTTGCGTCACGCAAGTTGAGTTGCGCTACTGCTCGACGAATGCCTCTTCTTTCTCCAAGAGAGTAGCTCTGGTGAGGGCCATTGCCCTGCGCGTGAGTGCAATCAAGAGAAAATTAGGAAGAAGAAAAAGGCCCTTTGAGGATTCTCAAACGCGACTCAAAAGTGAGAACTCTCAAAAGTGTTTCCAATATAGCAGGAGCAATACACAGGAGGGGTGTGGTGGAAGGGTGGCAGCATGCGAGTGACGTGCAGGAAAGGGAACCACCCACCCGCCCATGCACCCACGCACCCACGCACCTGTGGTGCACGGGGTAGTTCTTGACTGTCTCGAAATCGTACACCTGTCTCGAAACGCATATCCACTCACCCCTACCCAACCCCACCCACCCACCTGCACTCGGTTCCTCAGCGTGCCATTCATGTGGTGCGTCCTCTCTCCAATCACATCCGCCGCTGCTATCAGCGCGCATCATCTGACATGGCGCCACCTGGCATGAGAGGCCACGTGGCACGCTCCCATTGGTCTGCTGTGGCGTTGAATCGCTGGTATGAGGGAAGGGTCTTGGGATGCTCTCTTCTCATCCACGCGTTCTGAGCACAGGCACAAGGGAAGGAGTAAGTGGAAGGAGTTTTGGACAGGAAGTGGGAAGGATAAGAGATGGTTGGAGAGAGTGGGTCCCTGTAACGGCCAAGCAATGCAATGAGACCATCGTAATCCGCAAGTGCAGAAATCAAGTGAGAACAAAACAATCTCTCAAGACGGACGAGGTCATCATTTAGTTGGTGCGAGTGGGAGTGCGGGCAAGAGCAGGAAACAGAAAGAATGAGAGGAAGAGAGCGAAAGAGCAGGAAACAGAAAGAATGAGAGGAAGAGAGCGAAAGAGCAGGAAATCGAAAGAATGAGAGGAAGAGAGCGAAAGAGCAGGAAATAGAAAGAACGAGAGGAAGAAAGCGAAAGAGCAGGAAATAGAAAGAATGAGAGGAAGAGAGCGAAAGAGCAGGAAATAGAAAGAATGAGAGGAAGAGAGCGAAAGAGCAGGAAATAGAAAGATTGAGAGGAAGAGAGCGAAAGAGCAGGAAAAAGAAAGAATGAGAGGAAGAAAGCGAAAGAGCAGGAAATAGAAAGAATGAGAGGAAGAGAGCGAAAGAGCAGGAAATAGAAAGAATGAGAGGAAGAGAGCGAAAGAGCAGGAAATAGAAAGAATGAGAGGAAGAGAGCGAAACCCCAAGCAGCACCCTTCCCCGCTCTCTCTCTCTCTCTCTCTCTTCTACCCCCCCCCTCCTTTTCACCGCACCTCCCTCCCCCGATCACCTCGCGCAGGTCTCTCTCCGCCAGCGCGTATGACTGCATCAGGGTGCGCGCTCACCCCCGCCCCTGCAGCATGCGCTCCCGCGCTGCCATCTCCCCCGCTCCCCGAATCCCCTGCGGTTCCCGCTGCTGCCCCCGCGCTCCCCCTCTCCTACCCCACGTGCGCCACGCGCGAGAACAGCTCCTCCGCCTGCGCCCATTCCCCCGCCTCCATCTGCGCCCACGGCGCCGCGGGGAGAAGCGGCCGGAAGGAAGGGGAGGGGGAGAAGGTGCGGGAAGGGAAGAGTGAGAAAGGAGGGGATGAGCGACGCGGGCGGAATCGGGCGTTGCGACGGATAAGGAGGGCGCGGGGACAGCAGCGCGCCTGCCGCTCAAATTCCCGTCCCCAAAAATTCTCCGCAGTGTCACGCAGCGTGCACCTGCCGCTCTGCCTCGTCCAAGGTGTCAAGATACTCCTTTAAATCGATCTCTACCGCTTCACTACCTCCGCCTTCGTCATCCCCTGCGCCGCCCTCCTTCCCCGGCATTCCCCCCTCGCGCGCATCGCACAGATGCGCTATCCCTGCGCGTGCGCCGGACTTTTCCGCCTCTCCGCCAGCTGCAACCTCCCCCTGCTCCGCCACTCCGCACGTGCGCGGCAGCGCGGACGCATGAGACGGCAATACGCGGGGCAGAAGTGCCAGGGACAGCAGCAGCATGAGCACAGGCAGGCGTCGCTGCATGCTGCTAATTGCGATGTGTTTCCTTAACAATTCGCGGCCCCTGGCAGAATGCCGCTCGCCCGGCGGTATCGCATGGTGGGGCCCACTCGCGACGAAATCTGGTGCGACAGCAGCGAGGTGTCAGTCAGACTGTCAGAGGGTGAAGTCGAAAGACTCTGGGGAGTGGAGCTGTTGACTGGTACGAGCCCAACTGCATGGAACCTTGGGGGATTCGAACCACCTCGAAATTGCCTTGAAATGCGAAGTCGAGGACTTCGGGGGAAAACGGAATTGTGCGCTGGGAAGGGCGATTCTGGTTCACTCAACAACGGAACTGGATGGTGCTTTACGGTTCTAGTGGTTAGCTAAACATACCGCTTACTGATCCGCACTGACTGATGTGCTGCGGACAAATGTGGGGTAAACCCCGTTGGCGTGGGTGGGATGTGAAGATGGACTTCCCAAGGCACTGCAAACCCGCTAAAAATATTCCGAACCGTGTTCAACCAGATTGGACCCTCGTCACGCATCCGACATCCCTCCGTGTTCCACAATCGTACAATCACAGAATGAAGCACTTTGCCCTCACAACAATGCACGACAAGCTTTCGCGAACGATGACGACATCACTCAACTCGACCTCTCTGACTACAACACGGTTTGGCGAAACCTAGCTTCCGAATGCCACTGAGGAACGGTCAACAGCAGAAAGTTACCTGTGAGCTCGCCAATTCGCCCAACCAGGACCCTGGCTTCTCCTTGTGGCCGATGATGGGTTTCGCAGCTCCTCCATCGCTTCTGTCAGAACAAAACCAGACAGATCACGAGTTCCCTCCCTACTCTTCTGCCAACAGCCGCCTCCCACGCGCTAGAGCGGCTCAATTCAGTAGCACGCTTCGGGAAACGGATCGCGGCGGTTGAATGAGCGGAAGTTCTATAGGCCACGTGATTTCACCCGTGTTTCTTTTCTGGCCGATGAAACAGCATACGTGTCCCGAACTGGTAGGATATAGTTTTCATTGCCACATTAGGCGGTCCAATCATACGCTGGGCTTCATTTGGCGGTCCAATCATGTTGTTCTCGGCGAATTGTTATGATCCACCACTGTCCAATGTGGCATGTTTGGGACCACCATCGAAGCCAGCAAGGCAAATTTCCAACCGTTGACTGTTTTCACCGAATACAGTACCCAGCGATTCGCAATCAGACTTCGTTTTCCGCGATCCGCGATCCGCGCACCCACACATCTTCAGGCTCATTTCATTTTCCGGCGCGTCTTCTCGAGTTTTTAGTTGGTCTCTGCAGCCTTGTAGGCATTTGTCAATCTAGTTTGGCTTCCGATTGCTCTAGCAGTTTCGAACCATCACTATCTTCTCTCGTCGATACCATTCAGCATCGCCTGGTTCGTATGGTGGGATCGTGGAGTTTCATAATCTCGACCGTGGCAGTTTCAGCAACGTAGCGAGTCAACTTCGACTCTCGTCGTTTTTTTACGTCAGGTAGAACAACAATCCCTATCACGTTTTCGTATTAGCGACCTGCTTTCGTCAATATACGCGACCTTCAATCTGTTTCGACGCGGATTCTGACAATGGTGTTCCTTGTTGTATTATGGGCAGGACACCATGGTAATCATCGAATCGCCGTGGATCTGCATCTCTTCATCGACCTCGTCGACGCTAGCTACGACGTGGCTGAAGCGACGTTGATCTCCCCGACTTGTGATGGTGAAGGTTGAATGTATCACCTTTCACCACCACTCACCACAGAGCCTCCTCCCTGGTAAAGGTTTGGTACAGGTTCGGTACAGGTTCGGTAAAGGTTCCCAGAAGGTGTTTGGTCGGTACTGGCTCTGTGGTGGGGCAGCACATGTTTCATCCACGTTTTCTAAGTCTTCATTTCCTTTACATGCTTTCTTCACTTCCGTCTACTAACTTTGTTTTTTCTTATACGTGCAGGTTCTATGGAGGCTGCTAGGCGTATTTTCGAAGATTTCATAGGAGCAACGGCCTTCGGGGCTCTCCATGCTTCACGGCGAACAACAGAGGAGAAGCTCCACGAGTGAAGGTTGAAGTATCAACCCACCCTCCACAGAGCCACCTGGTTGAGGTTAGGTACAGGTTGAGGTCTGGTAAAGGTCCCCCTGAAGGTTTTTCGGTTGGTATTTGGCTCTTTTTTTCCACTTCTTTCGTTTTGCATGCTTTCTTGCCCGACCTTTACTAATTCTTGATTATTTCTTTACTTGCAGGTTCTATCTGGGGTTCTACTGCGCTCTTCGAATGCCTTCAGAGGAGCAACATTCTTTGGCGGCCTTCCTTGCTTCTTGGCGGACAACAGAGGAGAAGCTCCACGAGTGAAGGTTGAAGTATCAACCCACCCTCCACACTCCACGCCACAGAGCCACCCCCCCTGGTTCACGTTGAGGTTTGTTAAAGGTCGAGGTTTGTTTTAAGGTAAAGGTTGGTAAAGGTCCCCCAAAGGTTTTTTTGTTGATATTGGCTCTGTAGGCAGCACTCACTTGCAGCACCGTTCGTTTCTGCATGATTACTTCACTGCTGTTCACTAACCTAGTTCCTTGATCTCCTAGCAGGTTTTATTTATGTCCCTTGTGCCACGCTCCACATGATCTCCGAGGAGCACCACATTGTTAAGCTCCAAGGCGGGGTGAACGTACCTGCCAACAGCACCTGGCAGGTGCCTCCTCTCTCTCCACCAGCAGTAAGTCTCGTTTGACTCCTCTTCGTTTTAAGTGCTTGCTGCATGTTGCTACGTTTTCCTTCATTGACTTGCCTTTCTAACTCGGATTTCCTGGCTTCACTTGGCAGGTTGCTTCACCAACGGATTTCAGCATGCCCAAGAATCAAGATCCATGGGAGCACCATGGCCTGCTGAGGCGCCTCAAGGTTCAACAACCATGGCAAGATAAGTTGTCAATCCCAGCCTCGTCGCTTGCTTTCTCGGTCCAACGCTCCTTCACTGCTAACTCCAAGCTTGTTGATTCCTTGTTTTCTTTTTCAAGTTGTGGTTCAACTCCCCATTGACTGACTTGTTTTATTGCGCCTCATGGCAGGTTCTCCAAGCGCCATCTGCACGCCATGGCCCCAAAGACCGTGCGCACCGCTCCACACTCCAGCATGCCCAAGATCCATGGGAGCACCATGGCCTGCTGAGGCGCGTCAAGGCTCAAGCACCACTCCCCAGTCCATACACCTCAACATCAGATAAGTTTCAGCCCTTAACCTTCGACCTCCCTTTTCTATGCTCATGGTTTTGTTTTGCAGTACTTAGCTCCTCGTTTTGTTTGTTTGTTGTTTTTCTTTTATGCATGTTGCCTTCTTGCTTTCTTGTAAGAGCCTGGACTAATTTGTCTCCCTTGTGCTCCTCTGCCTGCAGGTTTCTTCATGAGCGGCAAGCATGGCAGTCTCAGTGGGTGGCTGTGGCGTGTGGCCAGTGCACGAGAGAGGGTGAAGCTATGGGAGGCGCCTCAAGGCTCAAGACCGTGTGCACGGCTCCACAGATAAGTCCCAGCCCTTGCCTTGGTCCTCCAATTCTCGTTTGCGTTGTTTTTTTTTCAGAAGTTATCTCCTTTAATATTCGTTTGTTAACTGCTTTGGTTCTGTAAGAGCCTGTACTAATATTTGTCTATTGCCCTCCTGCAGGTCCGTTCATGCGCGGCAAACATGGCTGTGGGAGGTGGCTGTGGCGTGTGGCCAGTGCACGAGAGGGGTTGAAGTCATGAGCATTGGCTAAGCAGTCGATTCCGGGCCAAACCGGACTGGTTGTGTCCCCTTCCATCCCCGTCAAGTGACAACACTGTCTGGCCAGCAGTGTTGTCATTTGATGGAGGTGGGGGTGAGCACAGCCAGTCCCTAGTAGGGCACCCGCACGTCTCGGGCGAAGCAATGCTCATAGCCCAGCCTTCCTCTCTGCCTGTTTGGTGCACTGCCAGTCCATGCCGGGGTGGGCATGGATGGCATGCTGCCAGTCCATACTCCACTGGCTTGCTTCTCAGAGGACATCAGATGGAGCTGTGCTTGATAGGATTCCACACAATCAACTACAGTGGTTGAGTGTACCCTTAGAGACCCTGATTGTAATCCAGATTATACACTAGTGTAGCGATTATTCATTCTAGGCAGGAGGTAGATTGTCTTGCAATCTGAAGGAGTGGGTGTCTGTTTTAGTGAGAATTTCTTTGAATTAATTCGCTCATGTGTTGGTGTTTTCTGCAAGTAGTTACCATTTTCTTTTACTGCTGTTTTGCAAGTCTAACATTTTGTTCATGGGTCCCATCTAGAGGCAGCGCATATCGGACGCACATTCACTTCCACCGACTTCTGCCGATTTCTCGAACGGCAGCATTAGGTGCTCAACGTGCGTCTCGGCCAACATGGCTATTTGGGTGTTTGGCTACGGCTCACTGGTATGGCGGCCTGGCTTCGCATTCTCTGCGCGCGTTCCGGGGCACATATGCGGCTACCGACGTGTCTTTTACCAAGGTTCTGGTCGTTGAGCCGATGTTAACGCCTCGTCCTTTCCCGCCAGTCTCGTCATTTTTTCCCTCGTCTTCTCGAACCCAGTCGTTCAGCTCGCACGTCCTTAGACGTGTTTCAAACCGCGTGAGGAATAGGATAGCGGCATGCCAGCACGTAGCTGACGTGGCTGATATGGCTGACATGGCAGGCAACACGGACCACAGAGGCACGCCGGAGAAGCCGGGGAGGACAGTGACGCTGGTGGAGGAGCAAGACTCCGTTACTGTGAGCGATGCGAGTGGTGGGGGTGAAGGGAGGAGGGGAGGGGAGAGTAAACGCGGCCTGGCAAGGAGCGGTTGAATGCCTGAGAGCGCCAATGGGGCGCAGAAGCTTCCTCCGCATATGTTCTATCTATATTCTCTTTCCTCTTTTCTTTTCTTTGTTTCAAGTAAGTTACACCGTCCACGCGGCAGACCTCACCTTTGTTTTCCTTGGAATGCGTGGATGGTGCACACATGCGTGGATGGTGCACACATGCGTGGATGGTGCACACATGCGTGGATGGTGCGCACATGCGTGGATGGTGCACACATACATAAACGCATAAACAGTATGGCGTTGCGTATCGCCTCGCAGGGCAGGAGCATGAGCAGCGCGAGATTCTCCAGGTGAATATGCGCTCACCCCCTACCACTTGTCACACTCTTTGCCCTGCCTGTCGTTTGGGGATTCCAAAAACCGCCTCTTCATCCTCTTGCCCAACGGCACCCCCATCTCTCCTCGTCTCCCCGTGTCGCTCTTCCTTTCGCCTCACTCGTCTCTCGCTTCTCTCACCTCCCTCCTCTCACCCTTCTTGCGCTTATCTCGCCTCACTCGTTTTTTTTTTCTCTCTCTCTCTCTCTCCCTCTTGTGTCTCTTTGGCTCGCATGTGTGCGTGCACGTGTGAGTGCCGCGTGGCCGCACCAGTATCTGAGGCATCGGGAGAAGGAGTACGACCAGCAAGTCAACATCGACTTCCATACAGTGAGCCATGCCCGTGGGGTGCAGGTTGGGGTGCGGGGTAGGGTAAGGGGCGTAGGGTGCGGGGTGGGGTGAGCACCAGTGTTTTCATGTAAGTGGGTGCTTCGTCCGAGTGTATGTCTCACATGCCACCATGCTTCACGCTATAATATCCTCGTTCCTCCTCTCAGCGTCCACTCTACCCTGCTCTCATTCATTGCACACCACAACGAGATCCTACACTTTCTGTTTGCTCCTCTCTGCGCCCCTATCCCTGCGCCCCTATCCCTGCGTCCAACACAATCGGCCTGTGCAGGAGCCATCAGGCGCCCACCCTCCTGTCATTCAAGTCTTGGTGTAAGCGTTCTCACATTAACTGCCCTGCTCTGCCCTGCCTTGCTCTGACCTGCCCTGTCCTGCCCTGCCCTGCCACGCCACGTGCTGCCACCATCTCATTGCGGCACACACGTAGGCCACCTTCATCACCCATTTCCATTCCCTCTTCCTGCTTTCCCCTGTGCGTCCTCCCTCCCGTGCCCGCCATGTGCCCCTACCCCTCGCCTGCCCATGCAGCTTCATTGCCTCGGACAACCCAGTCTCCAACCCCTACTACCTCGGCCCTGCTCCCCTTGAAGCCATGGCATGGTAACACCCGTCCATATAGACTGCCCCGCAGTTTGCCCCATCCCCCATTCCCGTCTCTGTGTGTGCACTCCTGTCACGTCACTCCTCTCACTCCCCGACACTGCCCTCCACTGGTTTCCCTTGTGTCGCCCCTCTTCCCACCTCCTCCCCATCCTTCCCCATCCTTCCCCATCCTCCCCCTGTCATGCCGGCTGTGGTGCAGGCAGATAGCAACAGCGCGTGGGCCGTCAGGGCCCAATGCAGAGTACTTGTTGAACCTGCAAAAGGCACTCAGCGACCTGGGTACGTGCGTGCTGCTGTTCGCCCGTGCTGGCACCGCAAGGGCTTTCAGGGCTTGCTGCATTCGCTTGCGGAAGTCGTGTCGGTTCCTGTCACTATGTGGTTGTGGCAGCATGTGTCCAGATGCCCTTGTCTTACCCCTCTTCTCCATCCCACCAATCCCCATGGAGCCATGGTCATCCCAGGTGCATGTGACCCCCATGTGGACGCCCTGGCAGCCCTTTTGTCCACCATGCTACCCCACACCACCACCACCATCGCCCCTGCAACTGCCACCACCACAGCAACAGCTGCCGTTGCTGCCACTACCATTCCGACGCTCACATACAGCAGCAGCAGCAGTGGCAGTGGCAGTGCAGCTGGCTGTGCTGCAGTGCCGCCATGTGTGCATCATCATGCACACACCCGAGAGGCCACAGGCGCTGCTGATGACCAACCATGGACATGCAGTCATGTGCAGACACAGGGGCAAGGGCACGCAGCAGCAGTGGGGCTCGTAGTGGATGCTGCTGTTGCATGCATGGTGGGGAACGAGGCGCTTGGGCTCCAAATGAGGGTCAACCCACAAGCAGTCCGAAGCCCATGAGAGATAATCGCTCTCATAGCACTGTGCGTGATTGGTGGTGTCTCTCCAAGCTTTCCCAACTATTTCCCTAATACTGCCTACGGTATTTAAGCGTTTCACGTGTGAATGAGCTCCACTCAGCCTTGGCATTCGTGGGCAACCAGCTTTACTGAACTGAAGCTAACCTTTCACGCATAAGACGTGAACGACTAAGTATAACAGTTACGGTAATACAAACATTCTACCAACACAAAGGCCCAGTACCACACTAAAGCCAGTTCCCTGGCCATTGCTCTACACTCGGTCCGCCTACCGCCTCTGGAAGTTAATCTTTCTGACAGCGTATGCGTAGCAGCAGAAGAAGACAAAGGTGAGAGCGACAAGGATGAGTGCAGCGTAGGGCAGGAACCAGGCCTCAAAGCCAAAGTAATTGGTCAGAAAACTCTCCACTGTCTGAGTGCCCGTCATTCCGTTCACCTGTATGGGCGTGGTGATGTCTCCCAGCTGCACACACAGCACGACGAAAGTGTGGTGAGGAGAGGGGCGGCCGTGGGAGGGGGGTTGAGGAGGGAGGAGGGCAGGGAGAAAGTGAGCACGTAGTGCGTACGAGCATGTTGGGATTCATTGCACACATTCACACCCGTCCTGCTATGCGAGTGCTTTTGCAGAATGACTTGTGTGCGTGCACGCGCGCGCGCGCGCGTGTGTGTGTATGGTTTCTCCGTTGGGAAAGAACAAGGGCTCAGTGGGGCAGGCAAGGAGGCAACATGCGGGGAATATTTGTGACTCCTTGGCAGCATACCTGAGACTCAATCAAGCCGTAGAGACTGTAGGAGATGGGCGTCAGCCAGTAGAACCACTGCCACCACACCGGGATTTGCTGGAAATGGAGCGAAAGAGAGAGGGAAAAATGGTGGGGGAGGTTAGCCATCAGCCTACACAGGTGGAGTCTGGAGGTAAGGGGAAGATGCAGGTAACACACATGGCGGATACAATGGCAGAGGAGTCAGCTCTGGGAATGTCAACATGCAACTTTGGAACATAGCGAGAAAGAAGGCCGGTGGGTGCCAAGGGAGGATAACAGTCAATCTAGCGGTCGAGACTCGGGAGAAAGCAGCGTGTGCGCTCACCGGCCGGGGGACGATGAAGCCGCAGAGCAGGTTCCAGAAGGGCACGAAGAAGGAGGAGAGCAGCATGGCGAGCTGCTCGTTGGGCGTGATGGAGATGGCCAGCAGCCCGTACATCACAAAGCAGAAGAGCGTGATGAACATGAACAGGAAGTACCACCAGAACTTGGCCGCCGTCCACTGGAACTGCACCAGCGCGTACGTGATGATGCAGTACAGAAACGTCTGCACCAGCACGTATGGCAGCTCGATCAGCCCCTGCGCAAACGCATACGGCAGCGCACCGTACAGCCCTGCGGCCTTCTCTCTGTAATACACGGTGCGCTCCACAGCTACCAGCGGTTGCACGGCGGCTGAGTTGTTCCAAGCCATGAAGATCGACGTGGTGTAGAGAGCACCCATGACGTTGAAGACATCGAGCATGGTGGCGGTCTTCTTGCCGAGACCAAAGAAGACGAGGCCGATGAGGAGAGCGAAGACGGTGCAGAAGATGTAGCGCACGGCGTTGTAGTCTGGCGCACGCCAGTACATGGCGGCACGCTTCCACAGGTTCACGTAGAACTGCGTGAAGAAGGACGTGGAGTGCTCCGTGGCGAAGTGCAGGTCGTTCTGCCCGGGCGGCGGGGTCCTGAGTGACTCCACTAGCTCCTGGTTGCGCCTGATGGGGGGAGGCACAGCGGGGGGGAGGAGGGGGTGGGGGTGGGAGTAGGGATGGGGACGAGAGTGGGGCGGCATGCGAGGGGGTGAGAGGAGCAGGCCGAAAAGAGGAGGCGATCCAGGCAGGTCTGGCAGGCATGCGCGGTTGGAGGGAGAGGTGCAGATGAAGGTGTCATGTGTTGTGTGATCGTGAGTGCGATGCGAGTGGGTGCGTTGCGACTGAGTGCGATGGAGAAAGGTGAGATGGCTGGAGCATAGGCTTACTTGAAGAGGTCCGACTTGTGGTAGAGGTCAACAAAGTCAACGCCCGTGCGCTCCGATGCTGCTGGCGTGGTGATGTCAAGCATCCACGTGGCAGGGTTGTAGCCAGTCGGGATACGAGGCACCGACGGCACAGCCTGCGAGGAGAGCCGCGGGCAAGGGGAAAGCGCAGATGGAGAATTGCATGGGTTGGAAGAGGCACAGCAGTGGGAGTGCAGAGGTGGAGGAGAGGAGCGGGGACGGGGCTGCATCTGGCACACAAAACTGCTCACAGGAAGATGGAAAGGCAACGGAAGACCTAAGGGAGCGCCGCATGAGTTGTGGTGGGGAGTGGCGGGGAGAGGAGAGGAAGGTACCTGGAAGTAGTCAATGAGGTGGTGTGACTGCACGCCCAGAGGACCGAAGTAGATGACCTGCCCTCCCAGCGTCATCAGCAGCAGCTGTGGAGAGAACAAAGCGCGGAGAGGCACATGGGAGTTGGCCAGGCTTCACGCAACAGAACGGATGGTCAGAGGCAGCAAGTGCAGACGCAGACAGGGGATGGCTCGGTCCGGATAGGACGGACCCAGGAGGAACATCATACATGGAGTGGAGTGCGAGGGGAGGAGGGGAGGAGGTGGGAACAAGCAGGGGCGGGAGGCTTGCCTCATCAAAGGACTCAAAGATGTCGATGGACGGCTGGTGGATGGTGCACAGCACTGTGCGGCCCCATGCTGTCTTCTTAGTATACACTTATACAAGCACACATCGTATCTCTGTCTCACCTCATCAAAGGACTCAAAGATGTCGATGGACGGCTGGTGGATGGTGCACAGCACTGTGCGGCCCGTGTTCACCGTGTTGCGCACCGCACGCATCACTATGGCCGCTGCCCTCGCATCCAGCCCTGCCATGTATACATAGGGATGTAGGGGAGAGACCAGGGAGGGGGAAGATGGGGTTCGGGGTTTGGCAAATGGGGAAGAAAGATGTTTGAAAGTGGCACAGGGTGAATTATATCCAAGGGAAATGGGCCGCTGTGGAGTGGAGCAGCATTGGTTGAGCAAGAGAGTTGCATTACTAAAACTGCCGGCGTTGCAGGAGCAGCGTTGCAAGAGCGCCACCTGAGGTGGGTTTAATTTCATCCATGAAGATGATGGCGGGGTTGGCTACGAGCTCAACGGCGATGGGCGGGTGTTACCTGATATAGGCATACCTGGGGGGAGGTATAACCTACCTGAGGTGGGTTCATCCATGAAAATGATGGAGGGGTTGGCGACGAGCTCAACGGCAATAGTCAGGCGCTTGCGCTGCTCCGTGGACAGCCCGTTCACCCCCGGCAGCCCCACAATGCTGCCCCTCAGCGCCTCCAGCTCCACGAGCTCCATCACCTCCTCCACAAAGTCCTCTCGCACGTCCTTGTCCACGTCCTGGGGCAGGCGCAGCCACGCGGAGTAGAGCAGACTCTCGTACACCGTCACCTGCGGCGTGTGAATGTCGTCCTGCTCGCAGTATCCGGACACGCGCGCAAACGTCTCGTGCACCTTGGGGTAGCCAGAAACGCGCACGTCCCCTTCGATGTACCCCCCGGTCTTCCTCCCTGCCAGCACGTCCATGAGCGTCGTCTTGCCCGCGCCCGACACGCCTACAAGGGCCGTGAGCACCTTGGGGCGGAAGGCGCCCGAGACGTTGCGCAGCAGCTGCAGGCGGTCGCCCTCAGCGCCCTCCGCCTTCATCTCTGCAGGCATGTCCACGTAATAGTTGACGCTGCTGAAGGACAGAGACAGCGGCTCAAACGGCAGCACCATGCCGCGCACCCCCGCCTCCCCCGCCTCTGCCACCGCAGCCGGGTCTGCACTGGCTTCCACGCTCTTCTTCCGGTACTTGTCCAGTGCACCGCTGCTCCTGCTGCCACGTGACTTGCTGCGGTTCCTGCTGCCCCTGCTGTGCTTCTTCTCGTCCATCATCTCCCCTGTGCGCGCCATGTGCCTCGCCTGCAGCTGCTCCTCCGACACCACCTGCTGCTCTGCCGCGTACGCTGTATGGGCGGGAGAAGGGAGAGCGGGGCATGGGGACGGGGATGGGAATGGGGAGAGGAGGGGGTTTGAAGGAACAGGACGATCAGGAAATCTAGGAGATTAGGACAGAATGTAATTGAGCGCAATCAGAAACCGGGAGGGGGCAGGAGGGGATGCTCGGACGTTGGAGAGGGGAGCGAAATCAGAGAGGTGCGAGGTGAAAAGGCGAGCGAGTAGCAGAGGAGCGCAGGGAGTTGGGCGCGTACGATTGAGGAAGGTGAGGGCGAGGATGGTGAGGGAGTTGAAGACGAGAATGAATCCCACGAAGGCCCCGATGCCAATCCAGCGCCAGCTGTCCTCCGTGGGCAGGGAGCGAGACGTGAGCACTATGTCGCCCATGGTCATGTTGCTGCCTGCCACGGGCTGCCGGGGGGGACGCACCGCACAGGAGCACACGCACGACCGACAGCACACAGACAAGAGGAGAGATCATGTAGCAGGGAGAACCACCTTTGAGACGTCTCCAATCAAGGAGGCATGATTACAATGTAGCTCTTGGATGGACCATTCCTGCTACTCCCTATGCCTCTTTCACTCCCAATGCATGAAAGCGCCTCTACAACATTCCCCTTTCCACCACGCAGAGGGCAAGGCACGCACCACTTGCCAGCGGGGCGCCTTGAACTCGTTGACTGCGAGGGCGTTCTGCGCATAGGCCAGTGGTGACAGCCAGTACGCCCAGATCCACCACGGGGGGATGTTCTCTGCGCACACGAGCAGGGGGGGACACAGGGAAGCGACGTGTGGAAAATGAGAAACGGAGATGAGGATCACAGCGCTGCACTTCGTACGGCACATGCGGACATACTGAGCAAAGGCAGATCCATAGGTCATGCGGTGTAACAGTGAGCGTCGCATTGGCTTGTGCTGGAGCGAGCATGGAGGGCACAGCGAGAGATACCCGTTTTGAGAGTAGGCGGAAAAGCAGGCAAGATGCAATGCAGCAATGGGCAAGTGGGGCGTGAGGTTTAGCCTGAGAGGGCGGGCGGCAATCACCTTTGGCAATGACAAAGCCTCCGAGGAGGAAGAGGACGATGAGGGCGAAGGTGCCAAAGGTGTTGGCGACACCGCGACTGCGCCCCACACTGGCGACGAGGCGGAAGAGCGACATGCCCACCTGGTGAATGAGGAACCACATCAGCATCTGCGCCAAGAACCTGCGGCACACGCGGTGATGACCGGGACACCACAAGAGTCGTTACATTATGCCTCCGTGCAGGGTTGAAGTGATCAAAATTACCAGGTCAACACCACCGAAAGCAGGACTTGAGCACAAGACTCAACCATGCGACACCATGGCACACAATGGCGTAGCAGCAGCAGCAGGGCATGCGTACCGGTCGGCGTTGGGAGCGAAGCCAACGAGGAAGTAGACAATGGAGGTCCATGCCACAGCAAGCGCAGCGGAGTAGGGGATGCAGATGAGCGCCATGGGGATGGCGTAGGACCACGCGGGGTACAGCAGCGCGTCACGCTCGCGGTAGAAGATGGGCAGGCGCTCTATGAGGATGGGCGTCTCAGAGCCACCGTTGAAGAGCATGACAATGAGACCGAAGAAGATGGCTCCCAGGTAGATCTGCCCGCCCGCCACTGTCACGTGCATCTCAGGGAAGAGGAATACCGTGGCCGTCACTAGCGCCATCAGGATGATCTGCGGGTAGAGAGAGAAAGGGAGGGGGGGAGGGAGTGAGGATGGGGTGACGCGGAACTTACGAGGGCGGTGGCGTTGGAAGCAGCAGTGGAGTGCGGTGGGGAGCGGTGCGGTGCACGGACCTTGGCGATGGAGGCGAAGTAGATGAAGGAGGTGCGCTTGAAGAGCAGCAGCTGGCGCTGCACCATGGCCTCAAAGATCTCCCGCGCCGTCAGCACGTACCGCCGGTGCTCCAACGCTCCCTTGGGACTGCTCTCCTTGGGGAAGGGCGTCTGGTGGCAGGGAGTGGGCGGGGAGGAGAGGAGGCAAGGGGGGGTGTCTTGGTTACATTCTTGTGTTCTGTGGCTGTGTCTCGACTTCCCTGACAGATAGCAGCACCAACGCTGATCTAACGACTTCGCAGCAAGACAGCAACAACGGGGAGTGCAAGGGAGGCACTGGGGCACCGGTGAGTGGAAGGAGCAGGGCGAGCAGCAACGTACGGAGAGTTGAGCCTGCTGCTCCTTGGCGCGCTGCGTGTCACTGAAGGCGGCAGCGAGCGCCTGTGCAGGGATGAAGCGGTGCGGCTGCTCTGTGTTGGCCCAGTACTGCCCCTGGTCCTTCACTGATAGCACCTCCTGCAGGAAATCCGCCTCGGCCTTCCGGGGCGGGCACTGGAAGCCGAGCGAGTTGAAGAAGGGCAGAACGTCGGTGCGTGCGCCGTGGAAGACCACGTGGCCCTCGGCCAGCAGCAGCACGTCGTCAAACAGCTCGTACGTCTCGGGGGCGGGCTGGAGAAGAGCCACGAGCGTGGTGGCGCGGTGCAGGTGCGAGATGTGGCGCAGGCAGCGCGTGATGAGGTAGGTGGTGGAGGAGTCGAGGCCTGTGCTGATCTCGTCCATTAGTAGCACCTGCTTCGCGCTCACCAGCGCCTCGCCTGGTGCCACGCGTGGGGGCCAGGGGGCACGGGGAGGGGAGGGTGAGGGTGAGGGTGAGGGTGAGGGTGAGGGTGAGGGTGAGGGTGAGGGGGAGGAGCGAGGGTTGGTGGGTGTGAGACCAGAGGAGTTGAGTAGGTTCATGGGCAGCACGGTGCGGCACGGTGCGGCACAGTGAGGATGAGCCAGCTTACCAGTGGCGACTCTCTTCTTCTGCCCGCCCGATATGCCTCGCCTGAGTGCACTGCCCACCACCGTGTCTGCACACACGTCCAGCCCCAGGATCTGGTCACTCGCTCGCACCCACACGCACACACACACGGGCGCGGGGAGGAGGACAGGTGGGTGGGGAGGGATGCATGTGAGAGGGGAGGGAGCGGGGAAGATGAGCTAATAAGAGTAGCTTGGATGAGAGGTGGGGAACGAGGAGCAAGGAGATCAAACGTGGAAAGAGAGTGGCCCAGGAATAAACACGAAACAGCAGGCAAATGAAAACGAAGGGAGGAGTGGATTGGGGGCGGGGAGGTGGTGGAGATGCGGGACCAGGAAGAGGAACACTGACAATGGTTTCGACGCTTGGCATGAGTCAATTATACCACGCTGCCACTATCACTTCGCTTCTCGCACACTTCAAACTCACGATTTTCCCTATTTTCCATGGATTTCCCTCCCTCCATCTTCAACTTCCAATTTCGCGTACCCCTCCACTCTCCACCACTGTTGCCCTTCACTCTCCACACTCCACCCTGCACTCTCCTCGCACCGCCCCAACCCCTCCCCTTCGCCCCTCCTCCCCTTTGCAGCGGCACTCACATGGACAATATAGTCTGTAAGCACGCTGGTAGCGTTGCCCTCCAACGCCATCGCCTGCTCGCCACCACGCCCGCCAACGGTGGGATCAGGGGGATGGGCGCAAGAGATAGAGGACGTGAAGGGAGAGAGTGCGGAGGAAGGCACAGAAAGGAAGGGCGGAGGGGGTTAGATGACACGTTACATGGAAGGGGCAGCAGAAGCTTGAAAATACGGTGGAGAGAATGAAAGCAAGGATGATGGCAGGTTGGAGAGGTGCGGCGAGAGGGAGTGCGGCAACTGACCCTCATCATCTGCTGCATGATCGGATCCGGTGTCGTGCCTGTCTCTTTCTCCTTCTCCTCCACTTCCCTCACAAGATCTGCACGCAGAAACGCGGGAGAATATACATCAGATACACACACACACAACGACAGCAATAACAGAGTATGCGTGTGTTGATGAGTGGCATCGACTAGCCACACAGTCCAGAAGACCACCGCACGCGCTGACCGAGTACGAGTGTGTCTCTCACTACAGCTGCACCCCCCACCACTCCACGTGCCTCTCACCCTCGCTCTGACCCCCCACCGCCACGGCAGCCACTCACCCTTGCGGTACGCAGGCCCCTGCATGCGCGCAGCAAAGTCAAAGGTCTCCCGGACGGTCATCTCGCCGATGTGCGCCTGGGTCTGCGGCACGTACGCCGCCGTGTGCGGCAGATAGAACTCCCCCGGCTCGTGCCCGTTGTACGTCACTGTGCCCGACGCCTGCACGCACAGGGGCGGGGGGGTGTGGGTGTGAGAGGCAGAGAGGCAGAGAGGACGCGACAGATGAGAGGATCATGATGAGAGGATCACGATGAGAGGATGATGCTGAGAGGAGGAGGTGGAGGAGTGGAGGAGCATAGGGCGTAAGGCAGTACAGCATGACGCGGGAGCTGGAAAGAGATCACCTGAAAAGAAGGCGAGGAACTGCAAGCGAGGGTACGCGAGAAGACGAAAGACAGTAGCAGCATCATAATGAGGATGAGGATGATGAGCAAGCGTAGCGGCGTGTCACCTTCACGTCCTTGGGCAGCAACCCAGCGAGAGCCTGCAGGAGAGTGCTCTTTCCAGCTCCTGGCGGCCCAAGCAGCAGCGTCAGCCTGTACACTTTTCAGAACACGAGGAACGGGGGGCGTTCGGAAGAAAGAGGGGGAGAATGAGAAGGATGAGCAGGTAAGACGGAGCGCGGTGACACCACGGCATCGTGTGCGGCCGTGCTGCATGGTATGCCTCAGACTGACTGAGGCACCAGCGCGCGCAGCAGTCTCATGTAAGTAGCTCGGGGTGCAAGACGCTCAGCCCTTGCGGTTTCGTACCGGCCTGGTTTGAGGATGCCTGAGCAGCCGTTGAGGATGGGAAGGCGCTGGCGCGAGTCGCGCAGTAGATGAAGCGCGCGGGGCAGTTGCTGAGGTTAGATGCACAGGATGCGGCCACGATGAGAGAGGGGGGAAGTGGAGAAGGGGAGAAAGTGGAAAGGGGAATAGCGAGAAGGGAGAACGTTGCCATGAATGAGTGGCGGTGTTGCATACGGATGGCCTAAGTGGATGTCTAAGACGAAGGAGAAAAGGACGCTGGGTAGAATGGCTTCGCAGTCACTGAAATTAGCCACTGTGCATAAGGGATGGGTGGGGAAGGGGTAGAGCGTGAGGTGCCTGCAAGAATGGTCAAGAAGTTGTGTTTGATGCGGGAACAGCGACGAGAGCCAACGTGGGAAAGGCCGTGACGACTCGGAAGCAGGGGGGGACGGAAGCAGGGACTCACGGAGAGCACGTCGCGCATGTAGTTAGGCAGGGTGGGCACGGATCGGTCGCCCACGTACACGCCCGCCTCCACGTGGATGTCCTCGAAGCGCACCTCCACCGTTGGAATCGCGACGCCCACCCTGCGAACAAGATCGCGCATGCCACGTGGCAACCATGGCAATGAGCAGCAACGGGGGAGATAACCGGAACAACTTGGGATATCAGGCCGCGTGGCACGCAATGGGAACTGGAACTGTTCTTTTAAGAACCACGTGGAAGCCGAATATGTTCGGAACGAGTGAGTCGCTTCTAAAAACGAACGTGTGAGCAGTTTCTTGGAGGCCATGTGAATGTGATCTTCAATGACTGAACGATCCACATCTCGTGTTCTTGCTGCCGTGCGACGCACCTCTCGAGTCTAGCGGCGAAGTTGGTGAGGAACCCTTCATTGTCTTGGTCGAGCGTGTTTAGCGCGTGCTCTACCAGAGCCTTGCGCTGCGCGTGAGTCAACTTCGCCACGTCAGCAGTCTCCAGCACCTCCTCTAACAGCAAGTGACCGTTGGAGCCATGATGTTTCTCCGAAACACTTCCGTTTCCCTTAGTGAACGCGCCGTTCTCTCCATTTTCAGCGTCCTTTCCGTTGGTCCCAAGTCCATTCGCTTCGACCGCACTACCGTTCGTCGGCTGATGCCTCGCGTCGCTCGGATGTTCGCTTGCATGACCTGCCGCGACTGGAGAAAACAAGAGCCGTAGGGATACAACGAAGAGAGAGGAGACTTACTACGACGTAGAAAGGTATGCAACGAATAGCAGGCCAGGGGAAGTTCTGAAAGGCCTACGAGCAACGAATGTGAGCCGAAACAACAACCTGTAGCTTACCTGGTAAGTCGCCTGGCATGGCGTCTAACCAGGTTCCCGCAAAACTCAACACCTTGATAGTCTGTTGGAATCTCTGAGCAAGTGTCCGAACTTGAAGGCATGTGTTGGAGAAAAAGGCATCTAAGCATAGCTATGAGATAAGAGGTGAGATGCTGTTCGCTTTTCTAACTCTCGTTTCGCGATCGAGGCCTCCACCCAGCCAAATTGATGAAACAGGAAGCATCCAAACGCAAAAGTCGCTGACGTCATGGAAGATAAAACATCGTGAAGCGTACTTTTATTTTCTCGAGTCAGCGACGAATCCTGGTGAGAAAGACCCTCGTAGGTCTTTCTTTGGTAGGACACAGTCCAGGCATTCGTCCTCTCGAACGGCAAAAAAAACAAAACAGTTAACATGTACAGATAACATATTCTGAATCGAAAATATCGTCTCAAAAGTTACAGATACGGATGTACGTGTTTTTATTTTAGTATCATTGACATAGCACACACGGTCCGAAACGTAGAACATTCGATGGGATGCCTGCTGTTTTTGCAACCAACCTCGGAAGCAACAAACAGCTCGAATATAAATTAAATGAACCGTTTTTGTTGGCGCTTCATGTATTTCAACTCTTTTTGGTTCAGATTGCCGCACATATGAGCATCATGCGCCAGGTCAGCACTAACGAGGGTGAGGCGTGTGTATGGGAAGTGCGTTTGTAATTGGTTGCCGATGCGCTGGCATCGATTCTTTCTGGCACAGAACCTGCTTCTTTGACCCAAGGCGAAGCCTCCTAAATCTTTTCGGAAGCTGCATAGACAATCACGATCGTCATGCAGGGCACTGCTGATGATTCATGTGGTTACCCTCCCTTCGACGGAAAAGCGTTAGAAGCTTTCCCAATGCATCGAGTGTCTCTCAATGCTTTATACTTATATCCTTATGCTTAACGATGCACATTCTCCCTCCACAACTACATGATGTTCATTTTCTTTTAGTGTTCTCAAATTCCATGCCAATTCTTACACAGACTTACAGTTACAGGATTTATTTTTACCTCAGTAACTATTCTATTGTGAGTATATATAGCGTGCCTAGGGTTTTTGTTGTTATATGAACATAATATGAACACATTAACAATATAAAGTATATTCTAAATATTTCAGTTGAAAATTAATGTGTTATTTGTATGTTACAACAATTTGAAACATGTAGAACCTCTAATGTTACCATGGGAAAATGATATGTAGAAGTAGCAATTGCTATAATTTAAAAATATATTGGTAAAACAAATATGGGTGTCATTGATATCATTGATATTGTTACGAATAGTAATTATTGAAACATTACTGTGCACTCCTCGCCGCCGCAAACGAAGCACGCACTACCGAGAGTGAAGGCGAAAAGGCACAAGTGACGCGAAGAGTCGCACGGTTACGAAAGCATATGGACCGTCGGGCAGACAGCATAAGGCAGCAGCAGTGGCGAGGATTCTGCCCGAACAGTTTCGTAACTGTCTGGAGTCGCACGGTTGGATTTCGCTGCAATAAGGGAATGTACCCCTTAGAGTACATGGCTAGCTAGGTCGATTGGTATTCCCTTGTAATCTTATTTATATTCCTTGTACTGCACGTTTTTATCATCTCAAGCATTTACATTCACTCTGCTATTGAGGTCAAGGGCCCACCACCACTAGATTAGGAGTGTGCGAACCTTCCTGAGGTGATCCTGAGGTCGATCAACTTCTGATCGCAACATGGTATGAGAGCGACTCAGGAATCCTTCGCACCGCCACCACCGAAATCTTCGGCGAACGGAAAGTGGCGTCCGGCACACGCTTGTCAGAATGTTATTCTCTAGCCTGTAGTGGGGTGCTCTATAGCGAGTACAACCCATCTAGGGTTTGCTATATGTATCCTCATTGCTGCTAGTGAACTCCTCCTCTTTTGCCTAAACTTCTCTTGCCTAGCTAGGACTTACCTAGCTATGGCTCCTACTCATGCCTACGATTCTAACATGCTATCAGAGCTAAACGCTCCTGGCCTGTGGGCCCACCTACTTCCGCTGCCCTACTGTGTGTCGCGCGCCCCGTGGCGCGCGACCTCCTATTTTTCTTCCCGCCACGCGCTCGGGGCGCGTGGCGGTTTTCTGCCCGCCGTGCGCCCCGCGGCGCGCGGCGGGTTCCTATCTCGTCGCGGCGTCTTGGGGGCCCGCGCGCCGGCCCCGACCGTCGCCTCGTCGCGGCGTTTTGGGGGCCCGCACGCAGGCCTCTCCCGTCGCCTCGTCGCGGCGCTTTCGGGGCCCGCGAGCCGGCCCCTCCCGTCGCCTCGTCGAGGCGTCTTGGGGGCCCGCGCGCGGTCCCCTCCCGTCGCCCGTCGAGGCGCTCTCGGGGGCCTGCGCGGCCCCCTAGCTCGTCGCCCGTCAGGGCGCCCTGGGAGCCGCGCCCTTCCCCTCCCCTCCCTCCTACTTTTCACCTGCAGCAACCGCCCCTGGAGCAGCCCGCACCTGCAGCAGCCGCCCCTGGAGCAGCCCTCACCTGCCCGTGGGCGGCCCGTTCCTCTCTGTCCCTGAGCTGCTCGCTGTCCCCCGTGCTCTGATACCATGTTGAAAGACTAAAGTTTAGTAGGCTTAGGAGCCATGGTAGTTAAGTGACTTAGTGGTGAAGTTCGAGGGTAAGGAAAATTGTCGAGAGAGTTGTGTGAGAGAATGATGGTTTCACTAAAGGTTCAAGGGTACAAATATGAAAGAAGTGAAGCAAGGTGCACCACCTAACAAGCAAGATAACTACACTAAGTCTACATTGCAGGTAGTTATAAAGTGATGTACACAATAACATTCTGACACACCCCCTAACTGCCTGCAGTGAAGAACCATGTGCAGAAACACCCCCGGAAGGGGTACACCAAGCAGAGCGCAGCAGACAGAGAGGGCAAATGAGGAGGAGAGACTGTGGAGGAAGAGAAGATGCGAGGCAACGACTGAAGCTGCAGAGGCACGGGCACAGGAGCGGCTGACTCAGTGGCCGCCTGCGCGCGGTTCGTCGGGCTGTGCCAGGCCCGTGGGCGGCCCGTTCCTCTCTGTCCCTGAGCTGCTCGCTGTCCCCCGTGCTTCTGACGGTGCCCCACCCCTACTGCTGCCCGTTCTCCTGAATTAGGGTTTGGGGGTGAGGAGTGTGGGGGTGGCGGTTGTGTGTTACTTCCCTTGCTCCTCCTCCTCCCTGGTCTCCCACTGCTGCAGCTGCCGCTGAGGGGGGTGGGTGTGTGGGAGCCTAGGGTTTAGGGTTTTAGGGGGGTGCGTGGGAGTGGAGCTAGGGTTTGAGCAGTGGGTGTGTGTCGAGGGTGTGGGGCAGTTGGAGGAGGTTGTGTGGAGGTACCTGTCGTGTCGCCTGCAGCGCCTGTAGTCCGTCGCCCTTGCTTCGGTAGCCAGTGAGCCTGCTGCACCAGTCGCCAGTGGGTCCGTTGCTCCTGCCGCTCTTCTATAGCCGCCGAGCCAGTTACTCCAGTAGTCCGTCGCCCTTGCTTCGGTAGCCTCTGAGTCAGCCGCTCCTGTGCCCGTGCCTCTGCAGCTTCAGTCGTTGCCTCCCATCTTCTCTACCTCCACAGCTCCTCCTCCTCCTAACTTGCCCGCTGTGATTAGCTCTAGCTTTGCTTACCTTTGTGAACTCCTGCTCTATACCTGCTTGCTCATTGTACTGATTACACCCCCCTTTGGCTATGGGGGTGTGTCAGAATGTTATTCTCTAGCCTGTAGTGGGGTGCTCTATAGCGAGTACAACCCATCTAGGGTTTGCTATATGTATCCTCATTGCTGCTAGTGAACTCCTCTTTTGCCTAAACTTCTCTTGCCTAGCTAGGACTTACCTAGCTATGGCTCCTACTCATGCCTACGATTCTCACAACGCTCACGTGTGAGAATGGCCGGAGGATATGGAGGTCAGACGAATCTGACGGCTGAAGCGCAGCCCAACCCGGCTGCGACAAATGAGGAAACGACGACAATCCCTTCCGTCGTCCTCGCACAACTGCTTCAGCGACTCACGAGCCTGGAGCAAGGGCTCCAAACATTGCGGAATGGCGATGCGGGAACATCTTCCCAACCCACTCAACCGGCCTCGAATGGCCAGAACTCCGCCCCGCAAGGCTTCTCTCTTGATACAAACGGCTCAACACCCAAGACTCCCTGTCCCAGCGATGAAGCGATCAAGGTTTTTGAGCATATCAAAAATAAAGACAAGTGTGTGCTTTGACGGCAGAGACTTCTATACTTGGAGCTTCAAACTGGAGCTGCTGCTACGAAAC